AGCTGTCTCTATGTGAAGACTTTACATCGTGGAGAGTGCGTAGCTCTCTCTATGTGAAGACTTTACATCGTGGAGAGTGTGTAGCTGTCTCTATGTGAAGACTTTACATCGTGGAGAGTGCGTAGCTCTCTCTATGTGAAGACTTTACATCGTGGAGAGTGCGTAGCTGTCTCTATGTGAAGACTTTACATCGTGGAGAGTGCATAGCTGTCTCTATGTGAAGACTTTACATCGTGGAGAGTGCGTAGCTCTCTCTATGTGAAGACTTTACATCGTGGAGAGTGCGTAGCTGTCTCTATGTGAAGACTTTACATCGTGGAGAGTGCATAGCTGTCTCTATGTGAAGACTTTACATCGTGGAGAGTGCGTAGCTCTCTCTATGTGAAGACTTTACATCGTGGAGAGTGCGTAGCTGTCTCTATGTGAAGACTTTACATCGTGGAGAGTGCATAGCTGTCTCTATGTGAAGACTTTACATCGTGGAGAGTGCGTAGCTCTCTCTATGTGAAGACTTTACATCGTGGAGAGTGCGTAGCTGTCTCTATGTGAAGACTTTACATCGTGGAGAGTGCATAGCTGTCTCTATGTGAAGACTTTACATCGTGGAGAGTGCGTAGCTCTCTCTATGTGAAGACTTTACATCGTGGAGAGTGCGTAGCTGTCTCTATGTGAAGACTTTACATCGTGGAGAGTGCGTAGCTGTCTCTATGTGAAGACTTTACATCGTGGAGAGTGCATAGCTGTCTCTATGTGAAGACTTTACATCGTGGAGAGTGCGTAGCTCTCTCTATGTGAAGACTTTACATCGTGGAGAGTGCATAGCTGTCTCTATGTGAAGACTTTACATCGTGGAGAGTGCATAGCTGTCTCTATGTGAAGACTTTACATCGTGGAGAGTGCGTAGCTCTCTCTATGTGAAGACTTTACATCGTGGAGAGTGCGTAGCTGTCTCTATGTGAAGACTTTACATCGTGGAGAGTGCGTAGCTGTCTCTATGTGAAGACTTTACATCGTGGAGAGTGCATAGCTGTCTCTATGTGAAGACTTTACATCGTGGAGAGTGCGTAGCTCTCTCTATGTGAAGACTTTACATCGTGGAGAGTGCATAGCTGTCTCTATGTGAAGACTTTACATCGTGGAGAGTGCATAGCTGTCTCTATGTGAAGACTTTACATCGTGGAGAGTGCGTAGCTCTCTCTATGTGAAGACTTTACATCGTGGAGAGTGCGTAGCTGTCTCTATGTGAAGACTTTACATCGTGGAGAGTGCATAGCTGTCTCTATGTGAAGACTTTACATCGTGGAGAGTGCGTAGCTCTCTCTATGTGAAGACTTTACATCGTGGAGAGTGCGTAGCTGTCTCTATGTGAAGACTTTACATCGTGGAGAGTGCGTAGCTGTCTCTATGTGAAGACTTTACATCGTGGAGAGTGCATAGCTGTCTCTATGTGAAGACTTTACATCGTGGAGAGTGCGTAGCTCTCTCTATGTGAAGACTTTACATCGTGGAGAGTGCGTAGCTGTCTCTATGTGAAGACTTTACATCGTGGAGAGTGCATAGCTGTCTCTATGTGAAGACTTTACATCGTGGAGAGTGCGTAGCTCTCTCTATGTGAAGACTTTACATCGTGGAGAGTGCGTAGCTGTCTCTATGTGAAGACTTTACATCGTGGAGAGTGCATAGCTGTCTCTATGTGAAGACTTTACATCGTGGAGAGTGCGTAGCTCTCTCTATGTGAAGACTTTACATCGTGGAGAGTGCGTAGCTGTCTCTATGTGAAGACTTTACATCGTGGAGAGTGCGTAGCTGTCTCTATGTGAAGACTTTACATCGTGGAGAGTGCATAGCTGTCTCTATGTGAAGACTTTACATCGTGGAGAGTGCGTAGCTCTCTCTATGTGAAGACATTACATCGTGGAGAGTGCGTAGCTGTCTCTATGTGAAGACTTTACAGCGAGGAGAGTGCATAGCTGTCTCTATGTGAAGACTTTACATCGTGGAGAGTGCGTAGCTATCTCTATGTGAAGACTTTACATCGTGGAGAGTGCGTAGCTCTCTCTATGTGAAGACTTTACATCGTGGAGAGTGCGTAGCTCTCTCTATGTGAAGACTTTACATCGTGGAGAGTGCGTAGCTGTCTCTATGTGAAGACTTTACATCGTGGAGAGTGCATAGCTGTCTCTATGTGAAGACTTTACATCGTGGAGAGTGCGTAGCTCTCTCTATGTGAAGACTTTACATCGTGGAGAGTGCGTAGCTCTCTATGTGAAGACTTTACATCGTGGAGAGTGCGTAGCTGTCTCTATGTGAAGACTTTACATCGTGGAGAGTGCATAGCTGTCTCTATGTGAAGACTTTACATCGTGGAGAGTGCGTAGCTCTCTCTATGTGAAGACTTTACATCGTGGAGAGTGCGTAGCTCTCTCTATGTGAAGACTTTACATCGTGGAGAGTGCGTAGCTGTCTCTATGTGAAGACTTTACATCGTGGAGAGTGCGTAGCTGTCTCTATGTGAAGACTTTACTTCGTGGAGAGTGCGTAGCTGTCTCTATGTGAAGACTTTACATCGTGGAGAGTGCGTAGCTGTCTCTATGTGAAGACTTTACATCGTGGAGAGTGCATAGCTGTCTCTATGTGAAGACTTTACATCGTGGAGAGTGCGTAGCTGTCTCTATGTGAAGACTTTACATCGTGGAGAGTGCATAGCTGTCTCTATGTGAAGACTTTACATCGTGGAGAGTGCGTAGCTGTCTCTATGTGAAGACTTTACATCGTGGAGAGTGCATAGCTGTCTCTATGTGAAGACTTTACATCGTGGAGAGTGCGTAGCTGTCTCTATGTGAAGACTTTACATCGTGGAGAGTGCGTAGCTGTCTCTATGTGAAGACTTTACATCGTGGAGAGTGCGTAGCTGTCTCTATGTGAAGACTTTACATCGTGGAGAGTGCGTAGCTGTCTCTATGTGAAGACTTTACATCGTGGAGAGTGCATAGCTGTCTCTATGTGAAGACTTTACATCGTGGAGAGTGCGTAGCTGTCTCTATGTGAAGACTTTACATCGTGGAGAGTGCATAGCTGTCTCTATGTGAAGACTTTACATCGTGGAGAGTGCGTAGCTGTCTCTATGTGAAGACTTTACATCGTGGAGAGTGCATAGCTCTCTCTATGTGAAGACTTTACATCGTGGAGAGTGCGTAGCTGTCTCTATGTGAAGACTTTACATCGTGGAGAGTGCATAGCTCTCTCTATGTGAAGACTTTACATCGTGGAGAGTGCATAGCTGTCTCTATGTGAAGACTTTACATCGTGGAGAGTGCGTAGCTGTCTCTATGTGAAGACTTTACATCGTGGAGAGTGCATAGCTGTCTCTATGTGAAGACTTTACATCGTGGAGAGTGCGTAGCTGTCTCTATGTGAAGACTTTACATCGTGGAGAGTGCATAGCTGTCTCTATGTGAAGACTTTACATCGTGGAGAGTGCGTAGCTGTCTCTATGTGAAGACTTTACATGCTGGAGAGTGCATAGCTGTCTCTATGTGAAGACAGAATTAAATTGGTCAACAAATTAATCAGTCACAACTCTCAAAACTTGGGACTTAGAATTTTTTTTGGCTGATTTCTTCACAAATTTCAAACTCTGTTCCTTGTTTCTTTAGATTGTTTTGATGATTAGGGGCCAGTTTAGTTTTTTTACTTATATAAAGTATCCCGTAAATCATTATAATTATTATAATTATCCCTATATTTTATTTTTTGGGGGGTTATTTTTTCTTGACTTCATTTCAACACATATTGACCTAAAACTTTCACATACAGTATTTGAGTACAAATGTCAAACAATGTTCATTAAAACATACAAGTAAATTCATGAATTAGAACTGCCTTATTCATTGTCGATAACTTCAACTTCAATTATATCTATAACTTGAATTTCAACTTCAGTATTCAAAAGTCTAGTTTCTGATCGATTCTCACCATTTTTACATATAGTGTGCACAGCTGTCTGTTCTTCAATCCCTATAGAATTGATTTTTCATGAACTCTAAACATTTGGAATTATAAATTTTTGTTGTCTGAATTTGTGCATATATCAAATACCATATTGACAATTTTTTTTTTTTTTCCTTCAATAAACTATACTGAGAACCTATATTCTAAATATGAACATGAAGATCATATGATATTCTGAGAGCATAGTAACACCAAATGAACATTTGGTGATATTTTATATTTTTGCAGCTGATCTCAAAATCTGAAATTTTTAATATTCAATTTTATAATTATTTTTTATTTTCTTGTTTTTCAAGTTAGTACGCTGGTATCATTTAGACAAAGTTGGAGCATTTGCCTAGTAGATTATGCACAAAAAATTTGAAAGAGTTTAAGAAAATTTAAAAAACTGAGCTCAATGTCACACTTCATATGACATTTTGCGCACTTAGGGGTTAAAACGGTTTGGGTTTCCGATGCCATATTCATCACGTTACGCAGATTAGCATCTTCCTCTGCTGCTGCCTTGTCAGATTGTATCATACTCCCACTGCCAGTTTCTTGTCATCTTATAAGTAATAGTTGATCTGCTGAAGATGAATCAATTGAGAATGTAAACACTAGATCAGTCAAATGAGAATGTAAATAATTAATACAACATCTAAGTACAATAGATTCAACATTTTACTGCAAACAATAATTACAAAATCTTTAAATGTTACATGCATGTACAGTACAATATAGTGTCAGGTCACCTGCCATTTGGAGTCAGGTAATCACTGGAGACCTTGCTCCATCTTAAGACTTAGTGCTTGTTAACTGTTTCACAACTTAAAATTACTTGCCTGAGTCCCTTTAAATCTGATCTAATTCTTGCTAACCTTTAGTTATGACCTGTAAGCCATAAAATGTTTCCACCCTTTAATCAGTTTATACCTTTGGTCTGGCAGCTTTACCTGTTCATACTTAAAATCATGGATGCAACCCTAGATAATACTGTTTTGTTGCAGGCGCTGGAGTCGACTGTGATGGAGCTTCGTGCACGCTATGGCATCCTGGAGGAGGTGGAGAGGTCAGCAGTGCGTCAGGCGCTGACAGAGGAGCGGTCCAGATACTGTGCCTTTGCTCATGCTCTCCGGCCAGTCCTTGTAAGTACAGTACTATCCTTAAATCATCCTTAGCCGATTCCTTAATACTCCCTGTGTCCTGTCTCATTAGCGGTTTTTGTTCCTACATGCAAGTGTGTATACACTTCACACATCTTCCTTGCATAATTCTTGTCATGCTCAATCTTTTTACACTGCTCTTGTTGCTACACCCTGTGCCTTCCTCTGTTTTATATATTTTTCGGTGTCTGTCTGCTGCTCTCTTGTTTTGTCTCGTTACTTCACCATACATGTGCTTGCCTCCCTCTATTGTATGATGTCTTAAAGAACATTAACTTCTCACACAGATATTAGTCATTTTTGTTTAAGGATTAATTATACCAGTTTCTGAGGGTTTATTTTTTTTCCTCGGTTTCTTTGCAATATCTTGAAAACTGCCAATCACACTGACTTGAAATTTTAAAGTACTTTTGCTGCACCAAAACAACCAGCGTTGAATGTAATGAAACGCCATTTTCTGGGTGAGACCACGAGGCCTCCCCGGATTCAGGTTGATATATATATACTATTAGACTTTACCATCAGTCAATGTGAATGGAGTTTTGGGCCTACTGGGGACCACGAGCCAGAACTTGGCCCCCTCTGAGAGGCATGAGGAGCAATGGCCTATAGAAATGCACATGTGTAATTACCTAAGTGTAATTACAGGATGAGAGCTACACTCGTGGTGTCCCGTCTTCCCAGCACTCTTTGTCATATAACGCTTTGAAACTACTGACAGTCTTGGCCTCCACCACCTTCTCATCTAACCTGTTCCAACCGTCTACCACTCTGTTTGCGAAAGTGAATTTTCTTATATTTCTTCGGCATCTGTGTTTAGCTAGTTTAAATCTATGACCTCTTGTTCTTAAAGTTCCAGGTCTCGGGAAATCTTCCCTATCGATTTTATCAATTCCTGTTACTATTTTGTACATAGTGATCATATCACCTCTTTTTCTTCTGTCTTCTAGTTTTGGCATATATAATGCCTCTAACCTCTCCTCGTAGCTCTTGCCCTTCAGTTCTGGGAGCCACTTAGTAGCATGTCTTTGCACCTTTTCCAGTTTGTTGATGTGCTTCTTAAGATATGGGCACCACACAACAGCTGCATATTCTAGCTTTGGCCTAACAAAAGTCGTGAACAATTTCTTTAGTATTTCGCCATCCATGTATTTAAAAGCAATTCTGAAGTTAGAAAGTGTGGCATAGGCTCCTCGCACAATACTCTTTATGTGGTCCTCAGGTGATAGTTTTCTATCTAGAATCACCCTTAGATCTCTTTCTTTATCAAAATTCTTTAAAGATTTCTCACATAATTTATAGGTTGTGTGGGGTCTATGGTCTCCTATGCCACATTCCATAACATGGCATTTGTTCACATTAAATTCCATTTGCCAAGTGTTGCTCCATATACTTATTTTGTCCAGGTCTTCTTGAAGGGCATAACAATCCAATAAGTTTCTTATTCTTCCTATTATCTTAGCATCATCAGCAAACATGTTCATATAATTTTGTATACCAACTGGTAGATCATTTATGTAGACAAACATCACTGGTGCAAGAACTGAACCCTGATATACTCCACTTGTGACATTTCTCCAGTCCGATACATTGCCTTTGATTACTGCCCTCATTTTTCTATCATAAAATTTTTCATCCATGTTAGAAGCTTACCTGTCACCCCTCCAATATTTTCCAGTTTCCAGAACAACTTCTTATGTGGAACTCTGTCGAAAGCCTTTTTTAGGTCCAGATAGATGCATTTAACTCAACCATCTCTTTCCTGTAAAATCTCTGTGGCTCGATCATAGAAACTGAGTAAATTCAATACACAGGATCTTCCAGATCGAAAACCATACTGTCTGTCTGATATTATATCATTTCTCTCCAGGTGTTCTTCACATGAGTTTTTATTATTTTTTCCAATACAGTACTTTTACTATTACACTTGTCAATGATACAGGTCTATAATTGAGGGGGTCTTCCCTGCTGCCACTTTTGTAGATTGGAACTATGTTAGCCTTTTTTCCACACGTCTGCTACGACTCCTGTACACAGGGATGCCTGAAAGATCAGGTGAAGTGGAATGCTGAGCTCAGATGCACATTCTCTCAAAACCCATGGTGAAACTCCATCTGGGCCAACTGCTTTGTTCTTACTTAGCTCCTTTAGCATATTTTCCACTTCATCTCTAGACACCTCTATATGCTCTGTTGTTCTCTGGAATTCTTATTGTGTCTGGTTCTCTGAAGATTTCATTTTGTACAAACACACTTTGGTACTTTTCGTTTAATGTTTCACACATATCCTTTTCCTTTTCCTTGAATCTATTTCCCATTTTCAACCTCTGGATATTATCCTTTACCTGCAATTTGTTGTTTATGAATTTGTAGAATAGGCCAGGTTCTGTTTTACATTTATCCGCTATTCTTTTTTTCAAAATTTCTTTCTGCCTCTCTCCTTACTGCCGTATAGTTGTTTCTCGCATCTTTGTATCGCTGGTATGTTTAATATGTTTGGGGTACGCTGGTATGTTTGGGGGTTTGGCCTCTTCCTATATTGATTCCATTTTTGTGTCTTTTGGTCTCCGGCCCTCTCGCAATTTCTGTTGAACCAATCCTGTTTTCTGGCCCTGCTTCTCTATTTTGGTATGAATGTTTGTGTGACTTTATCGTATATTTTACAAAATTTGGCATACATTTCATTTACTTCCCTGCCTAGCAACAAGTCTGTCTAATTACACTCATTAATTTTTTTTGAAGTTCCCCATAGTGACCTCTCCTTAAATCAAGTTTATCAACTGTTTCAATGTCCGCATTTTCTTCTAGATGATATCTTAAAGCATATTTAATGTCTAACAGGATGTATTCACTCTTTCCCAAGGGAGGAAGGTACTGGATGTCAAATATCTCTTGCAGGCGATGAGTCACAATAACGTGGCTGAAGAATGTTGACCAGACCACACACTAGAAGGTGAAGGTGAAGGCTAACATGGATGAAAAATTTTTTGACTGATAGAAAAATGAGGGCAGTAATAAGAGGAAGTGTATCGGACTGGAGAAATGTCACAAGCGGAGTACCTCAGAATTACACGAGTACAGAATTATATGAACATGTTTGCTGATGATGCTAAGATAATAGGGAAGATAAGAAATTTAGATGATTGTCATGCCCTTCAAGATGACCTGGACAGAATAAGTATATGGAGCAAATGTAAATAAAAGGCCATGTTATGAAATATGGAATAGGAGAACATAGACCTCACACAACCTATAAATTATGTGAGAAATATTTAAAGAAGTCTGATAAAGAAAGAGATCTAGGGGTAGTCCTAGATAGAAAACTATCACCCGAGGATCACATTAAGAACATTGTGCGAGAGGCCTATGCTACACTTTCTAACTTCAGAATTGCTTTTAAATTCATAGATGGCGAAATACTAAAGAATTTGTTCATGACTTTTGTTAGGCCAAAGCTAGAATATGCAGCGGTTGTATGGTGCCCATATCTTAAGAAGCACATCAACAAACTGGAAAAGGTGCAAAGACATGCCACTAAGTGGCTCCCAGAACTGAAGGACAAGAGCTACAAGGAGAGGTTAGAGGCAATAAATATGCAAAAACTAGAAGATAGAAGAAAAAGAGGCGATATGATCACTACGTACAAAATAGTAACAGGAATCTATAAAATTGATAGGTTAGAATTTCTGAGACCCGGAACTTTTAAGAACAAGAGGTCATGGATTTAAACTAACGAAACAAAGCTGCCGGAGAAATATAAGAAAATTCACTTTTGTAAACAGTGGTGGATGGTTGGAACAAGTTAGGTGAGGAGGTGGTGCAGGCCAAAACTGTCGGTAGTTTTAAAGCGTTATACGACTAAGAGTGCTGGGGAGATGGGACACCACAAGCGTAGCTCTCATCCTGTAACTACACTTGTGTAATTACCTAAGTAATTACCTATATGTATTTCTATAGGCCATTGCTCCTCATGCCTCTGAGGGGGGGGGGGCAGATTCTGGCTCATGATCCCTGGTAGGCCTAGAATTCCATTCACACTAATGCCAAAGTCTAATAATATACATATCAGCCTGGGTAGCTCTGGAGAGCCGAAGGGGCGCCCCCCCAGAAAAGTATGATTTCTATTGTAATTGATATTGTAGACTAAATAATAACTGTAATTACCATCGTTACAAGATAAGAGCTATATGCTTGCGGTGTCCTGTCATCCCAGTACTGTATTTTGTCATGGGATGCTTTGAAACTCCTGACTGTTTTGGCCTCCATGGCCTTCTCACTTAACTTATTCCAACCATGTGCCACTCTGGTTGCAAAAAAAACTTTCTAATATTTGTAATATGCCTTTGTTTCCTTAGCTTGAATCTATGACCTCTTGTTCTTGAAGTTGCTTGTTTAGATTTTGGTTTCTATGTGATGGCCTGAGAATACCTCGTCTTGTTTTCTAGAAATCAACTACCAGTACAGGTCAGAACAAGTTGAAAATGGCCAAGATTGGAGGAAACTGACATGGAAATTGACCTCCCTGAAAAACCTCAGTCAAAATAATTGAATTAGAGTAACCTCATTTATTTTTACCAACATAAAAAGCCTGAAAATTCAGGCAAAAAAATGTACTTTCATTTCATTTTTTTTTCACAAAAAAAATGGCCTCCTCAGATGGGAATGCAGTATTTTGGAGCTTTTTCTGAAACCCACATGAGAGATTACTTGTACAGTGAAATATTGATTCCAACATATTATTTACATAGTAAATTGGTCAATGGAGAAGTAGGTTTGTACAGTATATTAATGAGGACCATGTATGCACAAAAGCTCCTGAGCTCGGCAATTGAGATGGTAGAGGTAGATTCCAAACAAATATTATTGACAGCTTTGTAGGCAGCTATCCTATTCTTAATTTATTCTTTCAATCATCCTATCCTTACCTGCTACTCTCCTCACTCTCTTACCTGCTATTTGCCTGCTCCTCACTCTCCTACCTGCTCCTTACCTCACACTCTTGCCTGCTTCTCGGCTCACACTCTTGCCTCCTGCTCACCTCGCCTCACACTCTTGCCTCCTGCTCACCTCGCCTCACACTCTTGCCTCCTGCTCACCTCGCCTCACACTCTTGTCTCCTGCTCACCTCGCCTCACACTCTTGCCTCCTGCTCACCTTGCCTCACACTCTTACCTCCTGCTCACCTCGCCTCACACTCTTACCTCCTGCTCACCTCGCCTCACACTCTTGCCTCCTGCTCACATCGCCTCACACTCTTACCTCCTGCTCACCTCGCCTCACACTCTTACCTGCTCCTCGCCTCACACGTACCGTCTCCTCACATCTCGTCTTGCACCCCTGGAAGACAGCCACCCCACTCTAAGCACAGTGCTGAAAAATCACTGGAGCCAGAGCACACAACCTCTGCCTTTAGCAGAGCAAGGGTCCAAGCCTACTTGCTCTAGGCTTGGCTGTGAGAGTATAATCAGGGAATAAGTTGTAGGTAAAGCAAAATTGTGTACCCACATTCTAATACACAACCCTCACTGTCTGCCCCACCCTCACACACAGTAGCCAGCTATTCGCCCCATCTTTCTGTACTGTAAAACGTAAGTGGAGAGATGGTATGTGGGGGTATTTGTGTTTTAATATTTCATGATATTGCTTGTACAGGAAAGGCAGGACTTTCATTTTAAAAATATTTCATAATATTGTTTTGGGAAGATATGCCTGGCATAAGGGACAAAGGATATCTAACAGGAAGATTGTAAAATACAGCATTTTAATTTTTTGTAATTGAAAACTATTTATCAATATAGTAGTCATGTTATGACTGAACCTCTGAATTTCCTGGCATTAGGAATACCCTGAATTTTGAATTCCTGAATTTTCTTGCTTAGGTTAGCCAGTTATTTGATTATAAAATATTCACTAATATTCAGATATTCAGTTACAAGCTACTATTTGGTAGTTTGCATGCATGCATTTGTTGACATTTTTCTAATTGGCTTCTCTGCTGTTATTTAGTTTGACTTGAATATGGTGACACATCTTCCTCTTGCCTGGGGAAATATACTGCCTTCATGCCCAGTATTGCTAATATGGCCTTGCTTCTCTTACCCATCACTGTTACAAGTCCTCCTTACTAGTTCTAATAATATCTACATGCATGTAAATATTTTAGATGTTAATTTCTGTATATGTTCAGCACATAGCTGTTATTTAGGCAGGTTTGCAGTACTGATGATCTTTGTATTTGTGTCCAGGATGAGGAAGTGGGACTGGTGAGCGAGCTAGGTCACCTGCAGGAGGTCATGACCCAGCTGGAGAAGCACTCTGCTGATCCCCACACACTTCCGCCCGCCAGTGAACAGGTACATTGTGCTCGTCATCCTTAATATTTGCAGCTTACTTTCTTGGGAAGCCTCCTTGTGGCTTTTAAGCTACTATTTCGGATACTACTAGGTCCAATCTAACGCAGAGTTGTATTGGCCTTCCAGAGACCCTGAATAACAACCCGGCCCACTCACAGGGAACAGTGGCACAGGAAAAGGTGGTACATATGATAAATGTTTTAGAAATTTATTCATATTCATGGCAGTGTTTGTTAGTTCTCAACTCCGGCTGCTGAATTGCGGAGCTTTATGCTCTTCTCCTGAGGTGGGAGTTCTTTTCTTTATGTACTGGTGGGTAGCTTATTCATTTGTAGCCACCTCCTTCTTTTCTGGTTGAGAACAGGTAGAGGGATTTTTTTTTGGGGGGGGGGGAGGGAACCTTTGATGATTATCTAGTCTTGATAGGGTGCATCATTTGTTGTGTACAGTGGCAACGCTTTGCTGCTCCCTATACGTCACTAGTTTTGTCATGGTAAACACTTTGTTGGTTTCTTGGTCCCCATGTTTCAAGGTTCATATACATCTTGCCAGCAGTGTCATCTAAGCAAGCAAGCTGTCTGTCCTCAGGTCCACGATGTTTGTACAGTCGCTGCTTTAACTACTGTTTTGTCACTTGTCATGGGCTGCTTTTTGGGTTTAGGGATTTAAGAGGTATTTTGATGACTTGTGTGGTTGCAATTCTCTTCCCTGGTCTTTCCCATGTCTTCTGCTTCCCGTGGTTAGTTGGCTTAACTCCTGAATTAAGGAGGCCAAGAGGCTCCTCCCAGAAAACCAACATTGAATGTAATGAAACTCTTTCTGGTAGAGCCACAGTAGTTACACGACTCCCGCCCTCCCTCCCTTCCAGGTTCATTGTGCATCAGCTTCAATCTAACCTTACAGCTGGCTGTTGGACAGTACTAATAGGTTCAAGCTATTTTCAAGTGAGCCAGGTGTTTTGATTGAATTATTTAAAATTCCTGCTGATACCCGAGTCTCCAGGATGAGGTTTCCGAATCTGCCAGTTGTCCTCCTGAATCTGCCAATGTCCTCCAGTCTTGCTTCATAGGTCTCCCAGTCTGTTGATTTCAAATTGAAGTCATCAAGTACTAACACTTGTGATTTATCCTTGTGTACTCTTAATATAATCTCTCATGATCATTATAAGGCCCTTCTCTTTTGACATCTAACTCTTTCTTTATTCATGTGTTATTATTTATTGTGTATGCAAATTTGCACTAAATCTTTGTGTTGCAGGTTGCTTACATGAGTATTTGTTTCAGGTGCTGTTGGACATAAAAGATGGCGAGGCTCAGTGGTCATGGCAGACTCCACCATCGTCGCCTTCTTCACTAGGATCTCGGAAATCTTCCATGTGTTCAATCTCTTCGCTTAACTCTTCCTCGTCCTCATCTACACACTCTCCTTCACACCATAATCGCACACGCTCTGTCAGTCAGGTTTGTGTGTGGCGTGAAGCCTTTCATATAGTTTCTTCAATGATTCCTCTCTACAGCACTGACATAAAAATGTAATGCCAGTAGGTATGGACTAAACAGTCTATTAATATGAAACAGGATTTTTAATGCTACATATTTCAGGTAGGCTACAGTACTTCATTGTCCATTGTACTTTGTGCAAGATAATTCTTTAAGTTATAATCAACCCATCCTCCTGTTTAAATAATCATTTTTGTAACTATGTGCACTATAGTACAAACATGATGTACTAAGCAGTTAAGTAGTAGAATTTGGTACTATTCACTTTATAGAGTCTGAAAAAATTAAGCTGAAAAGCAAAATTAAATATTCCTAGACCTAGTATAGTACACACACATGTACTGTACTATATTAGGCCTCAGATAGCATGTATTAGGACTATGAAGGTTAGATTAAGTTAGTTTAGTTTGTCTTCTCAACCTACCGTATATAGAAAATCTTTTCCGGTTTGTCCAAATACAGCTGTACAATAGTACTGAATCCTACTTTCTATTTGTGTTGTACATTGGTATATGTACTGTGGTCCTCATCGTTACTATAAGTACTACCAAAACAGGAGGATGGGCTGGCATAATAGCCTCTACAAGTAGCAGGTAAGGAATGTAGTACAGTACTGTAATTATCAACATTTATGAATATATGTTGCATTAAGACTAAGGTGCCTCTTGGTAGTTAAACATGAATTGATGCTTTAATTTTATATGGAAAGATTTTAGTACACTGGTTAGTTTCATTTTTCTATATGTTTGTTGCACTCATAGTGGCCTCATTGCTCACTCTCAGTACATGTAGTGCTTATCTATACCCATGTTTGAGGTCTAACTCTCTGTAGATTATACTCAGATTAATGCAATTTTTATATAGATGACAGCATTACAGGATTACCTTGCTTTAATAAATATTTGATTTAGAATCTTGTAGTTTTCATCGTGTACCTTTTACTGTGAGATTTCCTTATTCTAATACTGTAAGCCTGTGATGCAGTATTTGAAAAGTGAATATTGTTTGTAACAGGTACTGTTTTTTTTTTTTGTCTTGATGTCTAGATAACTTTCTTCAGTATCTGTTTACTTGATTTGGATTTCTGAAGTATTTTAATTTTATTGTTTGTCAGTTCACACTTTGACAACACTAACTTTATTCCTTAAAGGTTAATTTTGCTTGCATTATTTTCTTCTGAAGCTACATATGTTCCTATAGCTTCTGCTGGATGTAGAACATATTCCCAACATTTTATTTGTATCTAGTACTTTCAGGGGGAAAACCCCTTGTGGCTCCCTGAACACACTATATCTCTGATAGTGTGTCATACTACCCGGTCCCATGAGTTGCGGGGTTCTATTGGCCTACAGGGGACTAGAGCCAGAACCTGGTCTCTCACAGAGGTAGAGAATGGTGGCATTTTTGTATTAAATTGTTCATTGATTCCACCTGCTTGGAAAGGCATTCAGAAAGTCAGCAAAAAAAAAAAAAAAAACTGCTGGCTTTAAATGAGACTTCAGCCTCAAGAACCACCTAAAGAATTCCCCTAACTATGTAAACAAACCTGAAATTACCTAAATTTACCTGATGGCCCACACTAGTGGCCTCACTGAGGACAGGAAGTCAGTAGCTTGATGGCCAGCATTGCTGGTAGTGCTAATCAGTAATTAAAGAAATAACTCGGTGACACAGGAGTACATATAAGTCGCGTAAAGCCATTTTAGCGAGCTAAGTATTAGCCAAGACCAGTCAACAACATTGAGAAATTTTTTTTTCCAGGGATATTCCTATGCAGGCCCTAAGCCTCTGGCTAGCCCACTCAGTGTTACTCGTTTCTGTTGTATTTAGGCGGAGTTTGAGTATTTTTCATCTAGGGTGATGATCTGACAACAAATCTGTTACAATAGATGATGTGCACCAGACGTGAGAAATGTTGAAACCAACACAGAGGTCTAGAATGCCTCCACAAATATGTGTGGATTCAAGGTTGCCCACAATCTGCACATCTTCGTGATTATTTAGTAGCGACAGCAGTTGATTCCCATTCCCGTTGCTGAAGCGAGAGCCACCAATGTCCTTGTGTCTAGCATTGTAGTCACCAAGAATGATGGCCGGCTCTGCTTGAGTGCAGGCTGGAAGATTAATATAATTTAGCTTTCCTGCTAGAGCATATAGATTAAATACATTGAGGATAGAGTTACCCACATAAATCCTCACTCCATGATATTGTTGACCCACAGTTTGTTTTTCTGGAAGAAGTTGATGGGATAAGGATTGTTTGATGTATAGAATGCAAGAGTTATTGGATCTGAGGTTGTAAGAAACAAATGAGGGAAATTTTGGGGGTGAGGATCTTGCGGGAACTGCACTCCTGGAGACATACAGTATCGATGTGTTCAGTTGTTACTTTGTGATGTAAATCTGAGAAGGTTTCTTTTCAGGGATACAATGTTCCAGTTAAGGATGGATAGCTTAATTATTTGTGCATTTAAAGTAAGCATTATATATATTGATAATATTAGTCCACTTAATATATAGTATCTATTTCAATAGGATATAAGTCCAGGAATATTTCTTAGCATATTACCAATGGAACACATTTGCCTCCAATTGTCTAATACAATTTGTCATTTTCATCTATAGAGTCATTTAGAACATACCTTAACACAGCTTTGGCAGTTAACCTGCATGGAAGGGCTCCACTACACAAGGTTTCAAGGTCACTAGAAGTTTCCCCTGATTGGCAAGCGAACACATGTTAGGAGGGTTCAGGGGTGGAAGGGGAGGTTTGGCAGTCATTGCTTAAAAGTTCCTTCATACATGTGAGCATCATTACAATATCGCTGGTGGATTTTTTCTCATGTTAGAGTTACTCTTGCAACCACTCCGTCTCCTGCTGCGACTACTACTGGTATTCCTGCAACCGGTCATGAAGGGCAGCCGCTACTTGAACAGAGGAGCGACCCAAGGGTGAGGTGATAGGGAGGCTGAGGTTGCGATCTGTCTCATTTTGATCCAGTTCCTTATCCTTCACTTCCAGTTGACCAGGTGTCCAGGTGTCCAGCTGTGGGTGGTTTCCCCCCTATAGTAGGTGACATTATCCCAGAACCAGGAAGTGGCCACTCTACATCAGGGGAAGGCCCACCACTGGCAGAAGATACAGCACCTGGTTCTTGTGGGGGAGCTGGGATGATGGCACGAGTCTTCGGTCTGGTACCGGTCCCCTTGTAATTGTGTAGTAGAGCCCCAGGACAAAATAATCAATAAATTGCGATTGGTTGCAAATTGGGTGATTTTGCTTGATTGGATTCAATAAGCTCATATATGTAGCATTTTTATTCCAAATTGTTTGTAAGGGATTGTTCTATCAAATGCCATAGTGAAAATGAAGAATTCTTAATAAATGAATTTTGTACGAATATTTATATAGGCACTGATACAGATGGCTTATGGAAATCCTGGCCATTACATAATATTTGTGGCCACCAATAACAGTCACATAGTTATGATTTTGATAAGGAATGGTTTACCAATGATTGTTCTATCATGTGCCATGTTCAAAATGATAAATACATAATAAATAGATTTTCTGTGATTTTTGTTTTGTTGACAGTGGATGTAGGACCTCTGTTATTTTCACATGGAGGGGAGGGACAGCCTGGGGCTGACGGGTAGAACGAATTCCGTGGTGAAACGAATTGGCCTCGCCCCATATAGTTCGTTAAAGTGAGGACACACTGTACTCTCTTTTTTTCCGTTTTTTCACCTCAATTTTCATTGTACGTCGTTCATTTTGGTATCAAATTGTTTGCAATAGAATTCCCTACAGGCTTATGTGCATATAAAGTCAAAATGCCTGGCATGCCACTTGTAGCAAACATGAAAATTGGCCAAACATTTCCTGTGAGCGAGCTCCCATCCGCACACCCATAACACCCGCATTAAAATGTGTTTTCTCACGTAAATTTTAGTGTTACATCATTCATTTTGGTATCAATTTTTGAAATATAATTCTCTAAAGGGATATAGGCATATAAGATCAAACACCCTGGCGTGCCACCGTCAGCAAACCCAAAAATCGGCCAAGCAGTACCTGTGAGCGTGCAACCACTAAAATGTGTGTACTCTTTCAGATTTCCCATGTCAATTTTCGTGTTACATCGTTTATTTTGGTATCAAATTGTTTACAGTAGTATTTTCTAAAGGAATATATGTATATAAGATAAAATTCAACAGGCGCGCTACCCACAGCAAACTAGAAAGTCCGCCGAGCGTTCCCCACGAGCGAGCGCCAATCTGCCCATCTATAATAAAATGTGTAGACTCTGTTCAGTTTTTTCACCTTAATTTTCATGCCAAATCATTCATTCTGGTCCCAAATGGTTCGCAATCTAAAGGTGCACATTTTAAAACTAGTCCCATAATGATGGAAAAAATAATTTTAATATATTTAAATTTTGGACGGCCGTCCGTTTTGTACATCCTCAGAGTTAATTGTGGACGTCGTGGATGTCCATGGGGGACGAAAGTGTTAGACATGCACCCTATGGCCATACAGGAGAACCCAGAAGGTAATCAGATGTTTGGGGAACACAGTGAATGCAGGCAAAGACTGCAGTCTCATCTGAAGCCAGTAGTGGTGTTTTGTTTTGCTGACTTTCTGTATGCCTTTCCCACTGGGTGGCAAAAATGAATAATCTAATACATTTGACAGTCCTACGGGTTTTGACAGTCCCACACAAGAGATTTCTTGGAAATGAACATGCTGGAGGGGTAATTTTGAAATTGCTGACATGGATAACAACATTTCTGACAGACAGAAAGATGAGGGTGGTAATTAGAGGCAAAGTATCTGACTGGAGGCATGTTACTAGTGGAGTACCACAAGGTTCAGTTCTTGTGCCATTAATGTTTATCGTTTACATAAATTATTTACCAGAAGGAATACAAAATTAAATGAACATGTTGGCTAATGATGCTATGCTGCTAGGGAAGATAGGAAACCTAGATGATTGTCATGCTCTTTAAATTGATCAAGATAAAATAAGTGCTTGGAGTACCGTGTGGCAAATGGAATTCAATGTGAATAAATGCCATATTATGGAATGTGGAATAGGAGAAAATAGACCCTGCATAACCTACAAATTATGTCAAAATTACTTGAAGAACTCTTAACAGAGAGATCTAAGAGTGGTTCTGGATAGAAGACTGTCAACAGAGGCACACATATAGGATATTATGCGAGGAGTTGCACTTTCCAAATTCAGAATCTCTTAAAATTACAGACGGTGAAATACTGATGAAACTGCTCATGACTTTTGCGAGACCAAAATTGGAACATGCAGCAGTTGTATGGTCCTCATATCTCAAGAAGTGCATCAATAAACTGGAAAGCAGCACATCATTAAATAAAGCATGCCAAGACATGCTACAAAATGGCTTCCAGAATTGAAAACAAAAGTTATGAAGAAAAGCTAGAGGTATTAAATATGCCTAGACTAGAAGATGGAAGAAAGAGGTGATATGATAACTTACAAAATAATAACAGGAGTCAAGCAAATTGACAGGAATTCCTAAAACTGACAACCTCAAGAACAAGAGGTCACAGATTCAAGCTAAGGGAAACAAAGATGCCAAAAAATACTAGATAGTTTTCTTTTGCAAAGTGGTAGATGGTTGGAACAAGTTAATTAAATGAGGTGGTGGTGGGGGCCAAAATTGTCAGTAGTGGCAGAGTTATGACAGTGCTGGGAAGATGGGACACCACGAACATAGCTCTTATCCTGTAATTACAATTAGGTAATTATATAAATGCCACCACTCTCCATGCCTCTGTGAGGGGGGGGGGGGGACCAGGTTCTGGCTCTAGTCCCTTGTAGGCCAATTGAACTCAGACTGATGGGATGTAGGAGTATGACAAACTATCAGAGATAGTAGCTACAGGAAGCTACCTGGGCTCACCCAGAAATTGGCATTTCATTACATTTGACACTGTCTTTTTTCTTATATTTTTGTCGTATTTTGTGTGGTAGTAGTGTGTTATGTTATTGTCTTTAGGGCACAAGGCTGGTGAGTGTGTCATCGCAGGACTCTGGATTCACATCGCAGGACACCCTCTGCCACTCTACCCTCTCTCACGCCCCGGCTGCACTTCGTGTACAAACGGTAACATGGTTGACTATATTCTAGTGTCCATCTTTGGTGGCAGTGATACTGCATCACATATTTGATGAATGAACACCGACTTGTTTGCTTAATTTGAAACACCACCATGTTTACTCCTTGTATTTGAGGCAATTCATATAATGTTGTAATGAAAATAATAAATTCATTATAATTTCCAGATTTTTATTATAAAGACAGTATTAACTGTGTATTGTGCCTAGAATATTGTGCATCATAGATGCATAATATTCAGGCTGTGAATTATGCATTATAGATGCATAATTAACAGCCTGTTCGTGTCAAGTTGGTCTGAAAAAAATATAATTTAATAATACTGTCTAAGCTCAATTATCCGAATTATACGGGAAGGACCTCCCGCCAGAAAACCAGACGTGAAGAGAAGCAGAATTTTTACTGGGGAAGTCCAAAATTAAACATATTTGCAATATTTTCCTACCACAACCAACATAATCTGAATGTACACAAACACACACACACACACACACACACACAAGCTAGAACAGAAGAACTGCATATGAAGCTAGAACATTCTCAATCGACTTGAGAATGATCCAGGATGGACTGAAATGTCGTCGTCCCTTCACATTCTAGTGTGTGGTCTGGTCAACATACTTCAGCCACGTTATTGTGACTCATCGCCTGCACTAGAACAGAGGATTTTTGGATTTGTAGATTCGTAAACCTCATCCTGGAAACATTCGTGTTTCAACATATTAACCCTTAACATGCTCGGGGTTTAATATCCTGTCATCCCCACAGGCGCATGTCATTTTGAAAAAAAAAAAATTATTTTTTCTTTCTAACCTGTTAATTTGTGTTCACTGATCACGGGAAAAATAATAAAAAAATCGTAAGTGGCATATATTGCCCGCTATAGGACGGGAAAGTTTGGCAAATTATAGGCGCTGACTCAGCGTGCGTCCCAGGCGGTCTGTTGCTCGCAAGCTGTCAGGCCAGAGTTGCCACAAAGAGATAATTACCGAATTATTTCAATGTCTCTGATTGATTTTTCATACTTTTTTTGCTGTAATATTATTCAATAGTGTGTAGTTTGATATATTTATATAATAAAATGAGTGAATCGTTGGTGTACTCAAAATATGGTGTGCATATTGTTGATTCAATTATGTTCATCAATCAGTGAACAAATACTTTGTCGGTTATTACACTATAAGCACAGGTTATATATAAGTATTTGCATGTTTTGTTCACTATAACGAACCACTAAGTAGCTATTATGAGTCAAAAAGTAATGAGGAGTGACCGCCGTGTACCAGCCAGCCACTCCCGCCCTCCCTCCAGTCATCTGACTCACCCTCATTCTCCTCCCACAATAATGTTTTTGCTATAATTCACTATATACAGACGTTATATATATAAGTATCTACATGTTTTGTTCACCATAACTGTACATCTAAGCTTGTATGGTGAGTAAAGGCACAGAGATGTGGCTACTCACACAGTCAGCTGATCGGCGGCTGCCCTCAAGGTCAGACGCACTAATGTACGCACTAATGCTCCTCCTCCCGAGGAGGGGGGAGCTGCGCAGACAGCGGCGCGGTGACGTATGACGTCATACTAGTTTCCTTGTTTTCTGTTGAAGAGTTCTATCCACTAGTTCGGCTTTAGGTAGCAATTTTCACCAGAATAGGGGTTTGTTTTGGAATGCTTACCTTTCTGGATGCTTGACCCGGTCGATGGCAGACATAGAATGCTTCCTACCACACGGGGGTTTCTATAGGCCATTGCTCCCCTTGCCTCTCTGAGGGGGCCAGGTTCTGGCCGTGGTCCCCGGTAGGCCCTAGAACTCCATACACATGACTGATGCCAAAGTCTGACATTAGCATATCAGCCTGGTAAAGCTCCGGGAGCCTCCGGGTCTCACCCAGAAAATGGCGTTTCATTACATTCAACGCTGTTTTTTTTTTGTTGCGCCTGTGGGTGTGAATTCCATTTGGGCCCCTAGTGGTTTGAGGGTTAAGGATTAAAAAGTGAACAAATTCCTATTGTTTTTTGTAATTAAAATACAATACTGTGTTCTCAAAAGTACACTCATGGAATTTTATTGTTGAAAAGATTTGCATAATTTCAGAAGAACATGTTGTAATAAAAAATTGGTTTCCAGGCATCAGGATTGTCAGAACAGTCATGTGGTTCAGAGAGCAGTACACCATCTCCCGCTACATCAAATGCAACATGGCCCAATCTCACCGACCCATCCCTCCACCACAAGGCAGCACCATCCTTCTCTGACAGACCACACACGATCTCCTCTGGTAATGTGCAATATTTTAGTTTCTGGAGGGAGCCTCTTGTAGCTCCCTGAAGCTGTCTTCCTAAGATTGTTTCATACTAAAAGATCACATCAGTCATGGATAGTTTCATTTGTCCTACCAGAGACCAGAGCCAGAACCTGGCCTCCCTAGTAAGAGACACAAGGAGCAAGGGACAATCTTTCTCATCACCAGAAAAAAAACTCCAGAAAGTCAACACAGCTTTACAGACAACTGGAGGGTTCACAGAAAATGAGGCCTTCAAAACTACCAAAGAACTTCACAAATGAGTCACACGAAACAAGGGATTCGCTCAAATGAGCTCGAAAAACATTAGTACTGATTACCACTACCAGACAGCCAGGCCCTGTCTCCCAGCTGGCTTTCCAAGTCATTTCTATTTTTGATGCCAGTGTCTTCACATCTACTTGTAGTGCTTCCAGTTATGCTAGGTTGTGGGCAAGCCTATCTGCTTCAAGTTAAATGCTGGCCATCCTTGGAATTGGTTGTCCTGTGGGGGCCATTTGTTTTGTATATCGTTTCCCATTTTAGTGTAGGCCTCATGTGACCGTTTTGATTCCGGCTGTTGAGTGGGCTTGGCTTATTGAGTGCTTTGGGCTGTATGTGCTTAGGGTTCTTTTCCCTGTGTGCCCTTTAACGCTACCCTTGCACAGTCAGAGCTTCCCTTCTTTGGTGTGTTCGAGAATTTGCCCCTGTGAGGCCTGTCCATCAGGTTGGGAGTTTTGCCTTGGGCTAATCACGAATCTTTCATCCCTCTGCCTGGGCCCTTGGTCAGGAGCATTCCTTGAGTGTGTTAGGGTGCACTGGGGTTTGCATGCTTGTTTCCACAGTACACTGCAGTTACCTCGTGTAGTCTGGTGGTTAAGGTTGCATCTGGTGTCTGTTCCTCCAGCAAGCAGCCCTAGTGCCTGGGATAACTGCTTGGTTATATTCCTTCAGGTCCTGAGAATCCCTTCCAAGTCTGTCATGGTCATTATGGAGCAGCCCATCAAGCCCATCCTCACTATTTTAGAGTATGAGGGCAGTTCATTGTCTTTTCTACCTCATGATCACCATTCTTTCGGCCCACACCATGCTGCCTGTTGGGTTTGTCATGTTTATAATCCGGAATCATGTGAGGTGTGGTCTCATTGGGAGTCTGCTTTAACAGATTCTAACTCCTAGTTGGAGGCTTTCCAGCCAGCTGCTGCTTTATGGGCTATCTCTTGAGGTTATCTTGAGATGATTTCGGGGCTTAGCGTCCCCACGGCCTAGTCCTCGACCAGGCCTCCTTTTTGTTACACCTCCCCCCCCCCCAGGAAGCAGCCCGTAGCAGCTGTCTAACTCCCAGGTACCTGTTTACTGCTAGGTAACAGGTTTGATGTGGCCCCTTCGGTTCAGGATTGTTTCTCCAAGGCTCTTTTTTCTGTTGGCATTGGCCTCTGGGTGTCGGGTTGGTGAGCTTCATGCTCTCTTCCGGTGCAGGTGTTTCTGCTCTTTCTGTCTTCGTGATGGTTTTATTCATTTGCAGCCATCTCCTTCTTTTCTGGCGAAGAATGAGATTGCTGCTTTCTGGAGGGGTCCCTGGGTTGTGGATGCTTGGTTGATTAGGCACGGGGTGCATCATGTTTTGTGTCTTGTTGCGGCTCTTTGCTGTTATTTGCGCGCCACGGCTTCTATGCCCAGGGACGCACTTTGGGTTGATCCAATTTCCCATCTTCCCTGTTCGCGGGTGCAGGTCTCCTAGGTCGTTAGCAGAGTTATTAAGGCTAGCCAGCCTGCGGTCTATCCCCGTGCCCATGACGTTCGTAAGTTTGTTGCTCTTGCTGCTGTCTTTGGCAACATGTCATGGGCTGACATTCGGGCGCAGGGCTTTTGGCGGTCAAACAGGGTCCTGGCTGCTCGTTACCTTGTGGCCTGTGTTGCTTTGGGTCAGCAGTTGCAGCCAGTTGTCTCGACTTCAAATTGAGGAATGAGCAGCGACCGCCTCCCGGATAAGTCGCTAAGTTTTTTCCTCTGTGGGTAGTTAGCTCCAGGGAGCCGAAAGGGCTCCCCCCAGAAAACCAGCGTTGAATGTAATGAAACCCCATTTTTCTGGGCGAGACCTGGAGGCTTCCCGGCATCCCTCCCTCCCTCCGGTCGGCAGTTTTTCACGTGTTTTGACATCCAGCCTAAGAACTAACGGGTGGATAGTCGATGTGTGGGGTCTGGGGCTCCCCCTTCTCCCTCCCGGGAAGGAGGGGAGCTGCGCAGACAGCGGCGCGATGACGTGTGACGTCGTGATCGTTTGCTCGTTTCGTTTAAGAGAGTTCTATCCACTTGTTCAGCTTTTGGTAGCAATATTTTCACCAGAATAGGGGTTTGTTTTGGGACGCTTACCTTTCTGGGTGCCTGACCCGGTCGATGGCGGACATAGAATGCTTCCAACCACATGGGGGGGTTTGTATAGGCCATTGCTCCCCTTGCCTCTTCTGAAGGGGGCCAGGTTCTGGCTCGTGGTCCCCGGTAGGCCCATAGAACTCCATACACATGACTGATGCCAAAGTCCGACATTAGCATATCAGCCTAGTAAGCTCCGGGGAGCCTCCGGGTCTCACCCAGAAAATGGCGTTTCGTTACATTCAACGCTGGTTTTCTGAGTGAGCCGCAATGGCTACCTGACACCTCCCTCCTCCTAGGTCATCGAGGGACTTTGTATCATTTGTAGAACTGACAGAGCTGCAATCTGCCTTTCTCCTCCCCCCAAATGAGGGGGGGAGATTCTATAGCCGGTTCACGAGGCTGGGGTCTTGTTTGAAGCCAGCAGTAGTTTTTGTTTCACTGACTTTGTATTTTCTTTTGTGGCGGCATAAATGAATAGCCTAATATATCAATACCATCGCTCTCTGCTCCGCTCTGAGGGGACCAGGTTCTGGCTAATGATCCCCGGTAGGCCATAGAACTGTGTCTTACTGGGCCTAGTAATATGACTTCAGGAAGCCTCTGGGGCTCACCCAGAAATTGGCATTTCATTACATTCAACGCTTGTGTTTCTGGTTCTTTTACAGCATATGAAAAGGGACGTGACCGTCCCTCATTGACTGTGTACACATTTCAGCCTCCTGAAAGACGAAGTGTTCCTGCATCTCCTCAGATTTGCTCCCAGCCATGTAGTCCAGTCTGTCTTGAGGTAAAGATGCTTCAGATGATCATAATAATTAATAATAATAATAATTTTATTATAAAATGCATTTATTACAGGCATGATAAAGTGGAGTACACAATGCATATTATACAAGGCCACTAATATGAAAGAGCACTTTGGGCATAACATAATATAATTTGATCAATTATTAGTTAATGGCGTAACAACTTAATACTAAACAAATAGCAAGTTTATTATTTTGTATTTATTATGAATTGCAGTTATGAATTATCTATTATATTTTTTCAGCTTGAAAGTGTAGGCATAAGTCCCTTGGTTGGCCATACAGCAACTATATCTCGCCGATCCTCACGTACTTCACTGCACCCTAATCTTTCCTCATCAAGCCAGGAAAGCCTCATTGTTTCCGTAAGAAAAATATATGTTCATGTGTACTTGCCTAGTTCACCTCACGTGTGTACTCACATGTGTGTGCATTTGCATGACTAAATGGTAGTAAAGGGTTGAGCTTCAATTCTGGGGGACTCACTCGATACGTTGGATTAGCTGGCAACCCTTATATTTCTTAGTGTATGTACTCTTGAACCCGTGTGTGTGAAGTTTGCATTATCTACTTGATCCCTGATGCGTAGATGCTACCTTGGATTCTATTTACTAATCTATATATTTGAATAATAATTCATTATAATTTTATATTAAAAAATATATAGCGGTTAAGTTACAAAGTTAACATGAATTTGCACATTAGTCTGAGAGGGCCTTCTCAGTAACACTGAGCCAAGTGCTGGTCTTTCCAAGCCTTAAGGAAATGTACTTAAGGAGAGATCTCTTATTCACACCCTTGCCTACAAGAAACCTGGTTCAGGATCATGCTCTCTGCAAGGTGAGGTAATCTTCAAAATCAGAGGGTAACCCAAAACTGAAAAAGAATTCTACCAGAAATTATAAATGTAATAAAACAAGCAATTGCCAGATGGTAATGAGGTGAGGATCATTGCTGTGGTGTAAGCTCCTTAATAGTGATATGCCTGATCCCTGCCAGCTAGTAGTCCAGGTCTCTCTGGGTCTTGGCTCACATTCACTTTGAGCAGATAAAGTGAAGCCCACCATGGGGGGGGGGGGGGAGGAAGTGAAAAAGGTGGGGCATATCTTTTAAGAGCTCCACCCAGAGTATACATTTCATAACATTCAGTTCTTGATTTATTTTAAAAGGCTTCTATATATGTAAAGTTTTAGGCAAGTTTTAAAAGTAAAGTTGGTTCCGTTACTACGAACAAGTTATGTTCTGAGAATGTGTTCGTGAAGCAGTTGTTCAGAATGTGATGCAGATTTTCCAAAGCCTCATTGCCATAAAGGGAAGATGCATTCCTTGGCCACCAAAAATTGTCACAAAATAATAATTTGGGATTAACAAAAAAAAAAATTACTTTGAATGATGGAGTTATCCTGCTTATCAAAGTTAACAGTTTTTGAAGAGTGTAGTGGTTTAATTATGTGAATAAATATTTGAAAAATACATGTGTAGTTTACTGGCGGTCAGCCATTTTAAGATTCATATCACGAGTAAACTCCTCCCAACCCTTTTATCGCCAGCCTGTGGATCCCACCATACCAACAGCGTTAATATGATCTGGTCTTGTACAAATCATGCGAGTTTGTGGGTCACCGACGACTCAAGAGCCACCACTCTTAATATTGTCATATTCCCAGAACATTACTCCTTTTAAACACTCCTGATACCCATCACCCACCCACTCGAGGCACTCACTCTAGGCACTCCACAACTAAAGGCACCGACACCCGTCCATCCACTCCACATGCTCATATGACAAATATTGCTAGTTATTTATCTGCCCCTACCTTCCTACTTCCTGCCCTACCATCCTCATGCACCCAATCCCTGCCCCCCAATGTTCCTCCCTCCAATTACCCTGACACCCACCTAGGGCAGGGCAGAGTGGGAAACGCAGGTGGGGAGGGGAAGCCACAGCGAGTGAAGCAGGCGGAGAGGGGGAAAAGGTGCAAAGAGGCTGGCTAGATGGCTGGCAGGCAAGTCCTTTCCCTTGCCCATTGTCTTCCACCCCCTCCGCCCCAACCCCCCACCACCAGTTCTTGGAAGGGTTTTTGTGTGGCACTTGCTGTCCAGGCTTTGGGCTGAGAGGGTGTGTGCTCACACCTCGAGGGGTCATGACTCTCAAACCCTCTTGTGTTTGATTGACCTGTTGTTTGTTTCAACAAATTCATACTGTGCGGCTGAGTGCATTTAGTACTATAGCACAGGTATAGCATAGCTGATATGCTAATGTCAGACTTTGGCATCAGTCATGTGTATGGAGTTCTAGGGCCTACCGGGGACCACGGCCAGAACCTGGCCCCCCTCGGAGGCAAGGGGAGCAATGGCCTATAGAAACCCCCGTGTGGTAGGAAGCATTCTATGTCTGCCATCGACCGGGTCAAGCATCCAGAAAGGTAAGCATTCCAAAACAAACCCCTATTCTGGTGAAAATTGCTACCTAAAGCCGAACTAGTGGATAGAACTCCTCAACAGAAAACAAGGAAACTAGTATGACGTCATACGTCACCGCGCCGCTGTCTGCCCAGCTCCCCCCTCCCCGGGAGGGGGAAGGGGGAGCCCCAGACCTCCCACGCCGGCTATCCACCCATCAGTTCTTCGGCTGATGCTATAGGCACCGGTTATGTGCTCTGGCTCCAGTGGTTGTTTCAGCACTGTACCTAGAGTGTGGTGTCTGTTTTCTAGGTGGTGCGTGAGCCGGGAGTGATTCTCCAGTACTCGGGCTGCATGCGCCTAGGGTTCCCTTCCCTAGGTGCCCTGTAAGTACTGCCCTTGGGGCTTGGGTCCACCTTCCACAAGTTCCTTGGGTCCTGTCCCTGCTTGGCCGTTTACTGCTTGGTTTTCGGCAGCTCTTTGTGTGCTCAGGTGTTCTGTCTCCCTTGTTCGCCTTAGAGTAAGGGGCAGTTTTTGCACTGGTGGGGCGCAGGGTACTGTGCAGCTTGTCTTTACCAGTCATAGTGGCCGGCTCTGTTCCGCTTGGGTACGCTGTCCTCTTGCGGGGTTTTCTTTTTCTTTTTGTTTATCTACCCGGTGGGGAGGTCTGCCTTCATTCTTGCCCCTTATGTCCCTTGTGTTCTGAGTATTTTCTGGTGGTACCCCCTGCTAGGTCCCCGTGAGTGTACATGTCCCGGGGGTTCAGCTCTTAGAAAGTTGTTTGGTAGCTTTGGGTGCCGGTTAGCAGTACCCTGCCTGGGATTACCTGAGCGCGAGTCCTCTTATAGTAAACGCTCGGGACCCTGGGAAACCCCTGGGGGCGCGCGGGTTCGATGGATGTGACCCCAGAGTCCCCCCCTCGCTTCCAGCAAGTTTGAGGGTTGCTCTCACCCTTTGTCTCTTGGTGACTCTCTGTTTTGCCTCCGTCTGCTGCCTGTGGGGTCGGTGACACCTTCGACCCGGAGTCCTGTGAGTTTGGTTGCTCGTTGTGGCTCGGTTACCCAGTTGTGCTGACTAAGCGGGTGCGGGCAGCAAGGGCGTTGCACTTGAGCCTTGGTGGTGGCAACGTTCTCGTGGTTTACTCCCCTTGAGCCCCGGGGCTGCCCCGTTTTGGTTTGTTTTGGGACTTGGGGGTGTTGGTTGCTTCGGTTCCATCCACGCCCCCATGTCTTTTCCCTGGATCACCCTTCCTGCCTGCATCCGGTTCCTTACCGTCTGTAGGTTCGGGGCGGGGTTTTTGATGGTGTTGAGACTCGGGCAGTCTCGGGGAATTTCCCTTCCGGGGTAGTGACGGGGCATTTGAGCCTGTGCCTCCAGCCGTGTTGTATGAGTCTGCCAGTGGGCTCCCTTCCTTAGTGTTTTCACGGCTGCCCCGGTTTTCTGGTACGGCCAGGGCTTTGGGGGAATGGCTCGGCCCCGGGGCCTGTCGTGTAGGTTCCCGGGGCTGGGGAGGGGCTGACTTGGGGGGCTTTGGCCCCGTTAGACCCCGTGGGTTTTTTTTATCCCCCTCTAGGCGGGGCTTGTGGTTACGCAGAGTGGGGTCTTTCCTCCCCATTCGCCGTACGTGCTGTTGGGCGTCGGCCCCTCCCCAGGCTCGGTTCCTTGGCCTTTGAGTTGGTTGGTTCAGTCCTGTGAATGGATGTTTCCTCCCACCCTCTTTTGGGACAGTGTTTTCATCATGTTTCCCCGTTCGATGGGGAAACTTCTGTGGTTGTTACACGACCTACTTGCGAGCATAAGCCTTCTTGCTGGTTCGTCCGTGGACTTCCAGGGCACACTAGCCTGTTTTCGTATAGCAGTTCCGGCCCATCCTGTTTGTGGGGGTATGTGGGCCGGCGGGCCGCTCCAAGCAGCTGCCTGGTGGGCCACCCTCTGGCCGGTCTAGCCTGGCCTTGGGCCGGGCTTGGGGTGTAAAAGAGCTCCCAGTACCCCATCCAGCAGGTATCGAGCGGGGTTTCTCCGCTGTCGATCGCCTGGTGCAGGTTTCTGGGCCTGCTGGGTTTTGTCGTGTCTCCGTTGGCCCTGTCTGGGGTCTGCGTGCTCCGTTTCTCTGCCTTTGCAGAAGGGAGTTACTATTTACATGTTGGATGTTGTGGTGGTGCCTGTTGCTGCTGCTGCACGTGTGCATTGGTACCGTGTTTCACGGTGGCGTGTCCTTGTTCCTGTGTCCGGTTGTGGTGTGGCACTTTGCTGCTGTTTTGTGCCTGGGGTTTGCGTTTGGGGGTTTGCTTGTTGTTTTTCGTGGTCTTCGGGTACCTGGTTTGGCCCTCTCATGTGCGTGGGGTTTTTCTGTCCCTGCCTGATTGTCCACCCCTGGTTGTTTTCCTGGGGTTTTTGTGCTTCTGCTCTTTCTTCCTGCCTCCTCTGCAGCAGGGGTGTTCTGCGTGTGTTCTTGGGCGTTTTTCAGCCTGTCTTGTGGTGTGCTTCTTTGTCTTGGTCTATTGCAGTTGTTCGTACCCCTTGGTTCGGGTACTGTTCTGGCGGCAACCCTTCCGCCTTCTTTGGTTTTCTAGCTTGCCCTGCCCTTTTTTTTTTTTTTTTTTTTTTTTTTTTTTTTTTTTTTTTTTTTTTTTTTTTTGGGTGGGTGGGGGGGAGGGGGTCTTGCAATGTCTCGTGTCGGACCTGTCGTTTCTGAACTTCTGGCGGGCTTGCATGCTTTGGGGAGTTTTTCTGTTCGGCAGACGTTCCATCTCCTTGTGCCACCTGGGTTTCGGTGGTCGCGCCCGAGATCTTCCCGCAGCTCCGCCTTTTCCTGGGCTTGGAGGGGCCTTGTCAGGGCTGCTTATGTTCTGCCTCGCTATCTCGCCTCTGGTTGGTGGTCGGGTGGCTTCGTGGTAGGTGTCCCACCTGCGTGCTTCTCTTGGCGGCTGTATGGGGTATTTTGGCGGTCCTTCCTTTTCCTGTCCCTTCTTAGGTGGTTACTCTTGTTAGCTTGGTTTACTCTCGGCTTGGTTTTCTGGTGGAGGTTGGGGGCCGTCGTCTTGCCACATACTGTCGCCTCTTTTCGTGCGGCGCTGGCGGAGCCACTTCGGCTTGCTTTCGGTCTTGGTGTTGCTTCTGCACCATTAGTAAGCTGTCTCGTGCATCGTTTCACTTCCGGCCTGTTTGTGCGCCGCTTGCACCATCCTGGTCTCTGGTCAGTGTGCTCTGTCTTCTCCTCGATTGGTAGTGCCCCTTCGTTTCCGGTGTGTTTTTTCGTCGGCTCTTTCCTTTTGGCCTTTGCCTCTGGGGATCGGGTCGCTGAGTTTTCTTGCTCCTTCGGTTTTAGCGTTTTGGTTGTTCGGTGGCAGCAGTCTCCATCTTTTCTGGCGCGGGGTGGGGCTGCTGCGTTCTGGAGGGGTCCAGGGTTTGTTGGTGCTTCGTTGGTCGGGCCGGGGGTGTGTTGTGTTTTGTGTTCAGTGGCGGCCCTCCGCTGTTGTTTGCGTGCCACGGCGTTTGGGTCCGGAGTGCGTTTTGTGTTGATCCGGTTCTGTTCTTCCCGGTTCGCGGGTGATGGTGTCCCGGGTGGTCAGCCGTGTTTTTGCGGCTAAGCTGCCTGTGTTCTTCCCTCATGCCCATGGCGTTCATGGCTTCGCTGCTCTCACTGCCATCTGGGCGATGTGTCCTTGCGGTCTTTCGGTCATGGATTTTTGGTGTTTGTGCTGGGGCCTTGCTGCTTGTTGTTCTCGTGTTGTTCCCGGGACTTTTTCGGGGCTGTGGCGCCTTGGGTTGGCGTTTGCTGCCGGTTGTCTCGCTTCCGTGGGGGGGTGCGTGGTGTCCGCCTCCCGGTTCTGTCCCTTTGACCTTCCTCTGTGGGTAGTTAGCTCCGGGGAGCCGACGGGGCTCCCCCCAGAAAACCAGCGTTGAATGTAATGAAACGCCATTTTCTGGGTGAGACCCGGAGGCTCCCCGGCAACCCTTCCTCCCTCCGGTCGGCGGTTTTTCGCGTGTTTTGACATCCAGCCTTAGAACTGATGGGTGGATAGCCGGCGTGGGAGGTCTGGGGCTCTCCCTTCCCCTTCCCGGGGTGGGGGGAGCTGCGCAGACAGCGGCGCGGTGACGTATGACGTCATACTAGTTTCCTTGTTTTCTGTTGAGGAGTTCTATCCACTAGTTCGGCTTTAGGTAGCAATTTTCACCAGAATAGGGGTTTGTTTTGGAATGCTTACCTTTCTGGATGCTTGACCCGGTCGATGGCAGACATAGAATGCTTTCTACCACACGGGGGTTTCTATAGGCCATTGCTTCCCTTGCCTCTCTGAGGGGGCCAGGTTCTGGCCGTGGTCCCCGGTAGGCCCTAGAACTCCATACACATGACTGATGCCAAAGTCTGACATTAGCATATCAGCCGGTAAAGCTCCGGGAGCCTCCGGGTCTCACCCAGAAAATGGCGTTTCATTACATTCAACGCTGGTTTTTTTTACTAGGGCAAGCCAAGGCCTCCTGTGCCAAATCGGTGCTCATCACTTGAACGTCCAACTGTACCAGAAAAGCAGCCCACTTTTCGTAATCAGCAGCAGCCACAACAGCAGCAGCAGCCACAACAGCAGCAGCCACAACAGCAGATACAGTCACAGCAAACATCACAACCACACCTACAGCCACAGCATGCTGTGTCACAATATGGCTCAAATAAAATGATACCAATGGTACCAGATTTTAACATGGCAGCTCCTGATATGAGTAAGTTCAGGCATCTTACTGGATAGTTTCTGATGGCATTTCTAGAGGGGCCAAACAGTGACTACCAGTATCTAGCTGCACTGAGGTAGCTCAATACATGTGAGCCACATCAGCTGCAGGAGTCCTTAATAGCTTACCAGAGACCAGAGGCAGAACTTGGACCCCTCACAGAGGTACAGGGAGCAGGGGGTTCCTTGTGATCACCCTTACCAAAGGAAATGTCCAAAAAGCAAGTGAAGCAAAATAAACAACTACAAGGTTCACAGAAACAAAATGAGAAACAAGGCAGGAAACAACTGTAGGTAATCCAACCGGTAGTAAATTTGACCCCCCTATCCCTAACTAGTTACAGCTAGCCACCATAACAGCACCACAGGGAGCTGCTGGCTCGTATGTCAACACTATTCAGTCCTTCACTTGAAGTCCACCTGTGTGGACTACTGCTTGAGTCCCCATTTCCAGAGTGTGGACTGTTGATGTGTCGTCCTGGTGGCACATCGAGGCATTCAGTTGCCCTTACGTGGACCTCTTTGCATTGGCTCGGAGTCTGCTGCTCGTGTCTTAAGTGACTTCATTCCCCAGTTTCAGGGCTCTTGTGGTGGATACCTTTTGAGGTATCCTTTTGAGGTTTGGTGGTACCTTTTGAGGTTTGTCATTCTCCTCTGATCCTGACATCTTGAGTTTTTGAGGCAGGTCTCTCACCACTTGTATGGTGCACAAGTGGCTGAGTTATTGGTGTCCCACATGTCTCATCTTGGTGATATTATGAAGTTTCTGAGCTCTCTACATCTCTCTTCATTGGTTGTTGTCAATTTTGGTTCTGGTGATTTTGTTCTTGTCTTGGTTATTTCTTGATCGGTATCTTATGCCAAGTACTGCCATTTCCTACCTTTCAACCTTGGCAAAGCTGCTTTTGCAGGTGTTCAGCATTGATACTTCCTTGGCAGTATTCTATGAGTTGTCTCGTGCATTTTTTCACCTCCAGCCAGCTCATTCACCTCCCGTCAGCTCATTCTCCTCCTAAGCTGTCTTGATCTCTGGATCAGGTTTTGGTCTTCCTTTCGTCCCCTCAGTTCTCGGTCATCCCTTTGGTCCATGATACCTTTTTCAAGGCTATATTTTTGCTGGCCTTCACTTCCAGTTGTCAGGTAGGGGAGCTTCATGCTATCCTCCAGAAGTGGGGGTCATGCCCCTTTGACCCCTGGCGAGCAGCTTCTTATTTTACAGCCATTTTTTTTTTTCAAGCAAAGAATGAGGCAGTTGGAGAGATCCGTTGGTAATTGATTCATGGTTTGTTCACTCAGGAGTGTTTCATTTGCTAGATTGGTTGTGATTGAATACGTCGCTATTTACACGCCACCGGAACTGCTTAGTGGGATGTCATTTGTTGATCTTGTTTCTTTGGTTCCCTTTGCCATAGATTGCTTGTCTCAGGTTGTCTTCATTGCCATTAAATTCTAGCCAGCCTGAGGTTTACCCTTGGGCTGGGTAAACCCAAGGGTAGTTTGAAAGTTGGCAGCTTGTTACTTTTGATTTGGTTCCTTCAAACTGACTACTGGTTAGATTGTTTGCAAAGTTGTTTGCTGTCTCATTTCTCTCTTCAATGAATGTTGCAGTTGTTTGTTTTGCATTGCTTATTTTCTGGATGTTTCCTTCGGTGAGGGTAAAGAATCCACTGCTCCCTGTTCCTTTGCGAAGGATCCAAGTTTGACTCTGGGACTGGGTTCATCAAGCAGTTACACAAGTACTTACAAACCTGTACATCTTTTCTCAATCTTTGTTGGTTTTGATTACATTTATTAAACAGTTTGAGTTCCAAAGCACCAAGAGATTGTTTATAACAATAATAACACTTGACTGGTAAATTTCAATGCTCATAAACCATTTAATAAATGTAATCAAAACTGCCAGTGATTGTGAAAAGATGTACAGGTTTGAAGTAGATGCATAAATGCTTGTTGAATTCTAGCCATGGTGTCCAGTAGGTTATTAAGAACTTGTGCAGCTGATGTAATTACCTAAGTGTTACCCAAGTGATGTGATGTGACTCGCTTTTGGTGCTATCTATATGCGGCTAGCTACTAGGAGCCACTGAGGCTCAACCAGAAAGAGGCATTTCATTATATTCAATGCTGGTTGATTTTACTATGCACCATACAATACAGTACTACCATTTAAAATAAATTCAATTAATAAGTAGTTTTGATAATACAGTAGCAGAATTTTTGTTAAGTACAACAACTAAGATTTTGGTTGATATTTTCAAAGCTAATTTCAAACCATTATTCCAAACAATTATTTTGGCTTCCCAAGCTACATACATGGGAACCAGTAAGCTTTGGGTAGCACACTAGGCTCTATGGTTGCCTAATTGAAGCCAGGACCAAAATCTGGCCCCTCAATAGAAGAGACATCTGGAGGGGTGCAGACGAGGAGTCACAATAACATGGCTGAAATATGTTGACCAAACCACACACTAGAAAATGAAGGGATGATGATGTTTTGGTCCGTCCTGGACCATTCTCAAGTCGATTGTGATGATTAAAAGAGGCGAGGCAATAAATAGGCAAGAGAGAGGTGAGAAGGAAATCTTAGAGGAAGAAAAAGCAAGGCAAAAGGTACGAAAGGTAAGGTGTAATAAAGGGGGATAGTAACAGGAATAAGAACATAAGAACAAAGGTAACTGCAGAAGGCCTATTGGTCCATACGAGGCAGCTCCTATTTATACCTACCCAATAAGAAGGGGAAAGTAATAGGAATAAGAAGGGGGATAGTAAATAGGAATAAGCAAGGGATTGTAAGAAAAAACAAGGGAAAGAAAAAGAAAGAAGGAAAGGAAAGATAAATAGAAGGCTAAGCTTATGTTTGGTAATGTTTGTTAGAAAGTTTTGAGCATTTGAGTATATACTGTGAAAGGGAAGAGTCAACAACAACAAAGCCAGGACTCAAGTTCATGTTGGGTACGTTGTATATTAGAGCCGATTCAACTAGACGGCATCTGTGTAGAGGCAGGAAAGATTATTTTGGAGGAAGACCAATCAATAGGATGATTAGAATCCCTAACATGACATCCCTCTCTTCTGTCATGTTAGGGATTCTAATCATCCTATTGATTGGTCTTCCTCTAAAATAATCTTTCTTGCCTCTACTCTACACAGACGTCTCTTCCTCTTCTTCATCGCTGACTTCCTCTTCGGGTTTTTCGGGGTTCAGTGGCTGGGCGCCTACCCGAGCCCTCGCTCGATGTGTTCACAGACGCATCATCTCTTGGCTGAGGCTTTGTGACCAGTGCTCACCAGGCCAGCCAGGGACAGTGGGGTCCCGTTCTTCCGTTGGGCCCACAGCACAGTGTGGGAGTTTGTGACAGTGTGGATGTCGATTCGGACCTCTTCTCGTCGGCATGGTTGAGAGGTCTGCCAGCATATATGGTGCCTTTCTGCGACTGTGAGGCCATTGGGGTCGATGTCTTCAGGCAGGACTGGTCGGGTGGGGTTACCTTCCTTCCTCCCAGTTCCGCTGTTGCTCCAGGTCCTAGCTCGTTTGGAGACTTACCCAGGGAGAGTAGTAGTCCTGGCTCCTTGGTGACTGGCCCGGCCTTGGTTTCAGGCGTTGCTTGCTTGGTGTTTGAACCTGGCAGTCTTCCCACGGATCCACCTCTTTCGGCAGATCGGGCCAATTCGTTATGTGGCTGGTTCGATCTCTTCCTCCAGTCTTCGCATCTGGTCTTTCTTGTGCAGGTCTATCACCACTTGTATGGTGAGCAGGTGGCTTCGTTGATGGTGTCACACCTGTGTGCTTTGTCTCAGCGGCAGTATGAAACAATTCCTGGCGGTCCTTCCGTTATTTCTTATCCCTTCAAGAGATAAGTGTACTTCTGTCTCTGATAAGGTTGTCTTGTCCTTCCTTTTGTTTTTGTTCCAGGATCGTCATCTTATGCTGGATAATGTCGTCTCGTATCGTGTCGTCTCGTATAGTTACAGGATGAGAGCTACGCTCGTGGTGTCCCGTCTTCCCAGCACTCTTTGTCATATAACGCTTTGAAACTACTGACGGTCTTGGCCTTCACCACCTTCTCACCTAACTTGTTCCAATCGTCTACCACTCTGTTTGCGAAAGTGAATTTTCTTATATTTCTTCGGCATCTGTGTTTAGCTAGTTTATATCTATGACCTCTTGTTCTTAAAGTTCCAGGTCTCAGGAAATCTTCCCTATCAATTTTATCAATTCCTGTTACTATTTTATACGTAGTGATCATATCACCTCTTTTTCTTCTGTCTACCAGTTTTGGCATATATAATGCCTCTAACCTCTCTTCATAGCTCTTGCCCTACAGTTCTGGGAGCCACTTAGTAGCATGTCTTTGCACCTTTTCCAGTTTGTTGATGTGCTTCTTAAGATATGGGCACCACACAACCGCTGCATATTCTAGCTTTGGCCTAACAAAAGTCGTGAACAATTTCTTTAGTATATCGCCATCCATGTATTTAAAAGCAATTCTGAAGTTAGAAAGTGTGGCATAGGCTCCTCGCACAATATTCTTTATGTGGTCCTCAGGTGATAGTTTTCTATCTAGAACCACCCCTAGATCTCTTTCTTTATCAGAATTCTTTAAAGATTTCTCACATAATATATTGGTTGTGTGGGGTCTATGTTCTCCTATTCCACATTCAAAAACATGGCATTTATTAACATTAAATTCCATTTGCAAAGTGGTGCTCCATATACTTATTTTGTCCAGGTCATCTTGAAGGGCATGACAATCATCTAAGTTACTTATCCTTCCTATTATCTTAGCATCATCAGCAAACATATTCATATAATTCTGTATACCAACTGGTAGATCATTTATGTAGACAATAAACATCACTGGTGCAAGAACTGAACCCTGTGGTACTCCACTTGTGACATTTCTCCAGTCCGATACATTGCCTCTGATCACTGCCCTCATTTTTCTATCAGTCAGAAAATTTTTCATCCATGTTAGAAGCGTACCTGTCACCCCTCCAATATTTTCCAGTTTCCAGAACAACCTCTTATGTGGAACTCTGTCAAAAGCCTTTTTTAGGTCCAGATAGATGCAGTCAACCCAACCATCTCTTTCCTGTAATATCTCTGTTGCTCGATCATAGAAACTGAGTAAATTCGATACACAGGATCTTCCAGATCGAAAACCATACTGTCTGTCTGATATTATATCATTTCTCTCCAGGTGTTCTACCCATTTAGTTTTAATTATTTTTTCCAATATTTTGACTATTACACTTGTCAATGATACCGGTCTATAATTAAGGGGGTCTTCCCTGCTTCCACTTTTGTAGATTGGAACTATGTTAGCCTTTTTCCACACATCAGCTACAACTCCTGTAAACAGGGATGCCTGAAAAATCAGTTGAAGAGGAATGCTGAGCTCAGGTGCACATTCTCTCAGAACCCATGGTGAAACTCCATCTGGACCAACTGCCTTGTTCTTATTTAGCTCCTTGAGCATTTTTTCCACTTCGTCTCTAGACACCTCTATGTGCTCTATGTTGTTCTCTGGAGTTCTTATTGTATCTGGTTCCCTGAAGATTTCATTTTGTATAAACACACTTTGAAACTTTTCGTTTAATGTTTCACACATTTCCTTTTCATTTTCCGTGAATCTATTTCCCATTTTCAACCTGTGTATATCATCCTTTACCTGCAATTTGTTGTTTATGAATTTATAGAATAGACCTGGTTCTGTTTTACATTTGTCTGCAATCCCTTTTTCAAAATTTCTTTCTGCCTCTCTCCTCACTGCCGTGTAGTTGTTTCTTGCATCTTTGTATCGCTGGTATGTTTGGGGGTTCGGCCTCTTCTTGTATTGATTCCATTTTTGTGTCTTTTGGTCTCTGGCCCTCTCGCACTTTCTGTTGAACCAATCCTGTTTCCTAGTTCCGCTTCTCTGTTTTGGTATAAATTTTTTTGTGCCTTCATCATATATTTCACAAAACTTGACATACATCTCATTCACTTCCTTGCCTAGCAACAAGTCTGTCCAATTATATCCACTAAAAAAATTTCTAAGGTTGCCATAATGTCCTCCCCTAAAGTCAGGTTTTTCAATTGCATCAACCTTCATATTTTCTTCCAGATTATAACGCATTGCATACTTTATTCCCAAAAAGACATGGTCACTTTTACCCAAGGGGAGGAAGGTACTGAATGTCAAATATTTCTTCCTCCTTCCTGGTAAATATGAAATCTAGCATGGAGGGAACGTCCCCTTCCCTCATCCTCGTAGCTTGTTTAACATGTTGATACAAGAATGTTTCCAGGATGAGGTCTACAAATTTACAGGTCCAGAAATCTTCTGTTTTAGCTTCATATGCTTCCCAGTCTATGTCTTTCAAGTTGAAGTCGCCGACTATCAACAGTCGTGAACTATCGTTTTCTGCTCTCGCTATGATCTCTCTCATTATTGTTATAAGACCTTCTCTTTTACTATCTAGCTCCTCCTTTGACCATGTGCTGCTTAGAGGTGGACTGTATGCATTTATGGTCATTAGTTTATCATCCTCATGGCAGATCTCTAGTCCTATTATGTCAACTTCATGTGGATTGGCAGTCATTATTTCGTTCGCCTTTAGGTGTTCTTTCACCAGCACAGCAACGCCACCACCTTTCCTAATTTTTCTGTCCCGTCTCCAAATTGAGTAGCCCCTTGGGAATATGACTTCATTTAAAATAACATCTTCAAGTTTTGTCTCCGTGAGTGCAACAATGTCTGGTGTCTGCAGCTGTATTACATCACTTAACTCCAGTATCTTCAATCTTACTCCATCTATGTTGGTGTGTGCAATCTTCAGGAACTTGTTCCCCCTCTTCTTATTTTTCACTCCCTCTCTCTCTAATGATTTTGTTGGTTTGCCTTTATGTACCACTTTACTGGTCTGCCTACCCCTATCACTTTGTAGAAAAAAGAATTGATTTCTTCTTCATTCCTGCTCTCATTTAAACATTTTGCCTCGGCGAGGTTCAGTTTCAGCTTCTCTCTATCTTCTTTTGAAAGATCTCGTCTTAACGACCACACTTTCCCATCCTCATCACTTTGTAATTTTCTAGCATTCCTTAGTACTGCTTCCTACTTAGTATCGTGCGGCACTGGTGGAGCATCTGCGGCTTGTGTTCAATTTTGATGTTATGTCTCCACTGTTCCGCAAGCTGTCTCGTGCATTGTTTCACCTCCGGCCTGCTCATGTGCCGCCTAAGCCATCCTGGTCATGGGACCAGGTAATCTCCTTTCGCTCTTCTCCTCGGTTTGTGGTGGCTCCTTTGGTTCAGGATTGTTTGGCAAAGGCTCTTTTCTTGTTGGCAAAGAAAGACCTTGCCTTTGGGGGTCAGGTTGGGGAGCTTCATGCTCTTCTCTGGCGCAGAGGTTTCTGCTCTTTTGGTCCTGGTGGTAGGTTTGTTCGTTTGCGACCATCTCCTTGTTTTTTGGCAATGTACGAGACTGTTGCTTTCCAGAGGGGCCTTGGGTGGTTGTTGCTTGGTTAGTTAGGCCGGGGGTGTATCATGTGTTGTGTCCCTCCTCTCGGGTAAGTCCCTCTTGTTTTTGTCTTTGGGTAAGTAGCTCCGGGGAGCCGATGGGGCTCATTCCATTTCCATCTCGCCTCTCTCTTGCCTTACTTAATGCCCTTGCCTTCCTCGTCTCATCACACTCGACTTGATAATGGTCCAGGACTGACCGAAACGTCATCGTCTCTTCAATTTCTAGTGTGGGGTTTGGTCAACATTTTTCAGCTATGTTATTGTGACTTTTCATCTGCAATTAAGTGTCTCTTTCTGATGGGTCCTTTGGCGGCTCCCTGTTCTTGCCCTTCCCACTTTTTCATGGTGTTTGTGGGTTGTTGCGTGGGCAGCTTGTGAATGAGGAAGTTGATGACTCAACCATTATAGCAACTAGTTATAGCTAGAACCACTAGTTAGCAACTGAGTGTTGCTAACTAGTCGTTGCTTGCTACTATGAAGTGTGCATAGTTTGTCAGGCTTGACTACCTGTTGAAGATTCTGAGGATTACTCCTGTGGCCCAGTCTTTAACCAAACCTCCTGGTTGCTGGTCTGATCAACCAGGCTGTTCAATCTGCAGCCTGACTTAAGAGCCACAGCCTGGTTGATCAGGTATCTTTTGAAGGTGTTTGTCGTGTGTATTGGCTTACCAATATTATCCATGCAGTTACTTACTTTGTTGTGCTCTACATTTTTGGTGCTTTTAACTAAGAATTGCTGTGGTGGTGGTTCCAAAATCTGCACACAGAATTAACACCATGGGAGACCAGAAGGCATGGCAGGATGTGCATAATAGCCCCACTGAAGAGCAGAAGTGTAATAGGTACGCCGAGAGAGAACCCGATGAAAATCAAAGGCCCAAGACTTTTCAACACTCCTCCCCTACACATAAGGGGCATAACTGGCAGACTTCTTGCAGCGTTTAAAAGAGAACTCGACAAGCAACTTCAAAGGATACCTGATCAACCAGGTTCTGACTTGTATGTCAGGCTGCTCGCAGTTGCATCAGACAGCTTGGTTGATGAGACCAGCATCCAGAAGACCCGGCCAGAGACCAGGCCATGGGACGTTGATCTTCAAAATTGTCAAACTCTTCAACAGGTAGTCAATAAATAGTGGTCAAGTATGCCTAGTTTTCCCTTGCCTTTATTGAGGGGGCCAGATTTTGGTCATGGCTTCTGGTAGATGCTCATGAATCTTAGGCCTAGTGTGCTACCAAAGGTTTGATGGTTTCCAGGTGAATAGCTCAGGAATAAACACACACCCATCAGAAAGATGGGGTTTCATTACATTCGATGCTGGATTGAATAATCTTGATTTGTATATGTAACTAACAAAAGAAAGAACTTTAAGTACAATAGAGCACAATGTAAGGCAGATAACAGGATGCTTTTTAACCAATAGAGTAATAAACCTATGAAATTGCCTACCCACTGAAGTTGCAAATGACATGATAGTACTCCAGTTTAAAATACAGTTTTAAACAATCTTAAAGAATAATGGGGAACCCCTTTACAGGTCACCAGCTTCCTGTCTCTGTCGAAGCCCCTTGAAATTGCGACCCTGAGATAAAGTCGGGCAAATTGATCATTGTATATGTCTGAAGATGAGCAGTGACCCATAGGTATATGAAATTTAAAAGGTGAAGACAGGCCTCGTTCATATTTACCTGGTGGATTCTCCAAAAGACATGGTAGTCTTTGTTAGGTGCATTCAAATTAGCTTGATACTACAGTATGGCACAGTACTGTATGTATTGGAAAGGGATTCATGTAGGGTTAATATTCCCTTGCAGCAGCCTTGGCAAATTCATCATAACCATCATCCTGGTGCACAGTTCATTCACATTGTGTTCTTGTAAAGAATATAACTCTTGCAACTTTGTCCTTGTTCAGCTATCAGTTTACCTCTGCCTTACAGTAATTGGGCACTATGGTTGGGGTATATAAGGCTTGCAATACATTTGGTATGGCTAATAGTTTTGATAACATTTTCAGTTGTGCCTCAGCCAGTGTACAGCAATATGACAGAGCTGTGTAGTGGTGTCATGAGTGAGAACTGTAGCCAGGTTGCCAGTGAATTGACGGAGAGTGTTGCATCAGTTGGTGACAATGGATATGAGAATAACTTGCCACATGAAGGCTCTGCTCTTCCAGATGGTAAGACTGATTACATATCAAGTGTGGGCTACATTGCATTTTGGCATTATTGTAATATGATTTCTGTTCATTTATCATATGTTTGTATCTAGAAAGTTGATAAATGTGCTGCATTCTTCCATAACCTTACATTTTATGAGTGCATGCAAACAAAATAATAAATTACAATTTTCACATAGCAGTTTTTAGTTATGCAGCTATTAAAGTATTAAATCCTTTTTCTTGGGGGGTGGGGGCCCTTCGGCTCCCCGGAGCTTACTAGGCTGATATGCTAATATCAGACTTTGGCATCAGTCATGTGTATGGAGTTCTAGGGGCCTACTGGGGACCATGAGCCAGAACCTGGCCTCCTCAGAAGAGGCAAGGGGAGCAATGGCCTATAGAAACCCCCGTGTGGTTGAAAGCATTCTATGTCTGCCATCAACCGGGTTAGGCACCCAGAAAGGTAAGCGTCTCAAAACAAACCCCTATTCTGGTGAAAATTGCTACCACAAGCCGAACAAGTGGATAGAACTCCCCTAAAATTAACGTGCAAACAATCATGACATCACACGTCGCGCACTGCTGTCCGCGCAGCTCCCCCCTCCCCGGGAGAGGGAAGAGGGAGCCCCAGACCCATCGCGCCGGCTATCCACCTCCAGTTCTAAGGCTGATGCTAACAGCTGAAGTCGTGTGCTCCGGCTCCGGTGGTTGTTTCAGCACTGTACCTAGAGTGTGGTGTCTGTCTTCTAGGTGGTGCATGAGCTGGGAGTGTTTCTTCAGTACTCGGGCTGCATGCTCCTAGGGTTTCCTTCCCTAGGTGCCCTGTAAGTACTGCCCTTGGGGCTTGGGATTCCCTTCCATAAGTTCCTTGGGTTCTGCCCCTGCTAGGCCATTTACTGCTTGGTTTTCGGTCGCCCCTTGTGTGCTCGAGTGTTGTCTCCCCTGTTCGCCTTGGGGTAGGGGGCAGTTTGCACTGGCGGGGCACAGGGTACTGCGCAGCTAGTTTTCACCTATCATAGCGGCCGGCTCTGTTCCGCCTGGTACGCTGTCCTCTTGTGGGGTTTTCTTTTTCTTTTTGTTTTCTGCCTGTTGGAATGGGGGGGGAAAGCCTGCCTTGGTTCTTGCCTCCTGTGTACTGAGTACTCTTTCTTCTTCTGGTGGTTCCCCCTGCTAGGTCCCCATGAGTGTACACGTCCCGGGGGTTCAGTTCTTAGAGGGTTGTTTGGTAGTTTTGGGTGCTGGTTAGCAGTACCCTGCCTGGGTTTACCGGAGCGCGAGTCCTCTTATAGTAAACGCTCAGGACCCTGGGAACCCCCACGGGGACGCATGGGTCCAATGGATGTGACCCTGGGGTTTCCCCTAGCTTTGTGCGAGTTCAAGGGTTGCTCTGTCCCCTTGTCTCAGGGTGACACTCACTGTTTTGCTTCCGTCTGCTGCCTGTGAGGTCGGTGGCACCTTCGACCTGGAGTCCTGCGAGTTTTGTTTCTTGCTTGTTTGTGGCTTGCTTACCCAGTCTTATGCTGACTATGTGGATGCAGGCAGCACGGGTGTTGCACATCGTGTTTCGGTTTGCCAACGCTCTAGGTTGTTTGTTCCCCGGAAGCCCCAAGGCTGCCCCGTTTTGGTGACGGGGCTTGGGGGTGTTGGTTGCTTCGGTTTCCTTCCATGCCCCCTTGTCTTTCCCTTGCTGCGGTCTAGTCTGTCTCCCCCCCCCCTCCTCCCTTTCCTCCCTGCATCTGGGTCCTTACCGTTTGTGGGTTCAGGGTCGGGGTGGGGCTTCGATGGTTTTGAGACTCGAGCGGTCTTGGGTAATTCCCCTTCCGGGGCATTCGAGCCTCTTCCTTCAGCCGTGTTGTACGAGTCTGCCAGTGGGCTCCCTTCCTTGGTATTTTTTGCAGCTGCCCCGGTTTTCTTGAGGCTGAGGCTTTGGGGGGACGGCTCGGGCCTCGGGGTCCTGACGTGTGGGTTCCCGGGGCTGGGTGGGGGCTGCCTGGGGGGCCCCGGGCCCCGTTGGTCCCTGCCGAGGTGTTACTTCCCTTCGAGCGGGGCTTGCGGTTACGAGGAGTGGGGTTTTTCCTTCCCCTCTCTTCGTACGAGTTGTTGGGCTTCGGCTCCTCCCCGGGCTCAGTTCCTGGTTCCTTGAGTCCATTGGTTCCATCCTGTTCGTGGGTGCTCTTGCGGTTTTTCACCCCTTTTCTTGGGATGGGACTTCCCCTGTCATGTTTCCCTTTTCTTTTTGGGGGTTCTGCATGACTTTTGGTCTCGGGTGCGACTGTGCTTTTATGAGCCTTCGTGGTTTGTGCATGCTTGTGTGTGTTCTCGAAGGTTCGAGAAGGTTTTCGCTACTTCCTGTATTCTTGGAACGTCTGGCGTCTTTCGGTGTGGCTTCCCTCCATTTTTTTCTGGGCTTGTTGGTCCCCTTCTGGGTTTATTCTGGGTTTTTGATCCTGTTTCATTCTTTTGTTCATGTGTTTTTCTTCGTCTTCGGTCTCGGTACTATTCGTTTTCTTAACCCTTAAATGGCGCATAGCTATATACCATTTGACACCCACAGGCGCATACCAAAAAAAAAAAAAAAATGATTTTTTCTTCCTAACCTGTTAATTTGTGTTCACTGATCACGGGAAAAATAATAAAAAAATCGTAAGTGGCATATATTGTCCACTATAGGGAGGGGAATTCTGGCAAAAACCAGGCGCTGACTGAGCGTGCGTCCCAGGCGGTCTGTTGATCGCCAGCTGTCAGGCCGGAGTTTCCACAAAGAGATAATTACCTAATTATTTCAATGTCTCTGATTGATTTTTCGTAGTTTTTTTGCTGTAATATTATTCAATAGTGTGTAGTGTGATATATTTATATAATAAAATGAGTGAATCATCACTGTACTCAAAAATATGGTGTGCATATTGTTGACTCAATTATGTTCATCAAACAGTGAACAAATACTTTGTCGGTTATTACACTATATACACAGGTTATATATAAGTATCTGCATGTTTTGTTCACCATAACGAACCACTAAGTTGGTATGCTGAGTGGCAGTGGCAGTGGCAGTGGCAGGCAGTGACTGGCTGCCACTCCCTCCCTCACCTCACCTCACCTGACTTGCCACCATTCTCCACCCACCATACTGTTTTTGCTTTTATATACAGACATTATATATAAGTATTTACATGTTTTGTTCACCATAACTGTACATCTAAGCCTGTATGGTGAGTAAAGGCACAAAGACGAAGCTACTCACACAGTCAGCTGGTGGCGGCCGCCCTCAAGGCCAGACGCACTAATATTTCTCCTACAACAATACTGTTTGTGGTGTTATTACGCTATATACACACATTATATATAAATATCTACCTGTTTTATTCACCATACTTGTACAAGTAAACTGGTATGGTGCCCAAAGACCATCATGGTCATCAGTAAACAACATGGTAAGTCCTGCAGACGACGCTCCTCCCTCACCAAAATGGCGGCTCCCATCCTCCTACTCTCGCTGTTATCTCACACTATACACAATGTTATATATAAGTATCTACATTTGTGTTCACCATAGCGAACCACTAAGCTGGTATGGTGAGTGTCACTAACCCAGCAGGCACCACAGTGGAGGCAGAGGAAATGAACATAGGCACATGGTACTGATGATGTACAACCCTCAAACTCTCACATAGCAGGAGCAGTTTGGGAAATGGGGTGATATCCATAGGACCACCAAACCACAAGGGATTTCCAGGGCCTGTAGAGAGGACCCCACAGAACATCCAGGCCCTGGGGATGCTACACCTGTCCTATATAATGGTATAATTATGACATACAAGTAGTTCAACAGAGCCTGTGACACCCATGTGCAAAGGCTGACCTCTTTGCACTCAGTGCAGCTCGCAACCCACAGGATGTCCTGCCAGCCAAAATTAATCCCTATCCAAGGAAAGACAGTCAAAGAAAACTGACTCGCCATGGGCAAAGGCTATCACAAGCAAGGAGAACCTCTAAGGTAGCGATCCCCAAACACTCCATTGAAGATAACATTAGCGATGCAAAGACAGCACTAAGGAGTTCAAAGGAAAGTTAACCGTGAGCACATGTAGCTCCAAGTGGTCTCAACTCTTGGCTCACACTACACCAAAGTGTACAGGGATAGCCACAAAGACAAAACCACCACTTAGCTAAAAGTAGACACTGGAGGCAGAGTGACAAAGAAGACCTGACACAGCTGTCCATGGACTGCCTTCCTTCTCCCCTCAAACAAGGGGGAGGCAAGGCAAATGAGCTTGCACTAGTTTCATGAAGTTTCGACCATTTGTTTACATTGCTGGGGGAGTTCTTTTGGTAGTTTTCAAGACTGGTGCCTCATTTGAGGCCAGCAGTGGTTTTTGTTTCACCGACTTCCTGGGTGCCTTCCTCAGTGATGGCAGACATGAATAAATTAATAAAAATGTTACACAAGCGCCATGCTTCCTGCACCTCTGATGGGGGGCCAAGTTCTGGCTCATGGTCCCTAGTAGGGCAGTAGAACGCTGCGACTGATGGCATCTAGTACAGTAGTGTGGTACACTTTCACAGATACTAGCTTCAGAAAAATATTCAATTAATGAAATTAAAATTTAGTGCAAAATGTGCAGGGTCAAACTTGAATTAATGGTTGAGATTATCATACTTACCAGAACTGCTTAATGGTTAATAATAGTGCATAACTGTGTAGATAGTTATATAGCATGGGTGGTACATGAACAAGGGGACACAGGTAGAAACTGAGTACCCAAATGAGCCACAGGGATGTTAGAAAGAACTTTTTCAGTGTCAGTGATAGAATGCATTAGGCAGTGATATGGTGGAGACAGACTCAATACACACTTTCAAATGTAGACATGATATAGAGCCCAGTAGGCTCGGGAATCTGTACACCAGTTGATTGAAAGTTGAGAGGCAGGACCAAAGAGAACCAGATCTCAACCTCTGCAAGCACAACTAGGTAAGTATATAATGGGCATACAGTGTGATAATAGCAAAAATATTATGCTTCATTGCTCAAAGAATATAGTACAGTATTGTGCACATGTGAATGACATGAATATACAGTGACACCTCGGCATTCATGGCTTATGAACGCCCCTCTTTACAAATTTTTGGGGTTACGAGCCCAATTTCTTCTTAAAATTTCAGTTGGGTTACGAGCATTGCCTCGAGTTGCGTAGTTTGTTGACACGCGTATGAGTCACTGAGCATGTGGTTCCTGGTGGCACGGTCTCCCGTGCACTTCAGTTTACCTGTGCCTTCAGTCTAGTGTCAATTGTGCTTGAATTCTTTGTCAAGAATTTTATTGTTTTTTGGCTTCTTTGTGTTTTAAACATGAAAGTAATTATTATATATCATGCCATGGGACCCAAGAAAGTCATTGGTAAGGTTCAACCTAAGAAAACTCATGTGAGGATGCCACAGAAGAAAAACAAGAGATCATTCGTAAAAATTAGAATGGTACATGGGTTATTGAACTAGCTACAACAAATCAACTCAGATTTGTACAAATAATCTTCAGGGGAGGAGGAGGCAGTAGAGGCCTCATTTAATGAGGCCTCTACTGAGGAAGGGGCCTCAGTAATGAAGCCCCTTCCTTATTAATTAAGAAAATGTGTGCAGTATGGGAAGAACTGCAAAGTTTTGCTGAAAAGACTCGCCAAGATAAAGCTTTAGCAGGCCGTTGCTAAAACAATGTGATGTCTTACTACAGACAAGTGTTAAAATGTAGGGAAAACAAATGTCTTTAGGTAGATTCTTAGTAAGGCAAGCAAGCAGTGAGCCAAAATCAGTTCCTAGTGGTGCCTGCAAAACATAGGAGGCAGAGTACCCCAGAGAAATCTCAGTGCCTGATGTTATAATGGAAGGGGACGCCCCTTCCAAACACTTACACCTCTCCTCCCCCACTCCTCATTGTCTTCCGTATGCCAACACAAGTCGTCAATAAAGGTAAGCTATAACTTGTACATACAGTGGTACCTCGGATTACGAGTGCCCCTGGTTACGAGTTTTTCGGGTTACAAGCAGGATTTGCTCGGAAAATTTGTATCGGGATACGAGGGTGTTGATACGCGTACGGGCCGACTAGTGCGTGGTGGCACAGCGATTGCCGCTCAGTTTACCAGTGCCTCGTGCCCAGTGACTATCCCGCCTCAATTATTCACCAGGATTTACAGTGTTTTGTTGGATATTTGGCCATTTGAACATAAAAGTTGTTATTATATATCTTGCAATGGGTCCCAAGAAAGCCTGTAGTTTGGAAGGGGACTCCCCTTCCAAACAGTAACGCCTCTCCTCCTCCCACCTCCTCCTTACCATCTTCCATACGCCAACAGCAGTCATCAGCAAGGGTAAGTAATAATTTGAACATAGTTTTGTAGTGTAGATTTCGATGAATTAGGTATAAAATTTAGTTTGAAGTGAGGGTTTTGGGTAGTCAGGAATGGTTTAATTAATTTCCCATTATTTCTTATGGGAAATTAGCTTCAGTTTATGAGTTTTCGTGTTATGAGCCGTCTCCAGGAAGGGATTAAACTCTTAAACCGAGGTACCCCTGTACTATAATACTAAATATTTGTGTGTATTAGGTATGAAATGTATTTTGAATTAATGTTTTTGGGAGTATGGAACGGATTAATTCAATTTATATTATTTCCTATGGGAAAATTTGTTTTGGGTGCGAATTTTCAGGTTACAAACCGTCTCTGGGAACTGATTAAATTCATAAACAGAGGGGCCACTGTATTGTGTTTGTATGTATTGATATTCCCCTCATTTCATTATAGAAATTTCTCAAATTACAAACTATTGCATAATTGCAAAAAACTTGTGAAAAAACATATCGGCGACACTAAAGTAAATCGGTATAAATATATTCGCTGCAGCTCCCACCACATGCCTATCCCAGACTGCCTCCTCCGGGCATCTCATCCATCAATGCTTGTGAATCATTGACATTATAATGAGATGTCCTCTCCACCACTGCCAAAGTCAGCTAAGCAATTTTATTTTTTCCTGTGATTAGGGATGCCTTTTAACAATATTAGAAAGAAAATTCTTTTAAATAAATTTGTTCTTGTGCACCAAGGAGTTGCCATATAAAACAGATGCACAGTGTAGGGGGGTTAAGGATTACTAGGGAACTTTTGCCCTTTGCATTAAACTAAGTATGTGTTAGATTCCCTGGGTAAACTATATTGCTCTAAATGCTTGATTATTATAAACAGTTTGTTACTTTAAAGTGCAACAGCTTAATGTATTATCCTGATTTTTGCATGTTAATCATTCTAAATACTGATAAAAAGTGTTCTTGCACTATGAGTTTGTTAAAAAATGTTTTATTTGCAATGTTTACTAAATATATTTTGATTGCTTTTATTGAAATAATCGTGGGTGTAGAGATTGATACAAGCCAGTACTGCATGCTGCACCATTACTCAGATGAAGCCTCTCATCACTATGAGCCAGGAAGGGTGGTTCTTCGCCGACACCTCTCTCAAGCAGGTACTCAAAAGTTGTTCACTTTCAACTTTTTCCAGGCATTTTCTAATGTTAGATTATCAGTTATCACGTGTAATGTTTGTTATTTAATATAGATGCAGAATCTTAGGGTTTGGTTATTACTTGAAAGGAATAATGTTTAGTTCACTGATTTTATAACAATTTGCAGTTTGTTTTAGAAACTTGTTTACCATCTAGACTGATTTTCTGGGGGGAGCCCCTACGGCTCCCCGGAGCTATCCATGGCTGATATGGATACCCTAACTATTTTGCATCAGTCGATGTTGGTGGAGTTCTAGGTCTACCGGGGACCACGAGCCAGAACCTGGCCCCCTCAGAGAGGCATGGGGAGCAATGGCCCATAGAAATGCACATGTGATTTGGAGCATTCTATATCTACCATCGACCGGGACAGGCACCCAGAAAGGTAAGCGCCACAAAACAAACCCCTATTCTGGTTAAACAACAAAATCGACAAACGAGTGGACAGAACTCCCCCAGGAAAACGAACTAACAAGCATGACGTCACGCGAGCCGCGCCGCATGTCTGCGCAGCTCCCCCCTCCCCGGGAGGGGGAAGGGGGACCCCCAGACCCCCGCGCCGGCGATCCCCGCCTCAGTTCCTCGGCTGATGGGATCATGCACGGTCGTGTGGCTCAAGCTCCAGTCTTGTCTCAGTGCTGTGACTTGTTTGCAGTGCTGCTCTTACGGTGGTCGTGTGAGCTGGGAGTAGTATTCTCAGGTACTCGGGCTGCATGTGCTTAGGGTCACCTTCCCTGAGTGCCCTGTAAGTACCGCCCTTGGGGCTTGGGGTTGCCTTCCACAAGTCACCTTGGGTATACCTCTGTTGGCTTTTCGCTGCTTGGCGTTTAGCCGCCCCGAGGGTTTGGGGGTTTCACTCCCTTGTTTACCTTGGGCTAAGTGGTAGTTATCGCACTGGTGGGGTGCAGGGTACTGCGTAGCTAGTTTTCACCTATGACAGCGGCCGGCTCTGTTCCCTCTGGGTACGTTGTCCACTTGTGTGTTTTTTTTCTTTTATTTTTGTTTTTGCCTGGTAGGGGGGTCTTCCTTGTTCCCCCTCCCCCCTTATATTAGGTTCGTTTGTGTGGTGGCACCCCCTGCTTTGCCCTCGCGAGTGGACACGTCCCGTGGGTTCAGCTTTAGCAGTTTGCTTGGTAGTTTGGGGCGCAGACCCTTAGCAGACCCAGTCTAGGGGCCCTGGGAAACCCCCCGGGGGCTCTCGGGTCCGATAGTGGAGACCCTTGCGTCCCCTCTCACTTTGTGCGAGTTGAGGGTTGCTCTGTCCCTTTGTCTCAGGGTGACTCCTTGTTTTTGCCTCCGTCATGCTGCCTGTTGGGTCGGTGACACATTCGACCCTTGAGTCCTGCGAGCTTTGTTGCTTGTTCGTGACTCCATTCACCCAGTCTGCTGATGAATTCCCGTGGGTGCAGGCAGCTCGCGCGTTGCAGGGTAGGATGTTGCAACGCGCTCTGGTTTGTTGCTTCCCCGGACGCCCCGATGCTGCCCCGCTTGTGTAGGGACCCAGACTTGGGTGGTTTTGGTCGCTTCAGCCTTGGTTCCTTCCACGCCCCCTTGTTTTTCCCCCTCCTGCTTCCGGCCCCTACGCATCTGCAGGCTTCGGGGTCAGGGCGGGGTTAGAGGTTCTGAGACTTGGGCAGTTTCGGGGGTTGCCCCGTCCGGGGTAGCTGCGGAGGCATTCAAGTCTGTTCCTCCGGCCGATGCTCTGGGGTTTTGACCAGTGGGCCCCCTTCTCTTTCAGCTCTCTCGGCTGCCCCGGCTTTTTCTTGTGAGGCCGGGGCTTTGGAGGTCGACTTGGCCCCGGGGCCTGGTGCAGAGGCTCCTGGGGTTGGGGAGGAGCGGCCTTGGGGGCTTTGGGCTCCATTGCGCCCCGCCTGGATTTCAGTCCTTCTGAGCGGGGCTTACTGTTACGAGGAGTGGGGTTTTCTTTTCCCCCTCTGCGTACGATTTGGGCTTGGGTTCTGCTCCTCCCCGGGTTCGGTTCCGTGTCCCTGTGGTTTCTTCGGTTCCGTCTTCAGGAGGTTTTCGGCTAACCGCATCTCTTCGCCTGCGGTGCGGTTGGCCTTTGCGGCTTCCTCCTGCGTGTCCCAGAGTTTGCCTCCATACTGGTTCCTTCTGTTCTGGACAGGTTGGGCTCCTCGTAGCCGTTTGGGCTCCTTGTAGCAGTTTGGGCTCCTTGTCGCCGTTTGGGCTCCTTGTCGCCGTTTGGGTTCCTTTGTGACCATTTGTGCTCCTTGTAGCCGGTTGGGCTACTTCTCGCCTTATTGGGCTACTTCTCGCCTGGTTGGGCTACTTTCTTTCGCGTCCTGCGCATGCGCCGTGGGAGTTTGTTTTGGTTCCGGGCTGTGTGCACACGTGTTTTGCTCCAATTCTCTCGGGGGGGGCTTCGCCTCTCGTTCTTTTCTTATTCCCATCCGTGCCCCGTTGCTTTGGGGGTGTTCTGGGGTGCCGCTGTGTGGAATTCATGAGGTTTTTTCCCTGCGTTCTGGGGTGGAGAGACTCCTTCGCTGCTCCCATCCTCTCCAGCGTGGGCGCACTGGCCGCCTCCGGCGGATACGGACTCGAACACTTGCGTCATGGCCCTTCAGGGCCTATGACGTTCGGGCCCCGCCCCGAACCTACAGACGGTAAGGAACCGGATGCAGGCAGGAAGGGTGATCCAGGGGAAAGACAAGGGGGCGTGGATGGAACCGAAGCAACCAACACCCCCAAGTCCCAAAACGAACTACAACGGGGCAGCCCCGGGGCTCCCGGGGAGGAAACCACGAGAACGTTGCCACCACCAAGGCTCAAGTGCAACGCCCCTGCTGCCCGCACCCACTTTTTCAGCACAACTGGGTAACCGAGCCACAACGAGCAACCAAACTCGCAGGACTCCGGGTCGAAGGTGTCACCGACCCCACAGGCAGCAGACGGAGGCAAAAGAGAGAGTCACCCAGAGACAAAGGGTGAGAGCAACCCTCAAACTCGCTGGAAGCGAGGGGGGGACTCTGGGGTCACATCCATCTGACCCGCGCGCCCCCAGGGGTTTCCCAGGGTCCCGAGCGTTTACTATAAGAGGACTCGCGCTCAGGTAATCCCTGGCAGGGTACTGCTAACCGGCACCCAAAGCTACCAAACAACTTTCTAAGAGCTGAACCCCCGGGATGTGTACACTCACGGGGACCTAGCAGGGGGTACCACGAGAAAATACTCAGAACACAAGGGGCAAGAACGAAGGCAGACCCCCTTCCAGGTAGATAAACAAATAGAAAAAGAAAACCCCGCAAGAGGACAGCGTACCCTTGCGGAACAGAGCCGGCCACTATGACTGGTAAAGACAAGCTGCACAGTACCCCGCGCCCCACCAGTGCAAAAACTGCCCCTTACTCTAAGGCGAACAAGGGAGACAGAACACCCGAGCACACAAAGAGCGGCCGAAAACAAAGCAGTAAACGGCCAAACAGGGGCAGGACCCAAGGAACTTGTGGAAGGTGGCCCCAAGTCCCAAGGGCAGTACTTACAGGGCACCTAGGGAAGGGAACCCTAGGCGCATGCAGCCCGAGTATTGGAGAATCACTCCCGGCTCACGCACCACCTAGAAAACAGACACCACACTCTAGGTACAGTGCTGAAACAACCACTGGAGCCGGAGCACATAACCGGTGCCTATAGCATCAGCCGAAGAACTGATGGCTGGATAGCCGGCGTGGGAGGTCTGGGGCTTCCCCTTCCCCCTCCCGGGGAGGGGGGAGCTGCGCAGACAGTGGCGCGGTGACGTATGACGTCATACTAGTTTCCTTGTTTTCTGTTGAAGAGTTCTATCCACTAGTTTGGCTTTAGGTAGCAATTTTCACCAGAATAGGGGTTTGTTTTGGAATGCTTACCTTTCTGGATGCTTGACCCGGTCGATGGCAGACATAGAATGCTTCCTACCACACGGGGGTTTCTATAGGCCATTGCTCCCCTTGCCTCTCTGAGGGGGCCAGGTTCTGGCCGTGGTCCCCGGTAGGCCCTAGAACTCCATACACATGACTGATGCCAAAGTCTGACATTAGCATATCAGCCGGTAAAGCACCGGGGAGCTGACGGGGCTCCCCCCAGATAAGGTTATAAAATTGAGAAAAAAAATTTAGGTGTATTATTTATATTTATGAAATGTTTATATTTACTTTAATGCATATTAATTTGTTTTGTAGAGTTGATGTGCAAGTTTGTTATTTTATCTTGTTTTTTATTGCTAACTTTTCAGGTGTTGCTTCACCACGGAGTAGTACATTAAGACGTTCTGGCTCTCATGGGCAAAAACCTCCACCTCCTGTTCGGCGAACACCATCAATATCTTCCATAACATCAACAAATCCCTCTGTTACACCACTGACTGATTTAAATCATGAATTGTCTAGCACAAGTCTGAACAACTCTCCCACACACCTGACTTCTGCTGGTACTCTCAGCAGTAGCAGTAGTGTAAATGGCAGCATAATTACTGGTGAAAATGCAAGCCCTAGCCAGGGAAGCAGCAATAATAGCCCATTACAACGTACAGACAGCGAATCTAGCACACCTGTAGGATCTTTGGAAAACCTTCCCCCTCCTCCAGCCTTCTTGTTGGAAGATGGCACAGAAGAAGCTAACCCTGCTCCTGATACAGATATGACAACTCCAGAGGGAGTCAGATTTATATGTGATCCATTTGGTCCCCCAGCACCCATCCAAGATAAATGTTTACAGCAACGTGTAATGACAGTTAGCGATACTGTAAAAACTTTACAAGAAAGTCAACACCAGCCACCTTCACCAGTAACTCACCGTAGATCACAATCCTTACGCTGTAAGGATCAAGCACACAAAGCAGTTCAAATTTTGGAAGAACGAAGAGTTTCTTTAGAAGATGCCAGAGCATCCCTCATGACAACCCTGAATGCCAAGCTTGCACAGCAGGCATCCAAACAATTCCAGAAACACTACCAACGAATAAGAGAAGGCAGCCAGTCACCACAAATGAGTCGTGCATGTTTGGGATCTGTGCAGGAAGGCATGGCTGTAAATAGTCCTTCACAATCTCCAACACATTATCCAACACTTCAGACTATCAGGCAAGATCATGTCTATTTAAACAAGAGTCAACATATGGAATATCAGACAACTCTGCATCAACACTCAACATTTAGCCAACGTAACTCAAGGCAGTTACAGCAGGAGCCTCTTCCCAAAACATTAAATGCCTGTGCTGATGTGCCAAGTAATGCCTACCAGCCAGGTATAGGGACAAACAGGGATCCTAACCAACAAGCATTTTTGCAATCATTAAATGAAAAACTCTCACTGAGACAACTAGGTGTAGAGAGTACGACTTGTCTCGTATCACCACGGCTTTGTTCTAAAAGAGCTCTCCCCGGCATTGCTCCTCTACCCAACCCAAAGCCTCATCCAAATGGCAGTGCTCCAGGAGCTCAGGTCCAGCGTTCAGGCTCGGGTGCCAGTGAGAAGGCTTCAAAAGTACGACAGTGGATTGCAAGCAAAACTATGGGTACTGAGAAGAAAAGTAGTGCCGAATCAGCTGCTCTCAGAGAGTCGCTTCTAGACCAGATCAAGCGTGGAACAACACTGAAGAGAGCCAAACACATAGCTGATAGATCAGCTCCACAAGTTTTTTGAATTAATGTTATTTGACATGTTAAAAGATTTTATAGGCTAAAATATCAGAGAAAGAATGATGCTCTCAATTCTATGAGTGCTGCAGATAAACTTATTGTAGTTGTATGTGATTCATATATACTGTACTGTACTTTATAGGCAAAGAGCTGATAATTTAATTGTGGCTCAAAACATAAAACCACTGATATAGGAAAGATAGTGTCATATTCGGAGGGTGAAGCATGTTTTATAAACTTGAATATTATACAAGTTCGTAACATACAGCCTCCAATTATCATTGAAAATAAATTTAATTACTATATAAATAAAGTAAAATATTGTCAAAATAACCTGATGAAATACTGTACTGTAGTAGCATATTAAAATATTACTTTTAATGTTGGTGAAATAGCTCTAACTTATTGCTAGAGTTGAGTTGCTTTGTCAGGGAGCAAGAGAGTGTAATTGTATGCAGTTCTGGAAGATCCCAGAGTAAAATTAGTTTCCATGTTCAGCTAGTGTTTTTTACATCTGTATTGAATTCGTGGGTGATATTTATCTCTAAAACAAATACACACACACTGCTTTCCAACTTTAGAATCACTTTTAATTACATGGATGGTGAAAATACTAAAGAAACTGTTCATGACTTTTGTGAGACCAAAATTGGATTATGCAGCAGTTGTATGGTACTTATATCTCAAGAAACACATCAATAAACTGGAAAAGATGCAAAGGCATGTTACAAAATGGCTTCCGAGACTAAAAAAAACAGTTACGAAGAGAGGATAGAGGTGTTAAAAATGTCAAAGCTAGAAGATAAAGAAATAGGTGATATGATCACCACTTGCAAATTGATAACAGGAATCAACTAAATTGACAAAGGCATTCCTGAAACCAGCACCTTCAAGAACAAGAGGACACAGATTCAAGTTAAGGAAACAAAGGTGCTGAAAAAATATTAGAAAGTTTTCTCTTGCAAGCCGTGGTAGATGGTTGTGGAACAAGCTAAATGAGAAGATGGAGGCCAAAACCGCCAGTACTGTAGTTTCAAGGCATTATACGACAGTACTGAGAAGATGGGACACCACTAGTGTAGCTCTCATCCTGTAACTACACTTGGCTGGGTAATTACACACAATATGAGCAGTGCATTGTTTTCCAAATAAGAGGTGTAAGTCATTCAAAGCACAATACAACTATAACACAGAAATTGACTTCTATATCTTTCACTTCTTGATACTGAACATTATTTACTCTCTATAACTGGGTTGTTTACTCTGGAATGTATGAATAAAAATTCATCAAAAGTTGAAAAAGTTTATATAATATTTTGATTTATCAATATTAATTTTGTTTTATATTTAAAATTAAAATATTTGCATATAACTAAAAGTAGAACACAGTATTTGTTAAAAGCAGATATTGAAAAGTTAGCTTGCAAATACATACTGTCACCTTTAATTTATGATGGCTTTGTTTTCTATTATGTTAACTCAGGATGAAACATTCCTCTTCAGCCATTATTTAGCCGTATTGCTTTGTAAACTGTTTGTGTGGACCGAGTCAATTTTTTAAATTTTCACGAAACTTCAATATTGTACTTGTCGTGTGTTTGAAATAGGTCATTGAGGTTACACTTCCAATTCCACGGGACAAGTTGATTTGCTCCCCATTTTAAAACCTGTAGTCCATTGTTTCCCCACAATGTATATTTGGTTTAGTATCTGGAGCAGTGATATTGATATACTGTACTGTACATTGTTTCAGAATGTCCTTTGCTTTGTCTGACATAATATTACTACAATATAACGGTGGCATAATGTGTACCTCGGATATAATTTTAGCAAGGATTTTTGTTCGAACAATTAAAAAATTTTGCATTACAAATACTTTGAGTATGTATTGTTCATAATAAGGCTTTCAACAAAGGAAGTATTTACCTAAAGTATAACTGTTACTGTATGACCTTAAAGACATAGTCACTAAAAATTTAGCAGACCTGTTTTCTTAATTGACTGAAATGTTATGTATTTCATAATGGTTGGTCATAAGAAAATAAAATAAAAAAATTAAAAAAAATTCTGAATATTAAGATGTGTAAAATATTCTAAATTCTAACTCTAGTCACTTAACAGTCAAAATAAAAGATATCTTAAAATTAAATTGTGTATGGAAGTATTAATTTAATTCAACTGTAAATATCAAAGGACATATCATATTACTACACCTATGAATATTATACGGTATTACCAATATATATATATATATATATATATATATATATATATATATATATATATATATATATATATATATATATATATATATATATATATATATATATATATATATATATATATATATATATATATATATATATATATATATATATAATATATGTAATACACTACATAGTGATACCTCGGTACTTGAACTTAATTCATTCCAAAAGGCTGTTAGTGCTGATCTGTTTGAGTACCGAATAATTTTTTCCTGTATGGAATAATGTAAACTGGATTAATCCGTTCAAGACCATCCCCACCCCCCACCCTTTAAAAAAAAATTTACACACACAAAAGTATTTTTCATTGAATTATGTATACTCTTAAGTATACAAGCCTTGTGCTATATAGTTTCCCCGGCTTGGCGCCTTCTTTTGATAATTATTTACTAACAAATCTTGTATGCATAAATCATACAGAAAGCCTAAACACGTTAGATGCAAGAAATGCAAATTTATTCTCACTTTACTTGTACTGTACTTAGTTTATAACGAATGTGTAAAGTGGCGAGGACGTCCCCCGTCCAGTGATGATTGTTTTTCCCTGCATTTTAGAATGGATCTAAAGTGAGACATAGTATTGTCATTAAACAGGTTTATAACATGGTTTGCCTCAGCTAGGAATGTCATTACTTCTCTCCTTGGCCTCTGAAGAAAATTGGTTACATATATTTGTATCGTAGTGCTGAGCAAACGGTAGACTACCAATCTGCTTTTTTCTTGAATATATACATACATTTTTTTGAAAAAAAAAAAAAAAATGTATATATATATATATATATATGTATATATATATATATATATATATATATATATATATATATATATATATATATATATATATATATATATATATATATATATATGTCGTACCTAGTAGCCAGAATGCACTTCTTGGCCTACTATGCAAGGCCCGATTTGCCTAATAGGCAGAGTGATTTTCTTTATTTTCAATAAATTGTTTCCAATTAGTTTATTTGAATAATTATTATTATATTGGGAACATAAATTATTGGCTTAGTTGTGTTAGGTTAGGTTTAGATAGGTTAGGTTCGGTCATATATCTACGTTAGTTTTACTCAAATTTCAACAAATTAACTTATAAATAAAGTTAATTTGTTGAAATTTGAGTTAAAACTAACGTAGATATATGACCGAACCTAACAAACCTTACCTAACCTAACCTATCTAAACCTAACACAACTAAGTCAATAATTTATGTACTAGGTACATATATATATATATATATATATATATATATATATACACACACACACACACACATCATATATATGTCGTACCTAGTAGCCAGAACGCACTTCTCAGCCTACTATGCAAGGCCCGATTTGCCTAATAAGCCAAGTTTTCATGAATTAATGTTTTTTTGACTACCTAACCTACCTAACCTAACCTAACTTTTTTGGCTACCTAACCCAACCTAACCTATAAAGATATGTTAGGTTAGGTTAGGTAGGGTTGGTTAGGTTCGGTCCGATATCTACGTTAATTTTAACTCCAATAAAAACAAACTGACCTCATACATAATGAAATGGGTAGCTTTATCATTTCATAAGAAAAAAATTAGAGAAAAAATATTAATTCATGAAAACTTGGCTTATTAGGCAAATCGGGCCTTGCATAGTAGGCGTAGAAGTGAGTTCTGGCTACTAGGTATGACATTTATATATATATATATATACAGTATATATATATATATATATATCACACACACACGACAAGCATAAGACTAAACTGGAAATGGTTCAAAGGTTTGCCACCAGACTAGTACCCGAGCTGAGAGGTATGAGCTACGAGGAGAGACTACAGGAATTAAACCTTACTTCGTTGGAAGACAGAAGCGTTAGGGGGGACATGATCACCATATTCAAGATTCTCGACAGAATCGACAGGGTAGATAAAGACAGTTTTTTTTAACCCAAGGGGCACACGCAGTAGGGGGGACAGGTGGAAACTGAGTGCCCAAATGAGCCACAGAGATATTAGAAAGAACTTTTTTAGTGTCAGAGTGGTTGACAAATGGAATGCATTAGAAGTAATGTGGTGGAGGCTGACTCCATACACAGTTTCAAGTGTAGATATGATAGACCCCAATAGGCTCAGGAACTTGTACACCTGTTGATTGACGGTTGAGAGGCGGGACCAAAGAGCCAGAGCTCAACCCCCGCAAGCACAATTAGGCGAGTGTATACATACACACACACACACACAGTATATAATAAACAGGAAAAGTGAGAATAATTCTTTGATCCAAGCGACTTTATCCATATATGAGCCTTTTTTACAATTGGATGGAGAACCATATCAAATATAAACAATACTAGTTTAGATTTTGTTATAAACCCATTTCTCCACATCTCCATAGCTTTAATTGCTATGGCTTAAGTTTGTTTGGAGGCAGAGTTTTTTATTTATAATTAACTTAGGGATGATATTTGAGGGTAGTTATAGTGATCATTATTTCTGGTAGATATTTATGATAGATAATTGGTTAGCATAAACCTTTACTGAAGTTTCATGAGACTTTTCATACAAATGAAAATTAACAGTTGAAGCAACTTGTAAATTCATAACTTTGTAATAATGCCATAAAAGTTGGCTATTTTTATAGCAAGTGTCAGGTGTATTAGTGCCTTTTCTTTTGTAAAGTTCATTGCGTCCATAGAACTCAAATACTTTTTGCCCATCATTACAGCCAAAAAAAAAAAAATTGCCTTATACAGACATGAAACTGGCATTCTCAACTCTGCTCATAATTATACAGTACAGTCTTGAATATTGAATCACACATTTTGATGAATAATTTTCAGTTAATCTTCTTGCATTAGTGATATGTGTAAAAATCTAATTGGAATACCACACTAAAACTCACTTGGGCAAGTATTAGTGTTTTCTGCTATCAGAAATTTTAGTAATAGCACTATAACTCCGTCAAGTATCATATACTGTACACTATTAAATTTAATATCAGCATCAGGGAAACTTTTTAACATCTTTGGTGTTTGGTCTAACACTAAAAATTCTACACGTATAGCTTGGGAAAGTGAAGTGGTAAACACGCAAATCAGAGAGTAAGTGTAAAAGTAAAATGAAGATAATTTGTCTTGGAGTTCTGCTGTAATTTCATATGAAGTCATTAAGTCATTAACTGGAGATTAAGTTTAGTGATTGAAGAGTTCACATAATCCTTACTTCTGCAATGTTGTGTATAGATTGATCACTTTTCCTATTAATAAGCTTGTACAAAAAAAAAATTGACAATAATTAGTTTTTGATGGAAGATTATTCTGCCATGTGTTTTGTGTATAAATATGTCATAGATTATTATTAATCGTAATAAAGTGAATAAAATAATTTTTATTATTTGCCTATAGGTAGATTTTATAGTACTATGCCGCACTATATGCACTTTTGATTCTATTATAAAAAAAAACACCTTTATGGGTGTTGCCCTGACAAGACGAGGGAGCGCTTGTGTGCTGTTCTTGGTCACGTGGGTGATTTCTGCTTGCCTCCCGTCTTCCCTCCGCGGTGTCGCCTTGTCGTGGTGCTCCCTCCCTATCCGGCCTGTTGTCGTCGTGAGGGAGGGGGGGGGGCCCTTGGTGGGCGGCTACCGAAGTGTGATACTCCATGGGTGAGTCTTCTGTTCTTTTGAGGCCTTTGCTGTTGTCTTCTCCAATTGTGCCAGATATTTTTTCCTTTTCCTTGCGTTTCATTTTTCTCCCCCCCCCCTCTTCTCCTTTCTACCCTCTTCTCCTTTCTAATTGTCATTTCCCGCCGACCTTTTGCCAGTCTTGATTATTCTTTTGGACTACTTCTGTTTTGACGCCCGGGTGTTTAGGGAGGCATACTCTCTCACCTGTAGAACTGTGGTACCCAACGTTGCGAGCGAGGGGACGCTTTAATTTATTGTCAATCCTCCTTTCGTCACTTAACCAGATCTCGACGGACTGACGGTTCTTATTGTGGCGTTTGTGGGGAATATACTCACGATGCACCCTTGGGGGGGGGGGGGGCAGTAAGACCGGTAACATGTCTCTTGTTGGGTGTCCTATCTTCTAATTGTGGCTCCGTGTTGGATGTGGGGGCACATTCGTGAATGAAAGTATTACCTCTCGTTTTCATGCTGCTGAATAGTGCTCCTCTTATGACTTCTCAGGCTCGTGGGGTGAGTGACCAAGCCTCAGAGTCGGACTGTGTTGGAAGACCGGGCTCTATAGCCCCTGCTACATTGTGCCCAGACCTAGCTCCTCCTCTGAGCCTCCTGACTACTCCCCTCGGCTCCTCATTTTATCACTTGCAATAGTTTCAATGTTGACATTTACGTTAACTGACGCGACGTTCCTACTCAATGTGTCTGGCACCACGTGAGATGGTCCAGGCTTATAAAGGATCTGAAACGAGTGAGCTGACAGCTCATGAGACCAACGGGACATCCGGGGACACTTCGTTTTCTTTTTAAATATATATGTGAGAGCTCTGTGATCTGTGAAAATAACAAAATGACGTTGGAATAGGTAAGGCTCAAAATAACGAACACTTTCAACCACAGCAAGCGCTTCCTTGTCTGTGGCTGAGTATCTGACCTCCGGTCCCTTGACTTTTCTGCTGAAATACGCCACAGGGTGAGGATGGTTCTCTGAATCACGCTGCATTAAGCACCCTCCTATGGCAATGCCACTAGCGTCTGTATGCACCTCCCACTCCTTATCAAAGTCAGGCACAGCTAATACCGGGGCGGTAATTAATTGACTTTTGAGCCTAGTATAAGCCTCATCGTGTTCTAAGGTCCACATAAATTTAGCATTCTTCTTTACAAGGTCAGTTAAAGGCGCTGTTATACTAGCAAATCCCTCAATATGGTGGCGGAAGTATCTGGCTGCTCCCAGAAACCTGCGCACATCCCTTGCTAACCTAGGCCTGGGCATCTCAGCAATGGCGCGGCATGAGTCTGGGTCAGGGTGGATGCCATCTGTGCTCACCTGGAACCCCAGAAATTTGAATTTCTGAGATGCCAAGTTGCACTTGTTGATATTTAATTTGAACCCTGCCTTGTCTAACAATGAAAGTGTCTCAGTCAAGTCCCGCAGGTGCTCATCAAACGACCTGGAGTAGATAACCACGTCATCCAGGTATGCTAATGAATGCCTACCTAGCACAGGACTGAGGAAGTAGTTAACTCTCGCTATTCTCGTTATTCTCTATCCATTATTAATGCACTGGTAGTGCATTAATAAATAAGTCAGCAACTGGGAATTTGCACTGACCTAAAGCTGCAGAGAAACAAACAGGAAGCCAAACTCTACAACCACCTAGTGTTGAGTATGGGAAGCTGTGAAGAATGAAAGGGAAAATAAACACAGTCATTGCATATTAATAATAATACTGTATTTTAAACATATAAATACGAGAGATTCTAATGCCAGTCAAGCAAATATTGTACGGCACAGTACAGGTGCACCTTAAAAATTCAGATTAAATCGTTCTGGACCCAAGTCAGATTTGTGCAACACCCAGATTTTTATCAATTTAGCCCATATTTTCTATTTACAACAAATTTTATGGACTTTTCTTATAACAAATGATACAATACATGTTGATGCATACTGTATTTACCAGTATATATTATGCATGTTTAAACATGCAAATAATATAAAAACAATAGTGGGGTATAAATATTATTTATAATGTAAAAATCTATATTTATTTATTTATTTTTTTCCTTATATTTCTGGAACGCAGTTGGTAGCAGAATAAGGTTATAGTACTGTACAGCATGTACAATGCTTTTCATTGCACATACATACTCATTTCATGTACTAAGCCTTTCACACCGTACTTCATAACCACAAACGGCATCATCGAAGGATACTTTCTTGGTCGGGTGGTGGAGTGTCACCCATTCTCTGCACCTTGAGGAGGGAAGCCAGGTTCTGGCTCATGGTCCCCAGTGAGCCGAACAGAACTCCATGGCTAAAGTGACCTAGTAGTTGGGAGCCATCTCAGCAAGATAACTTCAGGGAGCCTAAGGGGATTCCCCAGAAATATGAAAAAAAATATGGAAATTATTTGATGTGATAAACCTACGATCCAGATTTCACCATGTCATCAGATTTTTTTTTTTTTTAAGAAACTCTGGTGGACAGATTTGGAGGAAAATTTGGTGGACAAATTTGGTCTGGATTTTTATGAAATTTGCTATACTGAGGTCTGGATTTTTGAGGTGACACTGTACTATGCTCCAATTCTGAAAATTATGAAAGAATATATGTTCATAATACACTGAGAAAGTGTGCCATTCAATATACAGTACAGTATGTTACATACAACTTAATAAACACAATAATAATGAATGATAGATCAAATTGACAGCTCAAAATATATAATACAAAATTCAAATTACAATGTGAAAAACAAATAGTATACAAGTACAGTACTGTATGATCATGAATGTATTTTGCAACAAAGTGTCAAATGTAACATGCCACTAATTCCACTTAGAATTTCTTGATTTCAGTCGACTGATCTCTTTGTCTTTCATTAAAGTATCGGCAGATTTTTCTGTAAGCTGAAAAATATATGCACATGAGTAATTGGACACAATTTCGTTTTAAGTGTTATGAGCTACACCAGGGAGAATATCAATTAAATCTATGAAAATGTAATAATTACCTGATATTCTATCATAACTAACAAATTTGTTTACAACTGGTGTGGAAGGGCAGAGCATGTAGAATGGGTAACTGGTTGGTGGGGGGTGAAAATATGGTGGTGGATACAGGGGTTAATGAGATGGGTTGGCAATTGTTGGGATAGTGAATGAGTGGATGAAGTAACTACCTAAATGTAGTTACATGATGAGAGCTACACTCGTGGTGTCCCGTCTTTCCCATACTCTTTGTGTGTGAATGCATGTTGGCATGAGGTGGGTGGGATAGCAATATAGGTGATGTAACAGGTTGAGAGCTGAATATATGGTTTATCATGTTGATGAGGTGTGATGAATGTAATTACCTAAGTATAGTTACAGGATGAGGGCTACGCTTGAGGTGTCCCATCTTCCCAGTACTCTTTGTCATATAACGTTGGTGCAAATTTTAAAATCAGGTAAGGGTAAGGTAATTATCAAAAGAAGGCACCAAACCGGGAAGGCTATGTAGCACCATCAAAGTACGAAATAATCAGAGGGCGCTAAATATCACCAAGAATGCCAATACGAGAACAAAAACGCATAAGGCGAACGATATCAAAAGTATTCGATTCACCTAGAATTCTATCGAGGGACAAGTGACCGCGAGGGACGGTCGGAAAGCAAGACACACACTCGTCCTGGAAGTCAGGACATTCAACAAGGATATGCACAACTGTAAGAGGGACAACGCAATTCAGACAATAAGGAGCAGGGCGGCGCTCCATTAAGTGACCGTGGGTTAAGCGAGTATGACCAACCCGCAGCCGTGCCAAAGCAGTTTCCCACCGTCGGTTACGGTGGCAGGAGGAAGGCCACAGGGACACACTACGTTTGAGAGTACGCAGCTTATTACCAACCACAGAGGACCAACAACCCTGCCAACGGGCAAGAATGGAAGAATGAATAACAGGATAAAAGTCGGAATAAGGAATACCTTTACAGGAGATGGGACAAGAACGGATAGCTTCCTTAGCGGCAGCATCCGCACGCTCATTGAAAGAAACACCAATATGGCTGGGAACCCAGCAAAACTCTACTGATTTAAATTTACTAGAAATAAGAAACAGCCAATGTTGAATCTCGATGACCACCGGATGGACAGGATTAAAGGACCCTAGAGCCATGAGGGCACTACGAGAGTCAACTACAACCACAAAGGAGGAATGAGAATGAGAAAGCAAGAGACAAAGAGCATAGAGAATAGCATAAAGTTCTGCTGTAAAGACGCTAGCCTCCGAAGGGAGGCGACACATATAAGTATGGTCAGGAAAAACAACAGAGTAGCCCACACCGTCCGCAGACTTAGACCCATCGGTGAAGATGGAAATAGAGTGGGAGTGCGAAGAAAAGTGCTCAAGGAAGAGGCTTTTCAGAATTGTAGGAGGGGTAAAGGCTTTAGTAACACAAGCCAAGGACGTACAAAACTTGGGAAGGGGGACTCTCCACGGAGGTAAGGAAGGAACAATACGAGGAGAAACATTAGAAATATGAACAGAAAGAGAATTCTGTAAGCGAGATAACCGGACAGAAAGTGAGAGACAATGAAGAGGAACAGAAACCACAGGAGGAGAAAAAGTCAATGCACGACAGAGGCGAGAGGAAGGATGTTGGAAGGACCGCGCCAGATAGCGAAGACAGTAGCGATCACGGCGGTCCTGAAGAGAGAGAAAGCCAGTGTCAACATACAAACTAAGGGCGGGAGTCGAACGAAAGGCACCAGAGCTGAGACGCAACCCAGTATGGTGCAAAGCATCAAGACGGCGAAGAGTAGAAGGAGAAGCAGAAGAGTATGCAGGGCAACCATAATCGAGTTTAGACAGGACGAAAGAGGAGTGCAAATAGAGGAGCGTGCGCCTATTTGCTCCCCAAGAAGTATGGGACAAAACCTTAAGGAGGTTAAGGGCCTTAGAGCATTCAACTCGGAGGTAAGAGATATGGGCTGATCAAGACAAACGAGTGTCAAAGACTAACCCCAAAAGCTTCGCGGAATCCCTGTACACAATGGGATGACCATAAAGCGACAAAGAGGGACGAAGAACGATATGCTTCCGAGTAAAAGTCATAACACAAGTCTTAGTAGTAGAGAACTTGAAGCCATGATCGGTGGCCCAAGACGACACGGCATCAATCGCAAGTTGAAGCCGCCGTTGAAGGAGAGGGGAATCATCACCCCGACAGCAAAGGGTAAGATCATCAACATAGAGAGCAGAGAAGACGCCAGAAGGAAGAGAAGAAAGAAAACCGTTGAGGGCAACTAGAAAAAGAGTAGTGCTCAGAACACTACCCTGGGGTACACCCTCATACTGCTGAAAAGGGGCAGAGAGAGCAGTACCAAGCCGCACACGAAAAGAACGACGAGAGAGGAAGCTCTGGAGGAAGAGAGGGAGGTTCCCACAAAGGCCAAAAGAATGAAGTTGAGACAGAATATGATACCGCCAGGTAGTGTTGTAAGCCTTTTCCAGGTCAAAAAGGACGGCAACAACGGAGGTCTTCGCAGCAAAAGCAGTACGAATATAGACCTCCAAGTTCACCAGGACATCTGTTGTGCTGCGGCACTTGCGAAAACCAATTTGAGAAGGGGAGAGGTGGCGATAGTGTTCTAAGAACCACATCAAACGAACGTTGACCATACGTTCAAAGAGCTTGCAGACACAACTCATGAGAGCAATAGGGCAGAAGTCCTTGGGAAATGACCCGAGAGACCCTGGTTTCCGAACAGGGAGGACAACAGCATCGAGCCAGTCTTCAGGGACTGACGACGACTCCCAGACCCGATTGTACAGACTCAGTAAATACTGAGACAGTATGTCTCAGTATTTACTTATTTGGGCCTAGTGGAAAACCACCAAAGTGGTCACACAATAGAGTGTGACCAATCAAAGGCAGACCCCCCTGCCAAGCAGGAAATACAAAAACAAAAATAAAACCCCACAAGAGGACAACGTACCCAGGCAGAACAGAGTCGGCCGCTATGAGAGGTAATAACTAGCTGCACAGCACCCTGTGACCCAACCAGTGACTTAAACTACCCCCTACCCAGAGGCAAACAGGGGAAGCATGAACACCCCAGTTGACTACATGGGCGGTCAATCACCGAGCAGCAAAAGAGACAGCGGAGGTAGATTCCAAGGTGACATGTGGAAGGTGGACCCAAACCCCAAGGGCAGTACTGGTACTTATAGGGCACCTGAGAAGGTGACCCCCTAGGCACATGCAGCCCGAGTACCTGTGAAATTACTCCTAGCTCGGACACTACCAAGGACACAGCCCACGCCACAAGGCACACAGCTGGAGACAGGAAAACAGGAGCCAGAGACACACAACCGTTGCCAATCACATCTGCCGAAGAACTGGGGTGTGGGTAGCCGGCATGAGGGTCTGGGGCTCCCCCTTTCCCCTTCCAGGGAGGTGGGGGTTGCGCAAACAGCAGTGCGGTGACGTGGTGACATCATGCTCATTTGCTCATTTTCATTTGGAGAGTTCAGTCCACTAGTTCGGCTTTCAGAAGCAATGTTAACCAGAATAGAGGTTTGTTTTGAGGCACTTACCTTTCTGGGTGCCTGACTTGGTCGATGGCGGACATAGACTGCTTCCAATCGCACGAGGGTTTCTATAAGCCATTTGCTCCTCGTGCCTTTCTGAAGGGGCCAAGTTCTGGCTCATGGTTCTTGGTAGGCCTAGAACTCCATGCACATTGACTGGTGCCAAAGTCTAATATATTCATATCAGCCTGGATAGCTCTGTTTTTAGTTTTTCATGGGGGCTCCCCCCCCCCCCAGAAAAACCATATATATATGTAACACTTGATTTTAGGTAATAATTACCTTTACAATTTAGCACACAATATTTTACACCAGAATGCTTACCATATCAAGCAGCAGCTCCACCTTGAGTTTTAGCAAGTTATTTTCCTCCAGCAGTGTCTGATTTTGCTGTTGAAGTCGTGCTACCTCACGATTATTCATACGACCTCTTGATCCTCCTCCTAATATTTGCATATGTGATTTAGATGAGAAATTAACAGACTATGGTATTAAATAAAAAAACTTGATAATTTTTTTGTGTGTATACTGTATACTGAACAATTTGCATTAAATGTTTAATAATACAGTACATATGAATACAGCATTTTCAATGTTAAAACAAGATACTGTAGTGATTTGATGTGCACACTTTCCAAGAGGGATGTAGTCAATTATACTGACTACAAAAAAAGTGCAGTTATGATATACTGTACATCTTACCCGAGATCCATTCTCCATCTTCAAAAGTTGCATTCTGTCCACCAATATTGAGTTTAATCTTGCTGAAATCGTGAGAGATATCTTGACCAGTCTTATCAGATTCTCTTTTTAAACTTGAAAGTGAAACAGATCTCCTAGGAGGAGACTTGCCTGGTGAAAAACTTCGGCTGAATAGATTTAAAGGCATGCTAATAGCTCTGGTAGTACTGTATTTGATTTACATGGAATGCCTGTATTGGAAACTGTTTAATACAGCTTATTCAATCTGAAAAATAAATATTAAGCATGATTTTTTATTTAGTTTTATATTTTAATACTGTACTGACAAAGCCATCTATACAAATCTGCATCTAGGGTTCTGTTATAATACTATCTCAAGCCAATAACTGCTCAACATAAATCAGCCACTAGAACCATAATTGGCCTATGCTTTGGCACATTGTTGATTTTGATAGTCTGACTTGAAGTGGTAATTGACTCTGTTCATGGTAAAATTGTAGTGAAGAGGTTACAGATGCAGCAGCATCAAGAGAAGAGGAATCCAGCTCCTCTTCTCCTTGGAGCTGGACTATACATATAGTTTATCTTCTGATTTCCCAGGGGTTTGGCTCTCCATATCCAGGTAATGTCCAACATTCTGGCTGACCAGCCCATCCTCCTAAGGTTTCCCAACGTCAAGAAAATGGTCAGTTTAACCCTTGCATGGCGCCTGGTAGTCAGGTACCTATTTTACTACTATGTAACAGGGGCATAGGGTGAAAGAAACTCTGCCCATTGTTTCTCCCCGGTGCCCGAGATCGAACCCGGGACCACAGGATCACAAGTCCAGTGTGCTGTCCGCTCGGCCGACGGCTCCCGAAAGTTAGGTTAGGTTTGGTTAAGTTAGATTAGGTTAGGTTAGGTCAGCCTAACCTATCATATTTATTCATTACTAACGTATTGCCAGGAAGCTTTGTGAAGTTTGTGTAGCTTGTGGTAGCTTGCGGTAATTAGACGGACCCGTGGAGAGGTTATGTTAGTCCAGATATGGTCAAGAGCAGAGGCAGTACTATCAGTAATTCTAGTAGGTCTAGTGATTAAGGGTATGAGAAATCAGGAATTCATACAGTTGAGGAAACTAGCAGCAGGAGAGTTATGTTATCCTATCTCAGGAAAGTTACTGGAATTAGTTTCAAGAGGATAATACAGCATCAATAATATCTGAGGAGTTAGCTGGGGACAGGTACAGAGACTCATGATAGCTGCCAGGGAGGTACTCAACTACACTTGCTTGGGATGCTGGGACCTCATTTACAAGGTAAGGTTGAAGGTTGCGAAGAGTCAAAGTCGAGTCCGGGAGCCAGCCTGGTGAACTGGTCGGATTGTACATAACTGTTTCAGATCGCTTCGATACAAGCACACGTCAAGTCGTATACTGCAATTTCGGATACTGGGCTAGAAACAACTTCGTTCACTGAGAAGTTTGTACATACAAACTATTCTGTTCGTATATGCGCTAGTGCGTGTTCGCTGTTGTTCTCGTCTGAATAAATACATGGCACTTGTTCATATAATTAGCGCTTCCATTATTAGAATTATTTATCCATTATTAGAATAACAAGGTGCAAACCATACCCCCTTACAGTTGAAATCTATTTATTTATATACAAGAAGGTACATTGGGTTGCGAGAGTACATAACATATATTAAGAGGTACATTGTAGCAAGATTTGAGATTAAAGGATTTAAGACTAACACGTTTAGAAACAAGGCGCCCCCGAAGGAGGCTATTATTTGTTATGCACCCCATACTCAACCAGTAAGTAGTGGAGCAAAACATAGATTACATGGTCATAAAGTCTTAATCAGACCAATTCACTTCTATTTCTTTCTTTATTATGCACCCCATACCCATCCCGTGGGCGGTGGTGTAAAGGATTACAGAGGCACATAATCGGTTCAGGAACTGAACCCTCTAGTTCGTTTAGCTAAGCAAATAACAATTTGTGACGCTAGTTACAAAATTATTAATATTATATATACATGTACACACTCTCATACATACATGTATATATATATATATATATATACGTATACATATATATATACGTATACATATATACATACAGTGAAAGGGCGTATACATACATCAAAGGACGCTAAATATCACCAAGGATGCCAATACGAGGTTAGGTTAGTTTAGGTTAGGTCAGCCTAGCCTATCATATTTATTCATTACTAACGTATTGCCAGGAAGCTTTCTGAAGCTTTGTGAAGCTTGTGTAGTTTGTGGTAATTAGACGGACCCCGTCCAACAGCCTGGTTGACCAGTCCAGCAACCAGGAGGCCTGGTCGACGACCGGGCCGAGGGGACGCTAAGCCCCGGAAGCACCTCAAGGTAACCTCAAGGTAAGGTACTCAACAACGTAACATAATCGTACGTTACAGTACGTTACACGGTATGGGGTGCATAATAAAGAAAGAAATTGAATTGTTCAATACCTAAAGCCACTAATACGCATAGCGTTTCGGGCAAACACTGTATATACCATAACATAATAATAATTATGTATGCCTGCTATGTAGATTTTAATTATTAATAGCATTACACTACGTTGTAATATTGACCGGTAATACGTATACGAAACCTACAAAATGTTGTGTACGAAAAGGTAAACTTATGTAAAAAATATGTAAAATGTGTAAATTTACATAAACTTTACCATTTATGTAAATGTTTTTTCTTAATGTGTACGAGCCGTCTTGTGTACGAGCTGACTTGTTTTTCTTGAGTACGGTGAGTGGCCATCAGCTGTCCCGCCGCGCCATTGCCAAACCTCCTCCCTCTCCTCATATTAACAACCCACGCAATATCGTACCTGTATTCGTTTCCGAATGCCATTTATGTATAATATCCATTTTTTATATATTGAGATTCATTAAACTGAAAAGTGAAAGATTGAGCTGGTAATGGATAATTCTCGAGACGTGGCAGATGCATTTATCATATGATGAAGGGTGGCAAATGGAGACACTAGTGTGAGGAGGCCAGTGTGAGGTGACTAGTGTGAGGTGGCGCGTCAGGTAACATGGTTGAGCAAGTATGACCCTGCACAAGCTCTGGTGGTTGGCTTGCGTCAGCCTGGCACTAGGAGGCGGGTTCCTGCTGGCCGATGGTGAGTTTAGGGATGATATCTCGCCCCCTCCTCTACCACCACTCTTGCCCTCGTCGCACAGTAGTTTTACATACTCTACTCGCCCTCGAGAGGGACCCAGGCAGAACAGAAACGGTTGGGCACGTTTCATTCCACCTGATTACTGGTGTTCTAGCAGTAAATACCCAGGAGGGGAAGAGTTAGGTAACAGGTATGGATTGCAACCTGAGGAAAAGTCATCAGTACTCAGCCCATGAGGACCTCGTTAAACTATGAGGAACTCGTTAAGCAATATGGCTTTTTGTCTTCAAGAAAAACAATTATTATGGTTTCCTCTGAGGCCGGACAAACTTTCGTTTAAACCCTAATATTTATACCTGTCCCGGGTTCAAGGCTGCTTGTCTCAAGCTTATTTCCATGCAGTAATTTTTTTGGTTTTAATTCTAATTTTTTTTATTTTTATTTTGATGTTTGCATGTGGTTTAGTAGATGACATTGCAGGGGTTCTTGTCATAGCTAAAGTCTTGACAGTTTGACACTCATGTGCTACTCCCCGTGAATCTGGTACTAATTGAGAAGATTGATGTCAAATTATAGTGTAAACATGAACAAATTGACAAGGGCCGTGATGAGGGTTCGAACCTAAGCACGGGATGTTCCCAGATGCGCCAAGGCGCATCTGGGAACATCCCGTGCTTAGGTTCGAACCCTCATCGCGGCCCTTGTCGATTTGTTCATTTGACATATCATGCTATTGTAATTTCTGGGTGTATAGTGTAATCGTGTTCAGAGAAAATGTAGGGTAAAGCTATTAAATGGCCTTGATTAGGGAGAACTCTGAGCTTGCAAACAAGTAATAATGATAATACTTCGGCCGAAATGCTGTGCGTGTTAGCGGCTTTAGGCATAGTATATATATTAGCCCTTTGTCTACAAATACAGTTTTCAGGAACATTATCCCACTCTCATTGTCCTTTACTTTACTGTTTCCTCTAATGATTGTTTGGTTTGTTTATATTTACCATTTCACAGTTTACAGATGTTGCCACTCCATCACCTTAGAAAAAAAATAATTTTCTAATTGTTTGCCTAATATGTTTCTGCATACAGTATTTCTATTTTTGACTTCAAAATATACTTTTTTGTTTATTTCTCTTTCTCACCACTTGTGCCTATGTTTCTTTCACTAGCCTTTGGACTTTTCCAGTCCTTTAGTAACCTTCTCTAATCAGTTTTCCCTTAACCACTCTGCTGCTCGCCCTCCAAATATGACACCCTCCCTGTGTGCAAAATAAATTCTCATGTTTTTAAATGTGTTAAACACCCTTCCCTGATTACAGAAATGTAAAAATAAACTCAAAATTGTACTTTGGTCGCAATGGGGTCCAGAAAATGGAGTGTGATGTCATGATTTGGTGGTCGCCTGTGGCGTAGACTCCCAGGGGCAGTCGCGCGCCAGGTTCAAGATGCGCTAATTGCCACAATTAAATTTTTATTATGCAGGCAAAATCAATAAATTTTTATTAATTTTTTGTGCACAGTTCCAAATACATTTTTGTTTTTTCCTTACTCTTACTAAATTGTTTAAGTACTGTACTGTACTGTAGTCTGGAAAGAATTAACCTTTCTGGAGTGCCTTCAATTATTGATCATCAGATTTTTAATGTACAATAATAATGTGTCAAAACTAATTTAATGCTTTTGCTTTCAGATGTACCTCTGATTCTGAATAATTCGGGTCCAGTGGTTCTTGATATGCCAATATGGTTTTCAGCTGAACTAACAGATTATGAGGAAGGAGAAGTCTTGAATTGGCAGTGGTCAGATGATCTCTCTCATGGAGCAAGTGTGAGTTTTTAAGTATAATATTCAAAATGGGTGCTTAATTTTTTTGGTACAAGTTTTATAGTATTATTAACCTCTTGGATATGTTAAAACTTTGTATTCTTTAACCCTTAGGCTGCTAAGGGCCTTTTGGCCTTCAACACCCACAGGTGCAAAAAAAAAAAAAAAAAAAAAAAAAAAATCCAATTTTTTGTATTAACCCTTGTGTTGCTCCGGGCTAATTAGCATTTGTCACCCACAGGTGCATACCAAAAAAAAAAAAATGTTTTCTTCCTAACCTGTTGAGTCGTGTTCCCTGACCACGAGAAAAAAAATTCAATTGTACTTGCCAACGACATAATTGAGCCGACAATATGGGCGATGACGTCACACCCTGCATGATCGCTCATGCACGGTGCGTCCCAGAGGCGTCGTGCGCGGTCTTCAAGCAGCCACAGTTGCCCTGAATTTATTTTCGCATCATTATTTACAGTGTCTAGGCATATTTTATTACCAATATTAGTCACTAATTGTGTTGCATATAATGTTACCTCATGGCCATTGTCAATAAATGTTGCATACATCGAGTATACACATGCGCACACAAATGTTTTCCATTACGCCAATATATTATGTAATCATAATGTTCATTATTATATTTACACAGAAGCATGCACTATGTACAGGTTTTTGCACTATTATTGCACATTTAGAAGTCTTGGAGAGAGTGGTAGTCGTTTAAGCAGTCGACAGCACACAATGGAACTGCACACGCTTCACACAATGTTTGCACCACTTTACGTTTCTGATCTCTCCTTTTTGTTGTTTTACAAACTAGGCATTCACGTTGGCCTATTGCATGCTTTCCAGTTGGTGGCAAATGTTTTTTTTTTTTTAGTTTGTGCTTGAAAGACCTCCATGTGAGCGAGCCTGGGTGTGGCAGCATGCTGCAACACTGGGTTCATGATGGGTCTTTGTATGCCAGGGACATCTTTGCCAAACTTTGCTAATAACTGTGTCGCAAGTGTAAAAGCAAACGCACGGAAACTAGGTTTACGTCCAGTTTTCACCAGATACATATAACAGTTCAGCATGCTCATGTCAACAAGATGGAAAAACACTTTTTTCGTCCATTTCAATGTTTTCTGCATACAATAGTGCCAACCATCATGTCGGCTTTATCAATCGAACGCATGTTGATATTATAGTCAAGAACACAATCTGGCTTATACTGTCTACACTCGATCATCCGGACTATATGGGAAGGACCCCCAGCCGGATTATCACATTTTTCGGATAATGGTACTTTTTTTACCTACGAGTCCAAAAGTGACCATTTCCAACTATTTTTATACTACAAACAACATAATTTGAATTGCCTTGCCGCATATAATTATTAAATATTCAACTAGAAACCTCAACTTACCTCGTTGGTGTTCATCTTCTTGATTGATGCCACACATCTTAAAGTTAAGAATTCTTAACAATTTACGTAACCTATACTAACACAACACTAAAATTAACACTTAAAATTACTGTACAGTTCATTAAGCCATTACTGTTCATTAATTACTGTACAGTTCGACCGGGGAGCCGGTCGGCCGAGTGGACAGCACACTGGACTTGTGATCCTGGGTTCGATCCCGGGCGCCGGTGAGAAACAATGGGCAGCGTTTCTTTCACCCTATGCCCCTGTTACCTAGCAGTAAAATAGGTACCTGGGTGTTAGTCAGCTGTCACGGGCTGCTTCCTGGGGGTGGAGGCCTGGTCGAGGACCGGGCCGCGGGGACACTAAAGTCCTGAAATCATCTCAAGATAACCTCAAGATAAGCAAAGTTAGTTTTGACTGCCAGCTGCTGAAGCCTCACTGGTTGAAGGCATTTGGGTTGCCTGTGAGGCCTCGCTTGTTGAAGGTGCTTGCATGCGCCTCGCTTGTTGAAGGCGCTTGCATGCGCCTCGCTTGTTGAAGGCGCTTGCATGCGCCTCGCTTGTTGAAGGCGCTTGCATGCGCCTCGCTTGTTGAAGGCGCTTGCATGCGCCTCGCTTGTTGAAGGCGCTTGCATGCGCCTCGCTTGTTGAAGGCGCTTGCATGCGCCTCGCTTGTTGAAGGCGCTTGCATGCGCCTCGCTTGTTGAAGGCGCTTGCATGCGCCTCGCTTGTTGAAGGCGCTTGCATGCGCCTCGCTTGTTGAAGGCGCTTGCATGCGCCTCGCTTGTTGAAGGCGCTTGCTTGCGCCTCGCTTGTTGAAGGCGCTTGCTTGCGCCTCGCTTGTCGAAGGCGCTCGCTTGTTGAGGTGTATAACATTAACATGTCTTTAATTGTTAGGACAACCTTCTTCCTCTTAACACCTCCAGAACGATTGATGCTGCTACCGGACATTGTCTTGGCCAAAAATGTTCAATGTTACTATGAAAATAAAAAAGTTATTTAAAAAAAAAAATATTTCACTAATGGCGCAGCACTGTGTATAACACGAGGGACGGATGCACATGGGTTGACCAGTGTTGGACGGGTGCACTTGGAGTGGGGGCAGCTATAGCACATTACATAGGCCGCCAGGAGGGAAAAAACTCTCAATATTTTTTAAGGAAACTTCAGCCTGTGCACATTGCTTTTAGGAAACTTATTTATGTTATTACATAATTACTAGTATTTATTTCATTTTTTTTGGCTATGATTAACTGTTCTAAAATTAATGGTAATTCCTGTACCCAGGTGGTCTCTCCCGACGCACCCCTCCCACCCTTTCAACACCACCCACCCACCCCACCTAATACGGTATGGCCGAATTTTCATCCGGCCAAACCAGCTTTTATCCGGTTCCAGTGGCCATCTTGGCCGGTTATTGTGATAACTTTATCCGATCACGATTTTGGCCGTATAAGGGCGTTTTCCGGATGTTTGAATCCCGGATAATCGCGGGGTTACAGTATACTGGTTCTTTCATTACACAGTTCACCTTGCCACTGTTCACCATTGTACCATCGTGAACGGTTGTCAGCATGTTCACTTCTCTCTTGTCTTTCCACCGAACCGAGAGTATTTGATCGCATTTTCGTAGCTGGCACTCACCAACTGCAAGTCTACCGTCAAACACTGGCATTTCCCTTCTTAAGAAGCACATCAACAAACTGGAAAAGGTGCAAAGACATGCTACTAAGTGGCTCCCAGAACTGAAGGGCAAGAGCTACGAGGAGAGGTTAGAGGCATTAAATATGCCAAAACTATAAGACAGAAGAAAAAGAGGTGATATGATCACTACATACAAAATAGTAACAGGAATTGATAAAATCGATAGGGAAGATTTCCTGAGACCTGGAACTTTAAGAACAAGAGGTCATAGATATAAACTAGCTAAACACAGATGCCGAAGAAATATAAGAAAATTCACTTTCGCAAACAGAGTGGTAGACGGTTGGAACGAGTAAGGGGAGAAGGTGGTGGAGGCCAAGACCGTCAATAGTTTCAAAGCGTTGTATGACAAAAAGTGCTGGGAAGACGGGACACCACGAGCGTAGCTCTCATCCTGTAACTACACTTAGGTAATTACACGCAGTGAAAGTAAAAGTGAAGAGTAAAAGTGGCCATGTCTTTTTGGGAATAAAGTATACAATGTGTTATTGTCTTTCTGATTATAAGGCGGTTGAAGAAGTTGAAAAACCTGACTTCAGGAGAGGACATTATGGGGGACCTTAGAAATTTTTTAATGAGTATGTGGAAATATGCATTTTGTTGGCTGTGGTACAGACAATTGCAAATACAGGATGTTCATTTTTGGACCTTTCTTGTAAGAATTCCTACTTATCCGGATAACCGGCTTAATCAGTGAAGGGGTTGGGCCAACATAATCCGGGTAAACGAGAGAAGACGGTACAATACAGTACAGTATGTTGGAATGTGTGCATTGAGAGGTACTGATTTGTGGTAAAATTTATTAAGAGAAGTTTTAAAATAAATTTAGCATGTATCATGAAGTGAAGTGTTAAGATAATTGTAATACAGTAATGTGGATATAAAACAAGATCTATTCATGTACAGTATGTCTTGACTTACTTTTAATTATTCAGTTAGTTTTTAGGATACAAATAAGCCATTACTTTACCTTATCTTTTACATGTACCATTTGGCCCTTTCCAGCAATATATTAATGGAGAAAAAGCCTACTGGTCCATTACATATGATTCTGAAGCTTTTTCGTGGTATACTGGAAAACGCACAGTTCAGCTCATAATCAAGAAGCGGTATGGTGTTGTCTGGCTTACAAGAAACAAAGCAAGTACATCTTATGACCTGACAGGTATAGTTTTGGCTGTTTTAACATTTCTGGCAATGAATCATATTGTCCATTCATACGCCATTCCAGTTTACTTGTAACTTCATGAGGTAGCTATTCCTTAAAGGGATATTATGTAGTTTTATAGCAGATTTTTTTTTTCTGAAGTTTCGTCCAATAACTTTAACACTGTATCATGTTTAATTTACCTCTTAAAATGTGGATATCAAAAACATCCTGGACTGGAGGGGCCACAAAAAAGGAGGAAGGAAAAAGTTGAATCTAGAGACCAAGAAGGCTTTGAAGGAAATTGGGCCAACCATAGGTGAAGGAGGCCAATACAACGTCAGAAACAATGAAGACCAGACATTGAAGTACTTTCAGAATTCCTAGACTACAAGCCAAAGTGCATGGAGGCATTGTGTGGAAGCCTCGAGAACCCTAAAGGATTCGGTTGAATCCCAGGTTGCATTGCTTTTGGCCATGTCATAGTGAAGTGGTCTAGAGCGTTTGCTTGAAAGTACACCCAGTGCATAGGTTTGAATCCTTCTCATGGCTCCTACTGATTTTCTCATTGATACATCACATGACTGATTTCTTTGTACAAGTGTACTACTGTAACTACAGTGGAACGTCGATTAACGAGCGGCTCTATTAACAAGATTTTCCAGTAATGAGCAAGCCACTCGCAGCAAATTTGTCTATATTGGGGAGCTCGCCTCTATTAACGAGCGAAACGACATGGTGCTTCCTAGCGTCTCGCGGGTTCTCGCAAATTCTCGGACGCCTCCGACGCCAGTGTTGTTGTATCTCACACGACAAGCATCCCTCTGGATTTATTTGCGCTTTTCTTTTTTTTTTTTTTTTTTTTTTTTTTTTTTTTTTTTTTTTTTTTTTTTTTTTGGTGGTTTTGTGACTGCAATTTGTAACCTGGTTGATACCTGGTTGATGGGGTTCTGGGAGTTCTTCTACTCCCCAAGCCCGGCCCGAGGCCAGGCTTGACTTGTGAGAGTTTGGTCCACCAGGCTGTTGCTTGGAGCGGCCCGCAGGCCCACATACCCACCACAGCCCGGTTGGTCCGGCACTCCTTGGAGGAATAAATCTAGTTTCCTCTTGAAAATGTCCACGGTTGTTCCGGCAATATTTCTTATGCTTGCTGGGAGGACGTTGAACAACCGCGGACCTCTGATGTTTATACAGTGTTCTCTGATTGTGCCTATGGCACCTCTGTTCTTCACTGGTTCTATTCTACATTTTCTTCCATATTGTTCACTCCAGTACGTTGTTATTTTACTGTGTAGATTTGGTACTTGGCCCTCCAGTATCTTCCAGGTGTATATTATTTGATATCTCTCTCGTCTTCTTTCTAGTGAGTACATTTGGAGGGCTTTGAGACGATCCCAATAATTTAGGTGCTTTATCACGTCTATGCGTGCCGTATATGTTCTCTGTATTCCCTCTATTTCAGCAATCTCTCCTGCTCTGAAGGGGGAAGTGGACTACTTACAAAAAAAATTTGTAAGTAGTAAGTCGAGGTTTCACTGTATGTAGCACTTGCAAGGGGTCGGGATAAGGATTTGGGATGGGACAGGGGAAAGAAATGGTGCCCACCCACTTGGATGGTTTGGGGATTGAACCCCGACCTGCATGAAGTGAGATCGTCGTTCCACCGTCCATCACAAGTAGGGAAGTTACTTTGAGCTTTTTTGGATGTAGATTGCCCAGGTTAATCAGACAGTGGTCTGTTTTGATTCTCCTTCCTTTCTTGGTCCATCCCCGGTCGATGGCAATCATGACATGGTTTAAATATACAGTGCTCATAGGCCATTTCTTCCTGCACCTCTCTGAGGGGGACCAGGTTCTGGCTTGTGGTCCTAGGTAGGCATAAGGACTCCTTTGACTGATGTCCCCAAACTAATATAGCATACATCAGTTAGGGGTAGCTTCAGGGAGCCTCCGAGGCTCGCCCAGAAAATGTTGTTTCATTACATTCAATGCTGCATTTTTTCCAAATAATTTTCTTCTGCAGGTTTGTATTTTAATATATAATACTAGTATATGGTATGTAAAGAGGCAGGTCAGGTTGTTTTTGCTTTTCAGAGTGTCACTTATTGATTATTGCAAAAGAAGACTGGTCTTGGTACTTGAATAGTACCCTTTGCTGGTCATGATCCAAAGGTGTCTTGTTTAATAAATTTTTGTTTGTTTGCCCTGCAGAATCATTAAATGGAGAGCTGACAGTACTTCAACCAAATGTGACTTTGGCAGTATCAGGCACCAAGTATATATCAACTGCTAATGAAACCAACATCACAGCAGTTATCCATGATCCACATGACTGGCTGAAGCAACACACAGAGATGTCCAATTTCTATTGGATCATTAATGATGGTGTAAGTGCTGAAGTTGGAATTTTATGCTCTTCATTTTCAATTTTGAGTAGTCAAATTAATAACTAGGGTTGCACCTCAAATCATACTGTGCAGAAATATCCTCATTCAGTTTTCTGGGAGGGCTCCTTTGGTGGCTTCCTGTTGCTACTCGTGGATAGCTGCTTCCAGTTCTAATTGCATCAGGTTTTGTGAGCCTTAGAATCCTACTGGAGACCAGAGGCCTAAACCTGGTCCTCCCCCCCCTTTAAAGAGGCGCAAGGAGCAGATTCAAAATCATTAACTAAATTAAAAATCCACCAAAACAGGCAACAACAACAACAACAGTAAGAACCTAGCATTGAATGTAATGAAATGCCTCTTTCTGGAGGAGCCTGGTGGCTCGCTGAAGCTATCTTAAGATAGTTCCATACTAAAAGGTCACATTAGTTGTGGAAGTTCTGTTTGGCCTACTGGGGTCCACAGCCAGAACCTGGCCCACCTCACAGAGGTGCAGAGAGTAAGTAACAATCAGCCACCACACTAGAAATAAAAGAATCCAGAATGTAGACAACTGGAGGGTTCACGGAAAAAGAAATATAAAAAAAAAAAACAACTCTGTAGATGATACACACAGAACAGGGATTTACTCAAACTTTCCTTGAAATTTGTTAGTACCAAATACTGCCATCAGGCAGCCTGGCCTCAGCCTAGAAGCTGGTTTCCCTGATCTGTTCTGCAGCTGATGAACAACTCGATGATACAGTGAACCTGTATCATCAGGTTCACTGATGATACAGGTTCACTGTATCAAACAGTATGAAGTTTCCTGGCAGTCCTTCTGGTTTTCCTATCACTGCGTAGGTGTACTTCGGTCTCTCATAGGGTTGTCTTGTCCTTTCTTTCGTGGTTGTTCCAGGACCATCATCTTATGCCAAATACTGTCACCTCTTATCGTGCTGCACTGGCGGAGCCTCTCTAACTTGCATTTAGTATTGATGTCACTTCTGCCCCGTTCCGCAAGCTGTCTTTTGCGTTGTTTCATCTCCGGCCTCCTCATGCGCTTCCGTAGCCATCCTAGTGTTTGAACCGGGTGCTCTTTCTCTCTCTTCCTCGATTTGTAGTGGCCTCTTCAGTTCAGGATTGATTTTCTGAGGCTCTCTTTCCTGTTGGTATTGGCCTCTGGAGGGTCTGGTCGGGGAGCTTCATGCTTTCCTCCGTGCAGGGGTTTCTGCTCATTCGGTCCTGGTGGTAGGTTTGTTTGGTTGCAGCCATCTCCTTCTTTTCTGGCAAAGAATGAAACTGCTGCTTTCCAGAGGGGTCCTTGGGTTGTTAATGCTTGGTTGGTCATGCCGGGGGTGCATTATGTGTTGTCCGGTTGCGGCTCTGTTGTTATTTGTGTGCTACGGCTTCGGTGGCTGCTGATGCGCTTTGGGTAGACCCAGTTTCCCTCCTTCCCTGTTCCCAGGATCGGGTCTCCCAGGTCGTCTGCAGGGTTAAGTCTAGCCAGCCTGCAGTCTATCCCCGTGCCCAAATGTTCCTAAGTCTGCTGTTTTGGCTGCAATCATTGGTAACATGTCTTGGGTTGACATTTAGGCAAGGGGTTTTTGGAGGTTGAACAGGGTCCTGGCCTCTCGCTATCTTGTCAATGTCCCTGGACCTGGTAGGGCCAACGTTGCATTGGGTCGGTGGCTGCAGCCAGTTGTCTCGACTTTGCATTGAGGAGTAAGGACTGACTGCCTTCCGGGTAAGTCCCTGTGTTTTCCTTGATTGATACAATGATTTTAAAAAATACTAATTTTTTCCTGGGCGTTACCCCTATTGGTCAACTCAGTCACGTGACTTGTACTGACCAATCGCCAGGCGGCTGGCGCGCTCGCCCCCTTGGGGGGTATCCTGTCTCCTCCTTGCCTATTGCAATCATAAAGGGGCATAAGCCCTTTCATGCCCAAAACTAAAATTGCAAATTTTAATTTTGGGCATTTCAAAAATTCCCTTTATATATATATATATATATATATATATATATATATAATATATCAAAATGCTCCCTGAGCATCAGAGAATATACAGGTTGCAGAGGTATAACTCTTACTGTCAAATTAGGGAAGATATAGGATGGGACACTGAAACAATATCAACCCAGGACATGTTGGAGAAAACTGCAGCCTATGGTACATATTTGTGAACATTGTGAGCCTAAAGGTAGACTACAGGCTGGCTAGATTTTATGACACTGCAAATGACCTTTGAAATAGGGGACCATGGAAACTTCTGGTCCCCTGTAGGCTAAATGATTTGAAAGTGCCTGGTGGGGCATATGTTCTAATGCTATCCAGGCTGCTAGATCCAGGGATTCATCATGGGGTCCCTTCAGAAAAAGGCATTTCATTACATTGATTGCAGGATTTTTCTTTTTCTACTTTCTGCTTTATACGTGCTAATATCTTCCCACCCCCACTAAAGGGAGGGGGGTAATGATATTTATATTGTAACTTAATTTGTCGATATTGGTCCAGGACAGACCGAAATGTTTTTTTTTTTCTTTTTCTGGTGTTTGGTTTGTATATCATATCTTTAGCCATGTTATTTTCTGCATAAATCCAAATTATTAAATGAATGTTGTACATTTTTAACAAGTTTTGTGTATGATTGATAGTTTTTTCTTGTGTTTTACAGTTACATGCATTGTGTTCTACGCCATCGTTGATTATCAATATAACCAAGCCTGGCAATTATACCATCCAAGCCAACATTATAGTGGACATTTCAAATGAAATTATCACTACCACAACCACCACCACCACAACATCCACCACCACCACTACGACAACTACTACACCCAAATCAGATAATCATACAACCACATCACCACCACCAACCACAACATCTATAGCAACTACTACACCCAATGGTACCACAACTACACCTACACCACCATCACCTAACAATAGAACTTGGAGATGTGATGGGTATTGGCCACAGGCAGGACATTCTGGTGGCTTGGTAGAAGCAAGAAACCTTAAATTGGGATACTTCCATAAGAAAATTGTTGCTAAACGTGAGTAAAGAGAGGATTTTTAAATATTATAATAATGTGATCACTTAATTTACTACCTGTCAAAAGTAGTTCTAGTTTTATGGGTAGAGAGCTGGGTCCAACTCATCATCTTTTAACTCTTGCTTTTTGCTCCTCATTTCTTGGTTATAATAATTTTATATTTTAGAAATGCTTTACTATGCTTGTACAGTATAATAAATTTTACAAACTAGTTTCTTTGTGATGTTTTTTCTGAGGTATCCAATTCTTCTGTGAGTACACAGGGAACCGGCGGCTGAGTGGACAGAACACGGGGCATGTGATCCTGTGGTCTCGGGTTCGATCTCGGGCGTCGGTGAGAAACAATGGGCAGAGTTTCTTTCACCCTGATCCCTCTGTTACCTAGCAGTAAATAGGTACCTGGGAGTTAGACAGCTGTCACGGGCTACTTCCTGGGAGTGGAGGCCTGGTCGAGGGACACTAAATGCCCCGAAATCATCTCAAGATAACCTCAAGATAACACACACAATGGATCTGCCAAAAAAATCTCCCAGTTAACAGTATCGATGGCCATGGACAACGCTCGCGTCCACCTTTTTCTCTCGAGTCCTAGCAGTGGACAGCGCTCGCATCCAATATAAAAATATTTGTATAAAATTCATTTTTTATCCGATCGACTTTAGGATAGTTTCAAAATAAACACCCTTAGAGTGCGCACAATTTGATACCAAAATGAAAGATGTAACACGAAACCTGATGTCAGAACATTTGAAAGAGTATAAATACGTTTTTGGTCAAAATTTTAAAATATTTGTTAAAATTCTATTTATTGTGTTATTATTTTGGGACTAGTTTTAAAATGTACGCCCTTACATTGCGAACAATTTGATACCAAAATGAAAGGTGTAACACACAAATTTATATCAGAACACTGGAAAGAGATAAATAATTTTGTGATGATGAGCGCACAAAATTAAAATATTTATTAAAATTCCAGTTATTGCTCTATTATTATGGGACTAGTTTTAAAATATGCGTCTTTATATTGCGAACAATTTGATACCAAAATTAAAGACGTAACACGAAAACTGCTGTTAACAAACTGGACGAGTATACACATTAGGTTGCGGTGTGCCAATTGGTGCACGTTTACGGGTAACTTTAGGCTTTCCTGCGGGGGATCACACCAGGCTTTTGTACATTATATGCATATACACCTGCAGGGAATTTAATTGCGAACACAATGATACCAAAACGAATGACGTAGCACGAGAATTAGCCCTCAAACCGCGCATATCATATATAAATGATATCAGTGACAAAACCGAAACCGCGCACATCATTTATATATGATTTCGTGTCTAGCGCTATAATTTAAACGCCCCGCCTGGGATAGAGGCAGCTATAGTACAGCCACGACCGATAGTTGCCAGATGCCACCTAGAAAAAAAATCCAGGCCAACATTCTTGGGTGTTACAGCGTCAGTATTGAGCAAGCCACCAACGCTGGCGCACACAGCACGAGCTCACAGCACCGCTGTTCAGCTTGTGACCACAACATCTCCTACAAATACCATAATATAAATGATACTGCTATTATTTAGCAGTGATAGTATTACTGAAGCCCCCTGACTGTGATAAAACTGACCAGGATTCTGATAATAGCAGGATTGTGGTGATATTTAGCGCTGTGAGAGCATACTGCTCTGGCGCACGGGGAATGATGACGTCACGCCCCACCTTTCAGACCCAATAGCAGCCCAAGTAAGTACAATTTCGAACTTCCGTTGCTATACCCATATACAGGGAGGGGTTTTTGACACTTTCAGAAGAAAAAATAATTTTTTCCAGAGGTTTCATTTCCTGCGCACTGGGGGGGGTGTTATATTTATAGGCCGTGCAGTTAAAGGGTTAAAACAAAAAAAGTTATTTGCATTGTTGGAGGTGTCCAAGAAGTTGCAAGAACCAGCGGGAATGCTAGGAAGCACCATGTGCATTTCTCATTAATCAAACGAAAGCTCGCCAATCGAGACAAATTTTTGACAAGTGGCGCGCTCGTTATTCGAAATGCTCGTAGATTGAGGCGCTCGTCACTCGAGGTTCCACTGTAATTTGTGTGTGGCTCAGTTTGAGCCACACACAAAAATGAAATGTCAGTTCTTTGAGACTACATTTCAAAATCTCCCTAACATACATTGCTACTCCGTCTCCTCGTCTAATATATCTATCTGTGTGAAATATTTTAAATCCATTTATTTGATATTCAGCTAATAGTTTTCTATTTTCTACATTCATTAAATTTTCGGTAAGTGCAATAATATCTATTTTTTATGTGAACGAGTGAAGTGTTATAACACTTCATTTTGAAGACATCATTATTTTATAACACTACTACATTTTGAAAACTACAACATTTTATAACACTACTACATTTTGAAAACTACAACATTTTATAACACTACTACATTTTGAAAACTACAACATTTTATAACACTACTACATTTTGAAGACATCATCATTTTATAACACTACTACATTTTGAAGACTACATCATTTTATAACACTACTATATTTTGAAGAGTGTAATGTTATAACTATTTGAATAAATGAAAATACATTTACACAGTATTGGTGGTCCTCCATTTTGTAATTGGCTTCATGAGTAAACACCTCCCCACCCTCCCTCCTATCTCTAGCTAGGGCCCCACCCCACCCCACCAACAGAGTAAACACAATCAAATCATGTGAGTGTGGGTCATTGAGGACTTGAGGCCACTTGGTATCTCAAACACCCACCCACAAACCTACACCCCTATGCATCTCCTCCTCCCATCCCCTCCTCCCATACAATACTGAACTCCATGTGGCAGCTGCACAGATATTGCAACAGTCTCCGTGGTGTAGTGGTAAGACACTCGCCTGGCGTTCCGCGAGTGCTATGTCATGGGTTCGTATCCTGGCCGGGGAGGATTTACTGGGCGCAATTCCTTAACTGTAGCCTCTGTTTAACGCAACAGTAAAATGTGTACTTGGATGAAAAAACGATTCTTCGCGGCAGGGGATCGTATTCCAGGGACCTGCCCGAAACGCTATGCGTACTAGTGGCTGTACAAGAATGTAACAACTTGTATATATATAAAAAAAAAAAAAAAAAAAAAAAAAAAATTCTCGCTGCCATGAAATTCAAAGGGATGCTCCATGGAGTTAGTACAATGATTTTATGCTTGATGAGGTTACATGGGTGACTTGGGAGAATGTTCGTATGGACAAATGATCGTAAAGCCGGAACTCCGTGTATTTCTTATGTTGCACTTCTTAGATAGTGATGCAGCTGACTAATTTATTCCAAAAATATTTTTTCCACAGAACCAATTGAACAACTGAATGCGACGGGAAAGACCTGGCTTAAACATGGAGAGTTATTCAATTTAACCATACAGTGCTCTGGATCCGGCCCATGGGGCTACTGTCACAAAGTTTACAGTGGTGTCTATAATGTCACTGGTAAGTATAATATAGCACAGTTGTTTGTGTATAATATTTTCCATACTTTCCACACAACCAATGTTAGAAAGTATTTTCATGACAATAAAGTTAGGATTTTAACCCTTATGCTGCTAAGGGCCTTAACCCTTAACCCTTAAACTGCACATGGCGTATATATACGCCATGAGTAATATGTCCCACGGTGCACATGGTGTATATATATGCCATAGGGTGCCAGGCACGATTCAAAATGGCCTGTGGCTACACGAGGTTCACATTAGCTTCCTCAGAGCTCTTGTAAACAGACGCCATGTTTAAAAAAAATCGTGGGCAATATTCTCTGGTGAGAGCCACAGTACTGTTGGAGCAACCAAGGCTGGCACACACAGCATTGCTGTTCAGCTTGTGACCACAGGATCACCGAAAAATGTCAAAATAAATATATAACTGCTATTATTTAATGATGATAGTATTACAGATGACTCCTGACTGTGATAAAAATGACCAGGATTGTGATAATAGCAGGATTGTTGTGATAATTAGCGCTGTGGGAGGAGTGATGCTGATTGACAGAGGGAGATAGCATCGTTTACTGACTGTGTACTCGCCTAATTGTGCTTGCGGGGGTTGAGCTTTGGCTCTTTGGTCCCGCCTTTCAACCGTCAATCAACTGGTGTACAGATTCCTGAGCCTACTGGGATCTCATATCTATATTTGAAACTGTGTATGGAGTCAGCCTCCACCACATCACTGCCTAATGCATTCCATCTGTTAACTACTGATACTGAAAAAGTTCTTTCTAATGTCCCTGTGGCTCATTTGGGTACTCAGTTTCCACCTGTGTCCCTTTGTTCGCGTACCACCAGTGTTGAATACTTTATCCTTGTCTACCCTGTCAATACCTCTGAGGATTTTGTAGGTAGTGATCATGTCTCCCCTTACTCTTCTGTCTTTCAGTGTTGTAAGGTGCATCTCTCGCAGCCTTTCCTCGTAACTCATGCCTCTTAGCTTCGGGAATAGTCTAGTGGCATGCCTCTGAACTTTTTCCAGCTTTGTCTTGTGCTTGACAAGGTACAGGCTCCATGCTGGGGCTGCATACTCCAGGATTGGTCTTACATATGTGGTATACAAGATTCTGAATGATTCCTTATGCAGGTTCCTGAATGCTGTTCTGATGATGCTTTCAAACTACTGACTGTTTTGGTGTTGGTTTGGTGACCTGCAGCCTGAAGTGTAGAAAAAACAATGGCCACGTAATAAGTGAGACTTACAAACATGTTCACGAATAGAAACAAAAAGTTAGGAACGATAGACAAGCAAATGACAATCACAGGACATTGTCCAAAAAGGTAGCCGTCCATGGCCTTTCATTATCCTCCCAGCAAGTACATATAAGAAATATTGCCTTTGCAAAAGCAAACTACTTCAAGAAAAAAATTCACAATTTCCAGCAAGAAGTGCCTGACTAACTGGGTTGCAGTGGATATATTAATTCATTGTGTCAGGGGACAGGAAGCCAGAGTGTATTAATGCATGTTTTGGCTTTTATCGCAGTCCAACTCCCCCCCCCCCCCCCTCATCCCCCAGCTGAATTACTGGCTCCACCCAGGATGCAACCCCCACAACAAGCTGACTAACTCCTGAGTACCTACTTGCTGCTATGTGAAAGGAATTGTGCCCGACCATTTCTGCCCCGCCCATGATTCGAACCTGGAATTCTCGATTGAGTCGAGAACAAACCGACTTTACTACTGGGACCCTTTGTGGTCCTATGAGTTGCTGCTCTCACAAGACGAGCCTGGTCCCAGGCTGGGCTTGCGGAATAGAAGAATTCTTGGAACCTTCATTAGGTACAATCCAAGTACAGGTACTTCAAACGGAAATGGGACCAAGACCAAGTAACGGAGAAGAGTGGCCGTGGCCACATCAACAGAACTGATGCCACCAGCTGGTGGCTCTGCATATGTGCAACAGGGGGGGGGACCGGGGGAATCTTTCATACCCACATTCAAATCAATCATTTAGTTTTGAGATTCTTTTGTGGTGTCTGTTGGCTGTTTTGGTGCTTGGTTTTTCATGAACCATGCAGTTCCTTGTATTGTCTTGTGTGCTTTCCTGGTGAGGGGTGATTGTAACCATCCCTACCCTGTGCCTTTGTAAGGGGGGGCCAGGTTCTGGCTCTAGGTCCTTGGTAAGCCAACAGAACCCCTAAGACTGATGTGACTGTGTATGGGAAGCTATCTAAGCAAGTTAGCTTCATGGAGTCACCATGGGGCTTCCCAGAAAACTTGTGTTAAAAGTAATGAAAAGCCTGTTTCTGATTGGGCTTCAGTGGCTCCTTGAACCTAGTCATATCACCTGTTGGAGTCCTTAATAATATATTGGAGACCAGTAAGGAACTAATTTCAGGGTTTAATGTCGTGAAAGAGAATGGTACACTTAACTGAGATATTTCACAAGGGAGTTAAAAGAAGTAAAATAATGTAAGTTATAGTATTTTTTTACTAAATTTCATAGTTTGAATTAATTTCATAGATGTATACAATTATTTTTTCCTCCAAGGTAACGAGACGTGTGATATGGAAGACATCACCATGACTAATGATTGCAACTTCATGGCCATCCATTACTTCCGAGAAACTGGAACACACACATACCTCCTCATCATCAACAATGATATATCGCTTGTTATACAACCCATAGCTGTTATTATATACAATGGTAAGTGTTTACAAATTTTGTTAATGACTGTAAATGTTTAGTTCTTGGTAGAATACAGTGGAACCTCGTTTGACGGCTGCCATAGGACACAAATTTTTTGGAACACGTCAAATTCGTAGTAAAATTTGAATTGGAAGACGACGTTTGTTCGTACGTGTATGGATCGAACAAGTGCGTGGTGCTGGGGGCGAGGGGCAAGGTGCTCTGTCTGTTTACGAGTCTATTCTGATGACAGATCTTGAATTCTTTGCAAAGAATTTCATCGTTTTTCTGCTTTTTTTTTTTTGAACAGTAAAGTTATTATATAACATGCCATGGGTCCCAGGATGGTGAGGGGAACTGGATGGATAGTGGGGAGGGGGACTTGATGGATGGGTGGAAGGGGGAACTGGATGGATGGATGGGTGGGTGGAGGGGGGAACTGGATAGATACATGGGTGGAGGGGGGAACAGGATAGATGGATGGTGAGGGGACTGGATAGATGGACAGTGGAGGGAAACTGGATGGATGGTGGGGTGAACCTCCGTCCCCCACACCGCACCCTCCCCACTTCCCCCATACTTCCACCGGACCCTCCCTGCTACCTCCATCCCCCACACCACACCCCTTACCCACCAAGCACTTACGAACGTGTGCATCTTTCCTCAATCTTGGACAGCTTTGGTTACATTTATTAAACAGTTGACAGGCATGAAAACTTCTCAATCAACTGTTGTTATTGTTATAAACAACCTCCTGGTGCTTCGGAGCTCATTAACGGTTTGATAATTGTAAACAAAGCCGCCAAAGATTGAGAAAAGATGTACAGGTTCATAAGTGCTTGCGTAACTGCTTCGTGAATCTGGCCCCTGGTTTGGTGGACTCATTGTGGGTTGATCCGGTTTTCCTAGTTCCCTGTTCCAGGGTTTGTAATTCTCAGGTGGTCTGCAGTGGCATTATAGGTAGCCAGTCTACGGTCTTCCCTTGTGTTCATTGGTATCTTGTTAATTAATGTCCTTGGTCGTCTGTGGCCTTGCCATTCTCCTTTTGTCCAATTCTCTCCTGTGTGTAAGTGCAGTTAGCTAAGTGTGGTTACAGGATGATAGCTACGCTTGTGGTGTCCCGTCTTCCCAGTACTCTTGTCACATGATGCATTGAAACTGCTAACAGTTTTAGCATCCGCTGCCTTTTCACTTAACCTGTCCCAACAGTCTACAACTGTTTGCAAAAGAGAACGTTCTAATATTTTTCAGCACCTTTGTTTCCCTTAGCTTGAAGATACTGTATGACCTCTTGTTCTTGAACTTGCAGGTTTCAAGAATTCCTTTGTTGGTTTGTTACCGTTTTGTACAGTGATCATACCGCCTCTTTCCCTCGTGTGTGTGTGTGTGTGGGGGGGGGGATGAGTGAATGAAATGAGTGATATACACTCGTGTGATTAATCAGTATGGTATCTAATTATGGGACAGAATTATGAGCATTTAGCTTATCTAAGCAAGTAACATGCAAACTAGTTCTGCTTTTGGAATCAAGTATTGCAACTTACATTGCATCTAAGTAGAAAGTTATTGCTTCAAATAAAATATTAAGTATACATATTATTGAGAAAATTATTTTGAGGCAGTGGAGTGACGTGAACTGGCATTCAGGTGATTCGCAGACACCTGCTTTAACCCACTGAGCCACTGTAGGACAAAAACTGACCAACCCGGATCACTGGTTCAAGTCACAATTTCAAGTCAAAATTATTTTCTCATTGATGCATCATACCATTGTGATTTCTTTGTGATATATACAGCACTATTGTTATTTTTTGCAGTGGACCGTAAGCCACAGTTGTCTTACATCATCATCCCAGTGTCTTGCAGCCTTGTGGTCATCATTATTATAGTATTTGGCATTGCTTATTTCATCCAGAGCAGACACCGGTATGATTCACAACTGTTTTTATGTTTTCCATCCACAATATATGCTATAATTTCACCATTGTTTTATTTTATGAAAAGTTGTTCTGTATGTGGTTTTCACAACAGGTTGACAAAAATAGAGATCATTGTAAAGTATCATGTGGATAGACTTAAGGATTTGAGAAGTAGTACTGAAAACTTAAACAAGGTTACAGCTCTAGGAGGTCAAATAAAGGAATTGTGCAATAAAGTTATTTTTATAGGTACTCGGTTGAAGTAGCAGACTTTGACTTTGGTGCCAGTGAAGATCCAGAATACAAGACCTTGTATGAGCAGTTGAAAGAATCTCTATCCCATGCCATTTCTGGGCAGGATGTTGAAGGGGATGAAGAAACCAAGTGGCGGGGCAGAGCACACATTGTGGAGAGACCCCGGGTAAGGGATTATGGAACTGTGCCACGCTGATGTTTGCACTTTACACTGATATTATGGTATGCTGAACTCTATTGTGTTCAATTTTATGTAATCTTTGCTAAAATAGGAATTTGGTGGGATTTTAATTTGTTGATCTTCATGTATGTAGAGATATAATTAGGTAAAAGTCATTGGGGGGGCTAGATATCTTGCTTTTTGCATATATTTTGGGGATCGGGTTCATTATAATCATAATTGCCTGAAAGTAATCATTGTTTGAAAGTAATATGATTAATTTATTTTGTTTTACTTTTCTAAGTGCATTCATTTTTTAGGGGAACCCCTTGATGGCTCCCTGAAACTATCTCGCTAAGATGGCTTCCCGTTACTTGGTCATGTCAATTGTACTAGTCTTGTTTGGCATAGTGTGGACCAGGGAACCTGTCTCCCTAATGGAGGTGCAAGGCACTTGGGAATTCTTACAATCACCAATTCACAACCAGAAAGTCAGCGAAGAAATACAGACAACTGCATCCACCTCCTCCTCACTTAACACTTTCGCGCCCCCGGCGAAGGTCAGGAAAAAACCCGTATGTGCGGTTTTTCTGGGTTTAGTGACTCAGATCATAGTTTTATTGAGCCTGTGGCTGGTACCAGTGGTGTAACTGGGCGAGAAATTGTCGTGTCAGCAGCATCTCGCCCAGCCAAGCGCCACCCCATGGTACCCGTGAGGGACCAAGACCCTTGTGTTCACGTGCACCCACCTCACGGGCACGTGCTTCTCGCAGACGGTATTCGGCTCCTGGTCGCCGGTATGCATCGTTTCCTCGCCGTCTTTCCTCTGCATCTCGCAGGACGCCTGGTGTACTTGAGTGGAGTGATGGTGACGATTTTATTCCTAATATTCCTCACTTTGACGATAAAGATGTAGGGATTACAAACCTTTTCCCTGATCAAGGTGAGGACATGGCTGAGATGGAAATATTTTACAGCATTCTATGATGAACCACTCGTGGAATATATTGTACACCAAACGAACCTGCATGCTGCTTATCTGATTGAGAGGCAAATCACAGAATTTTCACGACTGCAGCGTTGGAAAAATACCACAGTTGCGGAAATGTACAGTATGTGTTTTTGGCACTCTGTTTGTTGATGAAGCACTGTCACAAACATGCAATAAGTGACTATTGGAGCAAGGACCATACAGTGCCAACACCTTTATTCGGGAAATATATGTCACGAGACAGGTTTCAGATACTCGTCAGGTGTCTACATTTTGGAAGTGTTCAGGACCGAACAGATGATGATAGACTGTGGCGAGTGAGGCACTACATGAACGATGTTATTGGAAAATTCGGTGATTTTTACGTACCAGCACAGAAGCTGGTGGTTGATGAATCTCTCATACTTTTCCAGGGATGTGTTCCATTCAAGCAGTACATTCCCTCAAAACAAAACCGATTTGGCCTGAATTTTTTTGTTCTTTGTGATTGTGAGACAGGATACATGTTACACATGATTCTGTACTCGGCTAGTGATGTAGACATTCCCGGTAACGACGAACTTTCCTCAGGGCTCTTGTAAAACAGACGCCATCTTTATAAAAAAAAATCGTGGTCCACATTCCCGGGTGTGAGAGCCTCGGTAGTGAGTGAGCAACCAAGGCTGGCGCTCGCAGCATGAGCGCACAGCACTACTGTTCAGCGTGTGACCACAGCATCGCCTAATAATGTCAAAATATATATATAATCTGTATTATTTAGCCATGATTGTATTATAGAAGAGCCTGAGTGTGATAATGACTGGGTACAATGTTCAAATATCAGTGATTCAGTGCTGTTCACGATGTTCATAGCGCTAGCCACAGCACCACAGCATTATTTCGTCCATCTAGGAATCTTCAAATGGCTTCTTCGGTTCCTTTTCAAAATAAACTTGTGGTCAGTTATTCATTTACAGGAATTAGTGACCAGGATTGTGGTTATAATTAGCGTTGTGCGCAGTATTGTGGAAGAAGGAATTTCGGTGAGGGAGGGAGGAAGGGAGAGAATTGAGGTAGCCTCCACTGTGTGTGGCAGCCACTCTTGTTTTGCTCGTCATACTAGCTTCGTGGTTCGCTACGGGGAACACACATGTTCATGGGTATATATAGTGTGTGTGTATATAGTGTAATAACAGCAACAGGAGTATGTTGAGAGAATCTATTTTGGTGAGGGAGGTGACGTCATAATCGTAGCGTCGTCTGCTGGCTGCTGTGTGATTTCTCATGCAGTGTATGGTGGCCACTGTACTGTTTGGACACAATACCGGCTTACTTGCATAGTTCTGGTAAATAAAACATATAGATAGGTATATATAACATGTGTAAATAGTGTAATCAAAACAATAACAGTATGGTGGGAGGAGCAATGTTGGCGAGTAAGATGTTGGAGTGAGGGAGACTGGCTGGGTGTGGCTGCTCACACTAGCAGTGTTCTGAATGTGTTGATGGTGAATGTATATAGTGTGTACATATGTTGTAAATATACATAAATGAACATGGAACATTGGTGTGAATAACTGTATGATGGGAGGAGCAATGTTGGTGAATACAATGTTGAAGGAGTGAGGGAGGGCTGGCTGGGTGTGGCAGCTCACACTCGCAGTGTTCTGAATGTGTTGGTGAATGTATATAGTGTGTGACAGTGTATAGTCTGTAAATAGATTGTATATATACATAAATAAGCATGATACATGGTAAATATGTGCAACATATGTGTACACAAGTGTCATGCACGTAACACAGTGTCCTCGGACAGTACGGATGTTTTACTGCCATAATATAGTGTTTGTGTTCATTATACATAGGATTAGCACGTAAAAACAAAGTGTATTTGGAACTATGCGCAAAAAATGAACAAAAATATATTCGCGGCAACTCGCACACCCCGCTCCGGGCGCCCTACTGGCCCCGGGAGCTTACGTCACAGGCGAACAGGGAATGATGACGTCATGCGCAAACTTACGGACCCCATAGCAGCCAAAGTACGTACAAGTTCGATTTTTTTTTTTACATACCCATACTGAGGGAAGGGTTTTTGACACTTGAAAATTTTTTTTTTTTTTTTTTAAAGAGAATATTTCCTGCGCATTGTCATATTTAGATCTGCGGTGTCATATTTAGAGGCGACGCAGTTAAAGGGTTAAAACTCTAGACAAAGCATGGCAAGAAGTAACTCAAAAAACCCTGATCTCTGGCTGGAGAAAATTGTGGCCTGAATGTATTTCAGAACTAGACTTTGAGGGGTTTGAGCCTGGACCTGAAGTGCCTATTGTTGAGGAAATTGTTACTCTGGGCCGGAAATTGGGCTTGGAGTTGGATGGTGCCGATGTGGAGGATTTGGTGGAGGAACACAGCGAAGAACTGACCACTAAAGAACTCCAAGCCCTTCACAATGAGCAGCAACGAAAGGCAGCTGAGGAAATGTCTTTAGGGTAGGAGGAGGCAGTACAGAATGTGTCTTCCTCAATAATTAGGAAATGGTGTAGAATGTGGGAAGAAATGCAAACTTTTGTTGAAATGACTTACCCAGAGCAAGCTGTAGTAGGCCGTTGCATTAAATTTTTCAATGACAATGTGATGCCTCACTACAGACAAGTGTTACAACGAAGAAAAAAAATCTTCAATGGATCGATTTTTAGTGAGAAAATCAAGCAGTGAGCCACAAACAGGTCCTAGTGGTATGCAGGCAAAACGTGCCAGTGTGTGTACCCCAGAGAAGTCATCACTGCCTGATATAGTAGAACAGGTGACTCCCCTTCCAAACACTTAACACCTCTCCTCCCCATCCCCCTCTTCCTCACAATCTTCCATACTCCAACAAACGTCATCAATAAAGGTAAGTAAAAACGTGTACATACTTTAGTATTAAAGATTTGGGTAAATTATGTATAAAATTTACTTTGAAGTTAAGTTTTTGGGAAGTGTGGAACGGATTAATTCTATTTACATTATTTCTTATGGAAAAATTTGCTTCAGTTTATGAATTTTTGGCTTACGAACCGTCTCTGGGAACGGGTTAGACTCATAAGCTTAGGTACCACTGTAACTTTTTTCCTCTTGTGCTGCTGTCTATCCTACATGGTATTTCCTTTTCTAAACACTCAAAAATTTTTATAGACTTGAGAGAGTGAAATTTAAATAAATACCATTTGGGCTAACTTTTTATTTTTTTTATTTACAGATTCTTGAAGAAGAAGACTGATCTGTCGTAAGATAAATGTGCCTTGTGTTACATTTAAACCCTTTCATTAAAAACTATAAACAGCAATCATTGACTTATGGTATAGTCTTTTTTCCATAATAATTCTTTTAATTCACAAAAATTAATTTATCTTCAATAAAAATTATTTTGTACAATTTTTATCATAGGCTTGAAACTTTTACCAGGTATTGGTACTATTGAATTTATTAATTGATGATAAGATTTGTGAAATTGTTCTTTTCTGTTTGGAATAAAAACTTTCATGGTTAGGGACAGCAGGTTCGTAACCATGAAACTGATCAACTGTGATGAACCATGAAACCATGAACTGTATCTGTGATAATCTTTTTTTTTTTTTTATATTGTGTGTTCCCAATTGTTTTATTTAATAAGAAAGAATACTGATCGGATTCTAAAAGCTTCCACGGATTTATAAATTTGTTGTGTAAACGAAGTGTTAGATCATATTCATTGTTTGTGTAAATTTGATACAATTATGCAATGTGGATAAAAAATAGAGTTAAAGATTGGTGGCTTTTTGTAGATGATTGTAAGAACAGATGTAGAGGACGGGGTCCTATCACTACTGAAATGGCTATTGAGCCTAGTGTTATTAGTACATGATTTTATTTGTTTAGTAGTAAGTTATTGCCTCTATACTCCATATTTAAAATACCAGGCAAAAGGATGAATTTCAATAAAAACAAATTGCAAAATATTAATCACAAATTTTGAGGTACTGTGTGTGTTTCACTTTTTGCTTCAGTGTTTTGTTATACTAAACAAATCTACAACAATATGTTAACATTTTATTTAGTTGAAAGTAACCAATGTTATGCATACTCATTTAGTATTTTTTTTAAAGAGTTTCATTTCTTTTCTAGTTTACGAGTGATGGCACTTGACCATACACTTGCCTGAAAATAAGAATGCTCTTCTGCTTATGGAGTTTTCAGTGAGAGTTCATGGGTGCAGAGATAATCTACAACACCTAGATTGAAATGTGAGCAGAATGATAGAAAAGAATTGGCAAGATTTTTTGATATCATAAATACTTGATTTAAGGACGACCATTTTAGAATAATTAAAACAAAATTGGTTAATGACTTTGGCTGGGGTGAAACATCATGTACTACGTCCTCCTGTTTTGTCCTTTTTCTTGGGGAGCCCCTCGTGGTTTATTGAAGCTACCTTCAACAAAGATAGTTTCGACCGGCTATGGGAGCCGGTCGGCCGAGCGGACAGCACGCTGGCTTGTGATCCTGTTGTCCTGGGTTCAATCCCAGGTGCCGGCAAGAAACAATGGGCAGAGTTTTTCACCCTATGCCCCTGTTTCCTAGCAGTAAAATAGGTACCTGGGTGTTAGTCAGCTGTCATGGGCTGCTTGCTGGGGGTGGTGGCCTGGTCGAGGGTGGTGGTCGTCGCCGTCGTCGTCGTCGTCGCCGCCGCCGCCGCCGCCGCCGCCGTCGTCGTCGCCGCCGCCGCCGTCGTCGTCGTCGTTGTTGTTGTTCCCTAAAGCTACTATATTGAGATGGTACCATATACTAGGTCTTCACAACTGTAGAGTTTCATAGGCCTACCAGTGCAAGAGCCTGACCACCCTCGGGAACAATGACATTTATTTTTGTCACCTCACTAACGAAAGCAACCAGTGTCAAAACAAACTACTGATGGCGTCAATAGACTCTGGAGTCTCAAACCCCGCTGAAAGAACGTCCCTAACTTCTCATTCTCGTATCGGACATAACCTATAGTACCATATTTGCAGATGATACTAGGGTTTTTGAGAGTAGACGACATAGAGGACGCAGCAAACCTCAAAACTTATGTAAATTGGATCTTTCAGTGGGCCACAGAAAATAATATATATTTAATGAAGCTAAAATCCTGTGCTATGGGGGGGAAAAAAATAAAATAGTAAAACTGAAACGACGTACTAAATGCAGTCAAATCATTCCATGGAACATAGATGCAATTTAAAGGATTTTGGTGTGTGTGTGTCAGAAGACCTTAACGTTAAAGAATGCATAAAAGTAGCAGTCACAACTGCGAGAAAAAGATAGCTTAGATAACGAGAACCTTTCAAACGAGATACTGTACCAACAATGATACTTTTCAAGATGCTAATGCTCTCTAGAGTGAAATACTGTTGCACAATAACAGCCCCTTTTCAAAGCTGGAGAAATTGCTGACCTAGAGAGCATTTACTACTAGAACCCCCCTCACTGTCTGGCCTGTTGCCGCCGTGAGGGTGCTTGGTGGGCAGCTGCCGGAGTTTGATGCTCCATGGGTCAGTCCTCTGTCCTTTTGCAGCTTTATGCTCCTGCTGCTGCCTTTACCAATTTTGCCAGACCCCTTTTCCTTTTCCTCGTGTTTCATTATTCCCCCCCCCCTCTTCTCCTATCAGATTGTCATTTCCTGCCGACCTTTTGCCTGTTTTGATTATTCTTTCTACCTTTTGTTTTGACGCCCAGGTGTTTGAGGAGGCATACTCTTGCACCCGTAGAACTGGAGTACCCAACGTCTCGAGCGAGGGGACCCTTTTATTGTCAATCCTCCTTTCGTCACTGAACCCGCTCTCGACGGACTCACGGTTCTTAAGGTGGCGTTTGTGGGGCGTATACTCACGACACACCCCTGGGGGGTCCCGGCAAGATCGGCAATAGCTTCTTGTTGGGTGTCCTGCCTCTAATTGTGGCTCCATGGTGGGTGTGGGGGCACATTTGCTAATGAAAGTTTGTCCTCATTTTCATGGCAGATAATGTTTCCCTTGTACCTTCTCAGGCTCGTGGGGTGGGCGACCAAGCCCCCAAGTCGGACTGTGTTGAAAAGACCAGGCCCTGTAGCCCCCACTGCATTGGGCCCCGACGCCCTAACTACTCCCCTCAGCTCCCCTCCCTCCCTCTGCGGTAGCATAGAGTCCCCACCCCCCAGTGGTGACCACCTCGTCCCCTGGCACGGCTTCGTTTCTCTTTGTGACTACTGCGTCTTTTACCCCCTCTCTCTCTGGGGGTTCTCAACGCCGTCCCCGTCACGGCCACACTCGCATGATCCTTTCCCGTAATATTACTTACAACGCCTTGTTTCGTCCTACTACGTGGGCTAAATACTTTGATCTCCAACATCTGGATTCTACTCCTCCATAAACACCTTGTTGATTCAGTAGGTGCCTCTGTTACTTTTAACTCCACCAGTTACGGTACGCGTGTCGTTGCTGCTCCTTCTCAGGATGCAGCTACTCGCTTAGCCGCTTTGTTCTGCATTGGAGAGACCCCTGTTCGGGTCTCCTAAAACGCTCGGTTAAATGCCAGTGTTGGCACTGTTCTCCTCCTACACCATGTTGCAACTGGTGTTCGGGACCTCAAAGATTGCCATGAGGATATTAAACATATCCTCGAAGCCCAAAGCCATTCTGTCCTCCAGGTGGACACGTTTACTCGACCCCCTCGTGGTCTTCGCCGTCAGCCCCTTCGAGTTTTAAAAATCACTTTTGATAGTAGGGCCCTTCCGCCCTCTATTATTATTGCTGGTGCCAGATGCTCCGTTCAGGAGTACATTCCCTCTCCTAGACTTTGCAATAAGTGTTGGATGTGTGGTGACGATAGTCATTCTAAGTCCGAGTGCACTTCTCCCCAGACTCGCTGCCTCAATTGCGGTGAAGCCCACCCTACCTTGTCACGCTTGTGTATGCACTATAGACTCTAGGAAGCCTCCTCAACTTGAAGCACCGTGATCGTCTGTCTTTTCCTGAAGCGAGACGCCAAGTTCGTCGTCTCGCCCCTTTCGCGGGCGTCTCCTACGCTCGCGTGTTGCTTCTACCTCTCCTCGTCCTTCCCGTCTTCCTCAGTCTCACAACCGTTTCCAGGCCTTAAACCCATCCACACCCACCACCTCCCCTATTCCTTTGCCTCCTGTCCCGGATAGTCTTCCTCCCGGTTCTCCATCAGGGGTTTTCCCCCTTGCTACCTAGTCCACTATATCTCCTTTGTCTTCTTCCCCATCTTCCCCCACTCTTTCTTCCAGACCCTCCCCCCAGTCTCTTGACCCTCCACACCACCTCTCTGTCCAGGCTGATATCCATCATCCTCCCAGCAATCTTCGTGTTGTTCGCTCCCACTCCTCTTCTCCTGCTGAGACCATTGAGTCTGTTGCCCGGTACGTTTTTATTGGAGCGCCTGTCTCTTCAAGTCGGAAACATAAGCCTGACTCCTCTCCTTCCTCTCCAGCGGGTAAGAAGGTTTCGCTTTCTTCCTCACCCCCTTCCTCTGACTCTGTCACTACATCCCTTCCCATTTCAGTGGTCGAACCCCGTCCCAGATATGGAGGTTTCTTTCGCCCCGGATTCCCTCTCAGTTGCTGCCCTTGCTGAGGTGCACTCCCTGACTTCTGCTCCCCCCCCCCCCTCCTCCAGCTGTCCTTGCCTGCCTCTCTCAGTTGTCTCCTCCTCCGGACCCCGTCAGTCCGCCTCTGGTCTGTCCTCTTGCTCCCTTCCCTCTATCCTTACCAAGTTTACCCATGCCCCCTAACCCTGATTTTGCCGATCCTGATCCTGAGATTCTTTAATAAACTGTGTTCTTCTATACCTTTATTTCTTTCTTGTTCTGTTACTGTCCTTTCTCTTTGGTAATGTCTATTCTTCAGTGGAATATTCGTGCATTTTATGCCAACTTCCATGAAGTGCAACTTCTAATTACACAGTTTTCACCGCTTTGTGTTTGTCTCCAGGAACTAATGCTTGGTGCTCGTCCTAGTCACTTTCTTGGTTATTCCTTTCTTTCTCCCCCCCCCCCCCCCCCCCACCCCTCCAGCTCTTGCTGGGGCCCGTAACTCTACTGCTCTCTTAATTCGATCTGATATTCCCTTTGTCCCCCTACTTCTTCTGTCGCCTATCCATTGTTCTGCTGCCCGTGTTTTTGTGGGTAAATGGTATGCAGTCTGTTCCAATTATCTCCCCCCAAATGTCCCACTTTCCCTTCCTTATCTTAAGCACCTCCTAGAATCCTTGCCAGAGCCGGTGCTCCTTTTGGGTGATTTCAACTGTCGACATTCCCTCTGGAATGACACACCACCAGCTGGCCCGTCAGCTGCTGGGTCATCGGCAGCGTATCCACATCAGCAGCTGTGCCCGGCCCGAAGGCAGCTGGGCCATTAGCTGCTGGATCACCGGCAGGGGTCACATCAGCTGGCACAACAGCGGCAAATCAAATGAGTAGCGAAATTATAATAACCAGTATGGATAATTGATTATGAGGATAACAATAAACAAGGAAAGTGAATAGACATAACCAGAAATAATGACTGAATAATAATTGAGACCTCGTTTGTGTGTACCCGTCAACATTGTGTAACTGGCACACGGCTCCGACAGCAATGCGCCATGTCACAATCTCCCTAGTTGCATCCATTGCAGCACTGGCGCACTGCTCAGTTAGTTTATACGGCATCGAGTAATGTGGTACATTCATTGTTCCTTATCCCAAAATAATAAGCACCGGGGCAGAACGAATATAATAAAGAATAATAACACTAAAGGATAACAATACTAAGGAATAATTGACAGGATTCGGCTGAATCGAATCTTCGGGCCTGAAGTAATTCTTGATCTTACTAAAGATAATATAAGCGTAAAGAAAGCTGTTATTTTCTTAAAGTAAAGATTCTTATTATTAACTGGATCTTCGGCTGGGACCTCGCCAGCCGGAACTTCAACAGCTGGGTTAATAATAATTATAATAAAGAT